AAGCCAGCTAGCCGGCATACCCTGTCCCCAGCATGGCATTCACGGCGCACGGTTCATCATCGAAGCGTGGCCAATGTGGCTCTGCCGGGTTAGCCTTGTCAACGACCATTTCCGTGGAATTGGCTCACGGGGCATCGCCCTGGCTCTGGGTTGCCGTGCCGCGCACTAGCGCTTTGAGGCTCCGACGACACATGGCCTTTGGATGAAGTCGAGATCGCGGCGAGCTTTGGTGGCAGATGGCCGTGCCATAGTAGATACGAGCTGGGCGATGCGAGGAGGCGATTCCTAACTGGTTACAGTATGATGAGCTTGTTAGGGTGCAGAGGTGGGCTCAGGGAGTGGAGAGTTGCTTGTCGCTTTGGCAGCTCCTTCCTTGTAAGTGAAGTGAAAACAGCCAATCAGATGCGTCATGATAATTTTTTCTTTTTTCTTTTCAGCTCGACCAGACCTGGTGTCTTGTTTGATGAAGAAACAACCGTCTCTGGCACCGGTCTGCGTGTTTCGAATTTTGGCGCGGCTGTCAGTCCCAGGGTCGCTGCAGGCTCGTGATTGGCTGGACATCATTAGTCACACCCCCCGGCCGTCGCTCCCCATCGCTCCCCTGGTCAGCTTGTCAGGGGGAAAGAGCCCAGATTGGGTTAAGCGTCAGGAACAGGCTGTTGATTGGCCCATCAAAAGATGGAGCTGCGCCGTTAGCGGCAGTCAGGGGAGTTTCTAGAGGCGGGGCTGTTCTTTGGGAAGCAGCGTTCGTGGGAGGGTTTAATTTTGTCGGTTTTTTCGGTTTAATTTTGTCCTTGCCTTTTCTTTTTTGGGCTTTGCATGTACAGGTACTGCCCCCTGTCTCGCCGCTGCGGCTTGTCTGGCCGTGTTGAGATTTGTCGAGGTCAATGTGACCAATATCAACATTCATATATATAAGGAGTACATGTGCTAATCCTTGTACTGGAGTTTTAATAAGTACCTATACAGGGATCAGCCGTTGTTGGATATCAAGCAAGCAAAGCGCTGGAAGAATAGAGGGAAAAGCGGGCTTGATCCAAGTCAATTCGAGCCATTGATGCTCCCAAACATCTGATTGGAGCTGAATTAACATGTCCATGTTCGGCCCGGTGCATAACAGAACAGTTCATGATACCAGTGCCTTTCCACTTGACAGATCAATCACGTTTGTGGGGGAGATTTGCCTCGGCCAGAACCTGGTCCCGGTTCGCGCGGCCTTGCTCGGGATGCCCAAGAATATCCGCACTGCCTGTCACAACCCTGGATTCGCAATAGGGGAGAATTCGGGAACGAATCAATACTGCAAGATATGGAGTTCGGAGTACTCCGCTGCCGAACAAGTGATCTCGTGACCCCATACGCCTGTCTGCGCTAGGTCGCCCATCAATTCTTTCTTCATCCTGGCTGCGGCAATACTGACAACTTGTACCGAGCCCCCTGGGCGTTTTTTCCACTTACCGAGTCAATACAAACTCGAATTCGTGCTTTGATAACATGCCACCGTCGTCTGAATAGCATCGGTGCCACGGGCGGGAGATGAGTCGTGGCAACTTGAACGATCTCCGTGGCGTCTTCCGGTGGCTTGCAAGTCACCAATAATTATGGACTGCTGTTACCCTCACCCCACCGCTAATGTTATATATCAGACCATTCGCGCATCCAGTAATTTGCTTTTCCGGAACATCTCGAGGTGCTGCGCATGCAAGGAGGCTGGAACAACAAGAAGAAGATGGTGGCACTGGGTTCGATTGGCTTGACTGACTCTTGGCTCGGCCTTGCTCAGCGACAGCATTGTCGTCGCCATAGTCTCCCTGGCATAGCCACAAAATAGCCACGCCGACGAATCAGCGGGCCGAGTTGATCGTCGCTTCGTCTATCTTGAGCATCAGGATGAAAAGTGGCATGCAGTGGGCCGCCACAAGAAAAAGAAAGCATGGAATTCCCTCCCAATTACAAGTGCTACTCGCGTAGGGAGGGTTACGCGCAGCAGCTAGTAGTACTCCGTACTTCGATACGCAAAGCGAATGCTTGGTCCGATGCCCTCCTCGCATGCTCCACGTTGAATCATGGGTCATCATACAAGTAGGCCGGCATTTGACAAGCACAAGCTGTCTATCAAAGTTTGTTTTAGCTTGTGCTAATCATGTGAAAATCGATGGCGACCTATTTTTCGTTGGGCTGCGGCCAGCAAATGATCACAACGCGCTTCACCGCCGTGCTTCGTCTTTGCGCCCGACTTTGCGCCCGACTTTGCAGCTCTCCGAATCTCCCGAGGCATCGCCTCCATCCTAGAGCAGAGACCGTTGCTCGGCTGTTTCGGACGAGGATGTTCAAGGCGCGGAGAATCTCTCATCTTGGCCGCAGCTGCAAGCGCGATGGAGCTCCGATGCAATGTGGGTGCCATGCCCTGAGAAGTGGAGATGCTGGGCAGCAAGCGGTAGCACAACACGACTTGATACAGTAGATTGGATTGGGCCAGATCAATAGTAGATGATGTAGATGCAGAGCGAGGCATCTCTTGCAGCCTTAAAGTGGTCATCTGGCGAATCGAGAAAACTCTAACTGTTAGGATAGCCACAACTGGAAGTCGCATGGATGTGTCAGGTAATGCACCCGTTCGGGTCAGCCCTCGTTTGCGACCTGTCATTTGCCTGCCATCTGTCGGCGAACCTTGCGGTGGAAGCAAGGGAATACTGCGTGTATGGGAGTGCTGTGTTATCAACGACTTGCACAAATTGCTTTTGCTTTTGCTTTTTCTCATCCTGCGACGCTCTATTCTGGACTACATACCTCCTTGCGTTGTCCGCGGACCAATGGGGTGCTCTAAGACGCCAATATTCCATCAAATTGCTTTTTCCAGATGAAGCAAATGATGTACAAAGGAGTATTTGTGGCACAACTACCAGCCGCAGAGGGAGCCTTTCTCCGAGCACATCGAATGTCCAAACCAGACACCACCCGAATCGAGGCTCCTGCCATGTTGGGTCGCCCGTGATGCGACAAAGATTGGAGTGGCGACAGAGTCTTGCTGAGTGGTGACGAATATCGCTTGCATGCATGTTGTGGAACGGGCGCATCACCAAAACCTACCGCCAAGTCCCATGTCATTCCCTTGGATCGGCTATGTGGGAGCCGGGAGTTGTGATTGGGGCACCGGTCGCCTATCAAGTGCCAAGGTAAGCATATCCATATTATCAAAAGCATTTGAGTTTTTTTCGTGTTTCTTCCTTCTTTGTGGCAAAAGAGCAGGCACACGCATCAAGAGGCATGTAAGGGAGAGATTGGTATAAATTAACATCAAATTACGAGTATCAAGGACCTGTGGCTGCGCGTTTGTTGAGCCGTGCCGTCAATACAAGCGGCGCTAGGCCCAGCTGAGCCCTTATTGGACCCGGCATCCAATCTCTGAGAGTTTCCCATCTCTGACCACGATTGCTTAGCGCGCTGCAAGTACAGTGCAGTAGAGTGGAAGAGACAAAGTTTCATATCCAGTCTATCCCATGCTGGTGAATCAGGGGAAAGCCCGCCTTCTCAGACACGCAGCCGGGTTGAACCACCGGGTCTCGGAGCTGAATACGGATTGAATCGTGCAAGTATTTCATGGTGCGACTATTCTGTACACAAGCACGAGTGCAGTAAATACCTACAGTTACCGTACACTCGCACCAAGGAGGCCCAGCAGGACGCGGAGAAGGGAGGTTTAATCATCGAAGCCTTGTGAAGCCGCAAGATGAAGTGAAGGGATTGACTGCGCGAGAGAAAAAAAAAAGTTCAATTAGTCGCGGCCCCTGTAAGTCCACAGCATGCAACTGAGCCGTAGTGTGCTCCGTAGGCAGTACCCCTGCCGTGGCTGCAGCTGTACAGGCGGTGCTATTGGGCGCTAGGCAGTGGTTAGTGGCTAGTGGCCCGTAGCCCAGGCACGACCGCTAGCATGGAGGCCATCACCAGCTGCCGCTGCTCAAGCCCCTTCTTGTCATCGCCAGCATTTGATCCCAATTTCTACCCTGGCCAGGCTGGCACGCTTCTCTCTCCACTCTTTTTTTTCTCCTCTTCATCCGCTCACGGCTTCCAAGGACCAGCATTGCCCTCTTCTTCTCTTCTCCCGCAGGCGAAAATCTTGGTTTCTGCTCTTTGTTCACCACGCTCATTCTCACCACCACGTCCCGCCAACAGCAACCGCCGCCCCCGTGTTTGCAGCCGACGCCTCGATAGCTGCCGCCACAAAAGCATGCTTTTCGCCGCTCTGTGATACCCGACACTCCTTATTCCAATCCGTACGTCTTACGACTTGTATAAAAGACCACCCCTTTTGAGTGGCTAGTCCGAGCGGCTGCTCCCCTGCAGTGCCATCGACAACCATCGCGCAACACCGCCCAGTACTTGTACGCATTCTGCCGCGAGCCTACCTAGTACCTATATCCTGCAGGTACCCGTTGAGCGTGACGCACAGCGCCAACTGGCTCCCAGCATCCACAGTCACTATTCGATATATCGACGAAATCTACTTCTATACCTCTTCAAAGGGCATCCTGCATTTGATAAAAGCTCCGCTCTCTCCTTTTCCTTAGAGTGTCGTTTGCGAGATTGTTTCCTTCCCAAGGCAGCGCACGGATATTGTTGTTACTCATCCGGTACGTCACATTTGTTGTCTCATCCAAAACATTCGCTTTTCAAACGGATGCAATGTGCGATATACCATTGCAAGTGGGGGGAAAAAATATTATGGAGGAACAAAGAATACCGAGTTGCCCAATTTGCATCGAGTAGGCTGATAATACTCGTCTGGTTTGGCCCACCGCCCAAACTACGGCATGTTGACTGAGCCCAACCCTCACAACTACTGCGTCTTGGCTGTGCGCTTGATATCTGACATTCTTATAGTTCAACTTGGCTTGCGATATTTGCGAGAGGTGGTGGATGAATTAATGACACGATATCCGACATCATCGGCACAATAAACTCATTGCGAAGCTTGCGCTCTTGCGCCCAGTCCGATCAAGATGAATGTATTCCGAAACAAGAAGAAGGGCAAGGATGAGCCAGAGAGCGTCCGTCCGTCTATGGAATCCGAGTCCTCTAGCCCCTTCCGAATGTTTAGCAAGAAGAAAGGCCAGAACGATGATGCCAAGCCTGATCTCGACATCAGCACCGCCCTGCCATCCACCGATGATTTCAGAACCAGCTTGCTCATGACCGGTCTCTCGGCTCGATTTTCTATGCTACGCGAGCAGGATGATCCTACAACCAAGATGGGGAAAGCTAGTGATGACAGCGTGCTCTTCCCTCGGGGACAATCGAATTGGGGCCTTGGAGGAGGCCTACAGGACATAGCTGAGGTCGAGTCGATAAGAACGCCCTCCATCTCTCGCCTGGATGGCTTCAATATAGATGACGCTACCGGAAGTGTCATGAACCGAGCCAAGCCAGTTGATGGAAACAACCTCTTTGGCGGCCGACAAAAAGTCTACAGGCTCCCAGCCAACGGCTCCGTGGGAAAGGATGGTAACATGTCCAGCAGAACTCTTCTCGAGGACGATGTGGGTCTGTCTGCCTTTCAAAAATGGCGGCTGGCAGAGAAGGAAAGGCAGAACGCCGATGGAGGCGACTCTAATGAAGCGGAATATTCCGAGCCTCAATCAGAGCCTCAATCGGAGCCCCAATCGGACTCTCTATTGGAGCCGCTGCAAGAGTCTCAGTCGGAACTCCTGTCAGAGTCCCGGTCTGAGACTAGCCGACGAAGAGAGACAAGCTCAACCGTTTCATCGGTTGCGGCTCGCTACTCCACCGCAACATCAGTTACCTCCCAAGGCGCACCGTCCATCAGGGACTCCCAGGTCACTTCGTCGACTTCCACATCCTCTGCGGAGCGGAGTGTCCTTAGGACAAGACGTTTGTATGAGCAAGGTCTCAACCGCGACCTTCACGACCAGCAGTCGTCGGCCGTGTCTAGGATGGATTATCTATCCAAAGGCCGCCCCTTTGCGTCTGCGACACCGGAGGTATCAGCTTCGCCAACTGCCAGCTTGTTTGGCGATCGCATTCTTGAGCGCCGACCTATCCTGGCAAAGGCTAGTGCCCCCAACCTGCGGTCGTTCACACCCCCCGTCGCCAACTCTGCGTCGGCTTCTCCCGCCGAGCCCAGCTCCAAGTTCCCAGTCTCTGCTTCCAAGTCAAGCTTCGGGATTCCGCCCATCAGCCCTCCAATGAGCGAGCCTGAAGAGCACCCCCTGCTTACCATTCAGCCCAACGACAGAGGCAAGGCTACGGCAATGGGCGTTTTTGAGAGACCGGCTGAGAAATACGACGACTCTACTTACGCCCAGCGACAAATACAGCTTCAGCAGGGACGAGAAACGCCTGTTAGCAAGCACCGCTCTGTGGAATCTAGTGCCTCTATTTCAGATGCCAGGTCACAATCTTCTTCAGCGATACAAACGCAGCCACTGGAGAAGACTGAGCTCGCTGTACCCAAGTCTGCTGCTTCTGAAGATCCATCGTCCTTTTTTGATGACAGCGACGACTCTTCCGTCCTGAGCGGACTGTTGGCTACTTCTGGCAACCCCCCAAGACTGTCTGTCGAAAGACCCAATGACGGTGACCACCCAGCCTTCAAGAACTCTGCTGCCATTCCTGCTCCCCTTTCACTTGGTCCCAGAACATCGGGCGGCCTGTCCGTTGCCAGTCCTGCACCTGGACCTCCACAGGACTCTCCCACGTTGGGGCCGAATAACGGCTTGAGTGGCATGGTGCGGGCGCATCTGCGCAGCGACAGCAATGCTTCATCGATCTATGGCATGCCGGCACAAGACTCGGAGCAGAGTGCGGCACAAACCACGGCGCAAACCACATCACAGACCGGTTTGGGCTTGGATTATGACCGTAGCCCCGGTCCAGCGCGATCAGCTGCTAATGGGCGAGCCATGATGTCTCGGTCTCCTTCACGCCACAGGACTTCAAACGACGATGCAGAGAGAGAAGAGGAGGACGAATTTGCCCGTCATCTTGCGGATGGCGCTCGACGCGTCCGCGAGAAACTCGGCTCAATGGTTGACCCCGAGATGGATAAGCCCTCTCCGACGGCAGTGCCATCCTTGGAGAGCCTCAAGGATGTCCCACCCCCGCGGACAAATGCATTGGGCATCCTAAAGTCGAAGTCCAGCCATACCTCACTCTTTGATCGCCAAGCTCGCGACCAAAGCCAACCGAGGGCCATGAAGATGGTCATGTCATCAACCTCGAACAGAAACATGTCGCCTTCTCGCAGAGAATCCACTGAGAACGCAGATGATTCACGTAGAGGTCGTTCAACACAGGCCCGAGAGCGGCCGTCGGAAGACGGAACCTCAACAGACAAGGAGGACAACGTCCATGTTGGTCTCAAGGCCTTCCGTCAAGCACGCCTCGAGCTTCAGAAGATGAAGGATCTAGAAACAGCCCAGCGACCACCGGAACGGCCCCCAATGGGATCGCGAGTAGGGTCTCACGACGTAGGCGGCCCACCACCCGCCATGTTTAACAGGAAGGCGCGTGATGAGTCTCGACATGGAAGCGGTTCTCGGGCAACTTCCCGAGCAGGATCGCGAGCTCCGTCGGAGCGAGAGAGAAGCGGATCAGAAACGAGCAATGCTGGCCCACCTCCGATTCGACCAATGCGGTTGAGAAACGGATCAAATGCATATGATGATCAGTACATGCCGGTTAGTCCGCCTGGCAGTGCTAGGAGCGCCTCGGGCATGAGGCAGGGCCCCCCAAGTGCTCGCCAACGTCCTCCTTACGAAGCGGGACAGCCTTCCCCGATGGCGTCTCCTGTTGGCATGGGCACGAGATCTAGGAACGGCAGTCTTCTCGGAGCGACAGCTTCCACTCCGAACCTGCTGTCGAATGCAGCGGCCCCTCCGCTGCCACCAATCAACCCCCGGCGCAAGAATGCCCTCGGCCGAGCCAGCGAGGATGACATGCAATCACCGCGGGTCCCCGGAGGCTTCCCGGGTCCAGATGACTCGGATGACGACACCCTGGCGGCGCGTCGACACAAGTTGCGCAAGGCCACAAGCGAAGGCACCAGCTTGAGATCACGAAACAACCCTCCCAGCAACGGCGTGAGACCACCACCCATGCCTCAGGGAAACATGCCTAACAACAGATTTCCCGGCGGTCTCTTCTAAGGCCGTCTCATCCTCCTCCCTCCCATTCTTCTTTGAAGCATGACTGCGTTGCATCTCACTTTTTCATTTTCACCTACTAGTTGTGATGTCCCCCCATCTAGCCTACCATGGCAAACGAGTAAAGAACGACAAAGATATCTCCAACAATACATCGACATTGTAATACTATAACGGCTGCTCAATACCAAAACATGCGTGGGCGCGCTTTTGAGCTTGTTTCTGATTCTTTTTTTTTTTTTCTTTTTCTTTTGGCACTTTGCACTTTGTTCTTTTCTCTTCCCTTTCATCATCTACGATATGTGCTGATTCGGGGATGTAACTTCTTCGAGAACTTTTGTTTCTTGTCTTTTTATTTGACTTTGCTTGTTTTTCTCTGTAGAGAAGCGGTTTAGTGGTGGACAGTTTATCAGGCGGGACTTGAAATCATAATCATGGCGTCGGGATTTGCTCTTACGAAAAGAGACTAGTCAAAGGAATCAATTCACACGGAAAGGAATCGGGGTGGGGTTTTCGGGAGAGCAATATGAGGCGGATGGTGCGGAGTAGTTGCACTAGATGCAGTGCTGTCTGCGTTGTACGCCGTACTTTAGGTGAATTGAAGACGAACTAAAAAGATGACACTATTTTGCCTGTTTAGCCGTGTAGCCGCACATTGTGCTTGATGGTCCTATTGATGGCAATCGGAGTTATAGCAATTGCTCGCTTTCCCTATTACTCCGAACTCTGGCAAGACGGTCTGTCGTATGATCAGTAAATCGGGGAAATACTCGTCTGCCTGCAAGCTGGAGTCAGGAGGAGCCCCCTTTGGCTTCGGGCGATGCCTCACGACTCCCCGAGCTGAACAGCTTGAGCTACGTTACGTCGGGGCCCGTCGGCTGGGCACGAGTTTTAGTGCTTTCGGTGTGTGACTGTGGCTTGGGAATAGGGCGGATTGAGTCTCTCTTGTTTCTGTCTCCTTACGTGGGGGAATGGTGACTAGCTTGAGTGGGCGTGGTCGTCTTTTTTTGGGATAGGTTGTCCGAGATATATTTATTTTGCGAGGTGCAGCTTCTTTGGTTGAGCTTTCTTTGCTTCTATCAACTCCCGGTATCTTTTGGAGATATTGAATAGCGCTGCTTTTATTTGGTCTTTGCAAGTCCTTTGTACTGCATATCTTGGTGAGTTTATGTTGTCCCGTTGGTATCCCCTCCTGTCAAGTCAATTGAGGATTATTTGTCTAGACGCGGGGTTGAAGAAGTTAAGAAAAACACGGCTTGCTAAGCCTCCTTCTAGGTCCTGGTCCAAGACGTTTAGGCTTCCAAGTCGACAACGATATAGAGAAATAAGGAAAAGCCATGGCGTTTATTCGACCGTATAAGCCCTCTGACTTTGAGGGCATGTCCCACATTGTAAGTCCAAAAACCTTCTTGTGTCGTGCCGTGTCGTGAGATACCCTTATTACCCCATACCCCACAACTCAAACTCATTGTCACTTCTCACGCCCGAATCTCACGGTGCCGGCAAGCTTCCGCCACGGCAAATCTCACCCATGAGCCACCTCTCCTATTCTCTCGCCATCTCTCACATATCCCGTCCCTCGTGATCAAAATACGAATTTGGCCTCTTTTTTTTTCTCACTCTTTTTGCCTTCCGCACCCCCTCACAGTGCCGCGAAACGCTCAACCCTGCCCTCCGTCCGTCTGTCGCAGGCCGTCGCCTCGCCCCCTATTGCTGGACTCACCAGTACACGCACCTCTCGCCGACGACATGCTTTGTGCTCGATGACGGCTCCGGCAGGCCTGTGGGCTACTGTATCGGGTGTCCTGACATTCCCGCCTTCGTGGCCGCCTACGACTCGTACACCAAGGAGGTGCTGGACGTCTCGCCCGAGATAACGCGGCCGGAGGATCTGGAGCTCAAGGAGCCGCTGTTCTATGAGGATGGCAGCATCAATGAGGTGTTTCTTTCGAGGTTGGCGTATAACCCGCAGTTGCTGCTGATCGATGGCAACGCGGACTTGTTGGCGGAGTACAAGGCGACGATGCACATTGATTTGCTGGACGAGTTCCAGGGCAAGGGCTGGGGGAAGCAGCTCATTAACAGCTTCGTGGAGAGCATCAGGAACGTTCCGCAGAAGGACGGGAGTGTGAGCAAGGGCATCTGGATCGGCGTGGCGGGGGATAACGGCAAAGTGCTGCCTTTCTACGAGAAGCAGGGCTTCAAGCTCAAGGGGCGGCCTGTGGAGGGCAAGACCTTTTTCTTGGTTAGGGAATTTTAAGGGTGTTCGTAGGGAGATTGTGTAGAGACAAGAAGCTTGTTTGAAGTATACTGACGAGTAATGATTGCAATTTGAATGATATTTTTTTGGTATTGATTTTTGTCTGTTTTTTTAATATCTCCTTAAGCTATTTCAATCTGTCCCAGTAAATCGATCAAGTAAACCTGACACATAGGAGCTCGGGCATTTTCTGCGCGTCGAATGTCTGCTCATTTTTTGCTTTCCAGCGGGGACAAACAGAGGAAATGACGTTGGTGGTGTGAATTTCCCCAACAAATCGTGTACATGGTGTTGGAGAGAGAAATAGGAAGAAATCGTCAATCTGCCCTCCCATTATAATAGTACAAGGTTCCCGCGAACAACCATTCCGTAGCCCATGAATTCCCAATAACCCAAGGAGAAAGGAAAGAAGAAGTGAAGAAGAAGAGCCGAAGAAGACAAATTTCCAAAAAGGCAAGTTCGTCGAAATAAATAAGATAAAAAAAGGGTATCGCACAGGGAGCTCTGCTCCGAAAAAAAAAAAGAGGAGGCTGGTTCGTTCCGGTCGTGTATTATAAAAGTCTCGATGCCAAGATTTTATAAGATGTAGTGTGTTGGTGAGTGCTGGACAAAGTGTCAATCATGGTATTCGAGAGAGATTTACAAACACAGTGGCATCGAGACAAACCTTGGTCGAGCAATTAGCACATGGGGCAGTGGGAGCACTGCTTGTGGCCGCATCCAGTGCAGGTCGTGCTGATGACAATCATGCCACCGCATTGGCAACAGTACTCGTAGGCGGGCATGTTTGCTGAAGTGGAAGTAGTTTGAAGTTTGAAGTGAAGGAGCTGATGGCGAGATCTCTGCCTTGTTGGTGAAGTATGCTGTGATGTTCTGAAGAGAGTGTAGAGAGTGTAGAGTGTGTAGAGAGAAGAAGGAGTAAAGGAGTGAGGAAGGGATGGGGAGGAGGAGGAGGAACAACTTATTATAGTTCAAACAAGGCGGCTGTCTGAGACGGGTGGGCTGGCTAAAAAGTGTAACGGCAAAATGGAAGCATATTCAGTCCAAGGTTACAGTTTTGACATCAAGGTATTAGTCCTAACACGACTAAGACATGCTTAGTACGAGTACGGGGCACAATGAACGGGTTGCCGCATGTTACTTTAGTACGAGCATACTCGTGCAAGTTCTATGCGGAAAAGCCTTGGCCAGGCAGCCTTGAATGCTAGCTGGCTGTGGCCGTGGCTCACGGAACAGGTGGACCCCAATATCGAGGAGGAGGAGAAGTCGAAAAAAGATGGATGGATGGACCGCCCGTCGGAGAGATGATTGGCGAGACCGGCAGATGACTGAGACGGCACCGCAGCACTGAGACAGCAACTTATCGGGTTCTGATGACGCATTTCCATCTGTCATGAGCCGCATCAGGCAATTGGAGAGCTGCCATAGGTGGGATTGGTGATACTGCTAGTTGGAGGGTGGCGCGACACCAGCAGGGATTGCGATCTGCTCTAAGGCATGGGGTGCATGGTGATTGGGCCGCGGGGCCACCGGACGAAGCATCTCGCAGCAAGACCCCTAGGCGGGTGTTGTTTTTGGTAATTCAATTTGATGTTTTTTGATGTCGATGCTATTTTTTGCCATGTGAAGGGTGTATACTAACTATAGAGGGTTTTGAAAATTATGGAAGAAGTCAAGTGAGTACCTGCCTAGCACCTACTACCTAGTACTTCGCACTTGTAGTGTACATACATCAAGGACTGCCCGAGTGCCGCCGACTGGGGCGAAAGAAACTTCTCCGTCGGTCTCTCTCTCGCCTCGCCGTCAAGCTCCCGATTCCTCCCGACAATTCACACAGCAAATCGTCAGAGCGTGGGATGCTTTCCTTCTCCTCAAATCTTGTGCATCTCATGACTCCTCAAAACTCGGCGACAATGAGGCCATCAGCAGGCAGGCAGTCAATCCCCCACGCCCGGAACACCAGAAATTGGCTGAATAGTCAGAGTTTAGGGTTTGCTGTGGCCTGCTAGCGGACGAGTCGACGTGCGGGGAAGCTCGAGCACAGACGAGTGGCGCCAGGGATAAATGCGACAGTTCGGCTTTGAGGGCGACGAGACGCTGCTGCTAAGGCATGCACTGCATATTGCCCGGTCCAATATTGCTACGACGTGCGCTACGGCGACTGCAGCTCGATGCAGGCAGCTAATATTTGGTACCGGTCAGTCCCATGTGCGGTATGTGATGCCGAACCCAGTCCAGCCCAGTCGAGTCATAGTATTGGATTGATCCTTCTCCGTCTCAGCCGGGCTGCTTTTCTCACGCACCAGGTGGCGAGTGGTCGTCATTCCGCACGGGCGAGATTGGTCTCAAGCCAGCTATCAAGACAAAAATAAGTACAGTACATACATTCAACATACACATACGAGGAGAAACCAAACCAACAAAAAGAAAAAAAAAGCAAATATTAAGCAAGATGGAAGTGATCGACGACTCGGCGGAAGCCATGACGGATGCTCGCAACCAAGGCAAAACTTTGAACCTGAGCCTGTCTCGTCACGACAAGGGGGCTGTGGGTGTGGCAAACCCGTCAACATGCACCTGAATGCGGCCTCAGCCAACCCGCCCGCAAAGCTTCATCGTGGTGGTCTCCCCGTCGAAATTATTCGGAACACCAACTTTCCATCGTGTGAGAGCCAGGGGTACGTAGCTTGTCCATTCCTGGCCATGAAAATTCCAAGTTCAGCGGGGCTATCCGGGGAAGCGATCCTGGTCTCTCAATCTACGTCACTGCAGCCGCCGAAGTAGCGTTCTTGATTTGATGTTTCCAAGTGGCAGATCGTTGCACAGCTGTGCCTCCTGAGTGGCAAATCACGAGCCTCCGTACATGGCAAGTACCATTATTAGCAAAGATGCCCTCTGGGTACTCGGACAATACAAGGCAGTTGCATGGCCTCGCGATGGAGCTTTCAACTACAGCTGATGGACATGGTATCCCCTGGTCACAAGCTATTCTTGGCTTCGATGGTGCCGGATAGGGTGCCTACACTGCTGCTGCAAAAGCAAGTGTAAGTGCGCTACTGCTGTAGGTGCATACTAACTTGCCGTGCATGTGCTGGATGCTATGTCTATGTTCATCACATATCATTAGAAGTTCTTGTGGTTGGGACTGCCAGAAGTCTCAATTAGGACATTGGCTTTGCTGTTTTTGCCGCTGCCATAGAGTAAGCAGCTTTAAGCGACATCTTTCGGATGCAGACGAAAACTGATGCCTGCATGATTCGCCGACCTCAGTCCTTTCATCCCGCGCGGGCGGGATCGTGCGCTCAAACGTGACCTCGAGGCCCCTTTTGATGGCTCTTGATGGCTCTTGATGCCTCGGTCGGGGGGCCAACCTCAAAATACGAGCCCAAAGCACACGAAAAAGGTCGTGCCGCTCATCTTTCGGAGTTAAACTGGAGAGAAGGATGTTTAGCTTGATTCTTCCTGTCGAATATCATTGGACCTCGCGAGAACCGATGCTAACCTTGCAGACCAACTCACAACGTGCCTTCTGATCCCTGTCAATACTTGTATTTCGAAATAGTCTTACAGACACAACCACTTCCGGTGAGTAGATATTGCAAGAATAAGGAGTGATTACATTACTTCGTGTCATAAAAATAGCTAGCCATCCCCATCCACGCCCTTTTCAGGGATTCACATACGCCGATGGCATCGCTGTCGCACCCTCGAACATGACCTTTTTCAACTTACCCACGTCCACTCCATGCAGCACACGCGCATTTACTGGATGAGACTCCTTGCCTCTCCAATAGGCTTGACGGGAATGCTCACTCAGCGCCAGTATCTCGTCTTCAGAGAGTTGATTTCTGAGATTTGTCACGTTGATGCCGCAAGTGCGGCAGAATGTTTTACTTGTCAGCCCATCGGAGAATGTGTAGCTACCGATGGCATCCTCAGATCCTGATAGTACTATGTTTTCAGGCCTAGGGAAGAGCCAGACGTATGCGTTCTATCTTCAAGTTTAGAATGATGAACGCGACAAACAGCCCGATTTGCATATTGGGAGGACACGACTAACCCGAGAGCAGATGCTACAGTTGCATACAACTACCTTTTCTTCGCTAAACTCATTCAAGGGCTTGCACGATAGAGCCACAGTAACGGCACCGCAATGACAACTTCCAGTGTATGATTGGCCGCTCTCAACATTTTGCGGGACATCTCCCTTATGTTCTGGAGGCAAATACTGGGGCCCAATCTTGGAATTGAAGACGCTGTACACTGTTATTCTCAACTCTTCTCTGTAGATGTACTTGTCTGAATAACTTACTTTTTTCGCTCCAGGAGATTCACATCAACATTCTGAAAGGCTCGTGTCTATCCGTCTTCGTGAGCAATACGATCACAACGGGGCAGATACTCGCCACTACTTACATTCAGCAGCAGTTTCAAATGTGGAGGGCCGTTCGGCATTCTTGAAAGCAGGCTTGTTGCGCATTTAGGACAAAACTGCAATGGGGTCAGCAATTATCCCGGATGCTCATCGCCTGTCTTCGACTTTGCATACCTTGTGAATCTTATTTCCAGCAAATGTATAAGACTTGAGCCTCTCCTCGGTTCCTTTAATGACCCTGAAGTTGCTCTCCTCGTCTGTCAAAACGTATAGATTGCCCGTGCGGCTGCAGAAGCTGCAATCGCATTCCACGACGGATCTTAGCTCGGGGAGGTCGACTTCATAGACAAAGTTGCCGCAGTGGCAGTTTCCTCGATATGTGCGCCGGTCCGGCTGGTCTTGGACCACCGTCATGATGAATAAAAGAAACTGGGGGGAAAAAAAAACGCCGGCTATGCCGAATATGATGAACAGGCACGAAACCGTCTGCTAAGGTATAGCATGAATTGAACTGAAATGCCTTCTCTCTAGAAAAGTTGCGGCTTGATGTTCCCTCTTAATGATGCAGGAAAAGAGCTTCATTCCAAATCTGTGCCGCGTTGTTTCGCTTCCCGCCTTTATTAAGCCTTTTGCAGTTGTGACAAGCAAAGACCCCTGCCTCAAAATATTTGGACAAATAATTGACTTGCTCTCTTAAGCCCCTTCCCCAACAAAGGATGGTTCAATCTGCCAAGCTAGTGTGAAATCATCAGCTATCAGACTGTTCCTCCTGACTAAACCGGGCCAGAAAATAGAAGAGAAGAAACGTTGGGGCCAGGAAAGGCAGCCAGTGATTCTAAGTATGCCACAGTGGAGCAAAATCCTAGACTAGGTTGGTAGTATTGCAAAATACGTGCTCTTTGGAAGCGACGGTCCGGGAAGATGAAGATGACGTCGGCTCGTTGGGGAGCGTACACAGAGAACTAGTATGAAGCAATTTAACGAAGAGAATTATGGCATCGTGATAACTCTGACCGCCTAGAAAAGGTGAACTATGGTGTGAAATATGCATGATTACACATAAAACCTCGGTTTCGCTCCCGCTCCTATCAGGTTCTGTCGATAGCACTAGACCAGAACAAACACCACGTTAGTCATGGGACAAGGAATAGCCGATTCATTGATTTATAAGTGAGCTCAGCAGCCGAAAGAGGGAATTTCTTCAGGGGCGTGGTTCTGGTTTTGGGCGGATGGATTTGTTGGCAAACGAAGAAGGATTGTGGCGATCCACTTTTGTTCACTAATCATGGTTGTCAAGGTGCGACTTTGTTGAGGCGGAATTTTGGGCGCTTTGGGGGAGCTGGAAGAAGTGTTGGAGGATTGAAGGATGGGTGTTTGGGTAGTGGTTCTTGGGTTGCCTGTGGATTGATTTGAGATGAGTGTGTTTGCTGTAATTGTTATGGCTTTAGGGAGCCGCCAACTTGGGTTGATACTAAAAGTAATAGTCAGAGATAGATGTAGTAGGCAGAGATAGATGTAGTAGATAGAGATAGATAGAGTAGATGGATATAACTAGAGTAGCTGGATATAGGTAGAGCAGATAGATATAGATATAGTAGAACACAGTAGATGCAGCAGATAAAGATGGGCAACCTCTACCAGTTTATGATAGGAGCACAGAACATCTCCCTTCCGACCATTTCCCCGAAGCCTCATTCGTCAAATCCCAGGTATCCCAAACATTTTTCGCATACTCTTTCATCCAATCAGTAGAGATAATCACATCAGCCTCTCCCTGTCGCGGTTCCCGTAGGAACAACAGTCGAAAACTCAGTATCAAGTCGCTACTTTCCACCACTTGGTAGACTGATGGGTTTGCCCAGCTTCCAGTAATTGTGATTCTCTGTTGACAGCCAGGGACGCTCCCAAACTCTCCGTGCTGCCTTTCTTCCCATCTCTCCACAAGTAGTGTACGTTGAGCTGGGATAATTTTCGCTAAGACGGCAATCTTAACGTTGTGATCCGAGTCCTTGAACCAAGCTCTCGCCTTTCCTCGCATGTCTGCCAATGTCTGGGAATATCCAGCCTCAACCACCAGCGTTGGGAATGTAGGCGCGGGATGTCCTTCCCTCGGGCCTCCGGATGCGTCTGCTTGTTTTGCCCCTCCGCTGACAGAGGAACGACGTGCATTATAAAAAGTCGTGTGTCCTTTGCAATTCCATCTCCTCTCTAAGCCCATCCGATAGATCTGAAATAAGAGCTCCCTATACAGCGTCAAGCCAAGCTCTTCGTGCACGAACGTAGGAACCGTTATTATCAGACACTTGCAGTCTTCATTGTACATAGAGAGGCGGATCTTATTCCTCTCGTACCCATCATCTAGCCTCTTGAAGACCGTGGGGGATACGTCTAGAAGAGAGTGAGAGTTAGAAAGAAAGGGGAGAAACAACTTGAAGACGGGAGGGGCAGACATACTGGTGACGCGCAACGCATCTCCTGGCGCGGTATCAATTGCCCTGACTAGATTTCCAAGGTTGGTAAATGGAATTGTCGGTAGTGAAGCGTGTGTTTCTTGATACATCGATTGCGGCATTCCGAATGTAACAACCGTACAGATGTCATTGAATGTGTAGCAGTAGGAATGATGCTTGCACAGTGTTCAAGACGTGTATGCTTTATAGTTTATATGGCGTAATTCTAACATCAAGGGGCCAGATATTAAAGTTTTCAGGGCGACTAACACTGTATTTAGAATGGATACAAGGATCCTGCTTCTATTGTGGGAGTACTCACGGCTTGTAGTCTCCTACTGGGACCATAGGTTCTCACGGTTCGATGTAGACGTACCCACCGTCCTCTTTACCATAAAGAACATCATGTTGCAATATAACCGCGTGGCGCATTGGTTTGGTCTGTGAAAACAGTGCTACCGCATGATGTATTCGTTCCATGTACCCTGAGGGTTTCGTTTCGGAGCATATATACCAGTAGCAGCTGCAGTATGATAGTAGCTAACAAATGTTCAGGCCTCTTTATGGAAGCTTACGCCTTTCTGATGTATCTTGAACTACTGTATCATGGCCTGTTCATTCCACTTCCTTCTCTCACTTCGAAATATGACCCCAGTAATGGCACATGCGTCGAGATTGGAGAAAATGCTTGTATCAGACGGCTTGTGGGTGATGTGACCGACTGCCAATAATCGCTGGATAATATGGCTAGTGCTAAAACGTTTGTCAAGTATATCATCCTAGATCAAGCGCGGGCTTATTGGTAGCTTGTCCTCCATGAAATGGGGACCTCCTATGCTTCGCCTCATTGAGGAGACGGGAATCCTTTCAGCCAGGTATTGACACGTTGCTCGCTTATATTAGTCACAATTGAAGTTGAAGACGACTTCTATTTGTTCCTCTCCAACTGCCATATCAGTGCTTTCAAGTTGACTAGCATAAAATTGAGAGGCAACGTGAGGTTTGTTTCCATTGGGGGGTTTTTGTTTCCGATTGAACACCAATTTGAATCAGTTTCCTTAAAAGTTGAGCACCGGCTTTAAAGTTTCTTGCAATAACGGTATGATTTTGAAGAGCCTAGAATTCCCATGACGGGATTGTGGTAGCACAGTGACGCCAAAGTCACTTTCTAATCACAAACATAGAATAAGTTCCTCGCTCTCCTCGCTCTTCATCACTAATTCGTTGAACCTAGATATTAAGGCATCATTGAGATACTTCCTACAATTTTGGACAAATATGACACCAAATTGCATGATCGAATAAGTTGTAGTTTTTTTCAACCCTCCAAACGCCGAACCCGCCCACAAGAGGTCACAGACATACTAGACACTCCAGAAAATGGGAGGAAAGCAATCATGAGATTGTTACCCAAATATCTTGATTAGGAGAGATAATAAAAAATCCTAAAAGAAGGAAATTAAGTAAAAAGGTCACCTCTGCGAGTTCTTTGTCCATTGCATTCAAAATACCTCCCGGGTTCCGGGAGTGTGGGTATAGTGTCCTATACATACGGGCCGAACATGGGCTCGACGGAGACGTCAAACGCATCCATAAATACGATAGAGCAAAAACATCCATGGGAAGCCAGCATTACCCCGAATAACAAGCCTTGGTAGTATGGATTCCGGCGAGCCGATCGGTCGCTCTTTTTATCTTGATGCAGGTTTTGTATATCGATCGTTTCATATCGGTCGAATCCCAGAGATTGCAAAGTGGCAGCTCCCAGTGATATCCATCTCCAAAGCATGCAAGATATCACCAGTAGATGCCATGCGAGGAATGCGACCATCATAAGGAACCAGATGAGGTTACGAGCGCGACACTGCTCCATAGGAAGCCAGGGTATTAGGAGTTCGGTACTATGTTCTTCTCCAAATCTTTTTCTGGCAGGAGTGCAATCTGAGCCGGAAAAGCTCAGTAGATATGATAGGGTCCAGGTGGAGCGCCATTCAAAGCTCTTATAGAGTCCTATTGCAAAGTTTGGTAAAACGCCAAGGTTGTACTCATGGCGACGCCCAAAAGTGTGGTCGTTGAAGCCGGGAGGAGCTGGCAAGCTAAAATCGGCCGTCATTTGGCAGTCATGGCTCAACTTTTGAGTAGACTGGGATGACTCAGGTGAGTATAACGTCAAATTGTTCCGGCCATTACTTGCATACGTACCTCATCCATGCAAAAGAGCAAGAAGTCTTTCTGCGATGTCCATTTCGCATAACGCGTAGCACCTAACGATATCCACAGAGCGAGAATGCCTGCAATAAATGTAAGGACCGCTAGAATCCCCCCACAAACCTTCCAGGCTCCTTTTCTCAGGTCACAAGAGGTCGAGTTGCTTTGCTGGGGAGCCACGCTTCGAATCCTTAGAGATAAAACGTGCCGCCATCCTTTCATAAGGAAGTGCATTGCATATCTCAAAGCAGTTGCTACATAACCAACAAGGGTATTTATAGAGGCCCAAACCGTTGCCGCATAACCAACAAGGGCTTTTATAGAGGCCCAAACCGTTGCCGTTAACGGTAGGACGGTAGAAAATGTGTCCTTAAGGAACAAGATAACTCGAGGCGCCATTGCAAGGATGAGAAGTGTGGCGATTGTATCGAGAGAAATTGTGCTTGTTCTTTTTAATAATTATCGGTCATTACTGAAAAGAAGCGGGGGCTCGAGCATGTAAACATGGACGTAAAATGCTGTGCAGACATGTTTACTAGGGGGGGGGGCCAAATGGCTGAACTCTTGTTGGTTCGCTTCCCTGGCGTATCCTATCCCTGCATTAGTACATGTCGGTCTGAAAGGAATATGTGAGCCATGAGGCTAATTGGTTGAACAACCCGGGCTACATAAGTACACAAGCAATAAAACACGGCTGGTTCCATGTCAGCCCCGTCGTAGTCCGTGAAAATCGCCAAGAAGGCGGAATGTTGATGCTGGACAAGGTATCGACCTAGAATCGAGAGGTATGACCTCAACATTTCATCGATGCGGTATTCACTTGCTCTCGAAAGTGTTTGTGTTTTGAAGGAAAGGAGTCATCGATGGCAGCGGCCCTCATTAGTAGGCACCATGGTCGAGGGTAAGAGACGAGGTCTCAATATTGCAATATTGCCAAGACTGCTAAGTTCTGACTTGTTAACGATAGATTGGCGGCGCGCCAAATCCACATGAGCCGTGTTTTCAAGTTCACAGTTGGATATGGTCCTTCTCGGATTTGGAACCCGAGAATTCTACGAGTACATTGCATTGAGTGCGTGATGGAGAAATTTTGCTGCTTTCATTCACGTCCTGGATTATTTGACTTCAATTTTGTATATTTACTTTGAATAGTTGCTTGACTGACCTGTCCTGATACATGGTAGCTTGTCGACATTAGTTATGTCACAGCGTAGATATAGATTCAGATCGACTTAGCTGCATTGTATTGCAGCATGCCAGTTTATTTCCATCACTGGTAAGATCCAGATTCTCCATATTCCCAACGTGGGAATTGGCTCTTCGGGTTGATCGCGTATGGAAAGGGGATTGGCTCGGGATCGGAATCGTTTGCGATGTTCTTGAGGCAAAGGTCCGCATGTCTCTCTCATGCACGGACATGATGGTAATAGAGTCTCGGAAGAGAGCGAATGCAGGTGACTATCGATATATTTTTCTGCGGGCCTTTTTTAAATATTTGGTAGATGGCTCATAGAGATTCGTGGTGTAGCGGACGTTGGCGTAAGCTCGAAGGTCAAAATTCCAAGCTGGTGGTGTAACGGTTTATTGAGGGGCGAGTTGAGTGGTGATAAATTTGAAATGGTCCTGCATATATTTCTTGAATGCCAGGCTTCCAATAGGGAGATACTTCTGAAAAGACTGTACAAACTCCCATTCAATTATTGCAGAGTAAAGTTATATTGAATACATTCTTGTTCCCGGCATTTGACGAGGGACTATGTCAACCCGCGTAGCAGCATGTAGGTTTCGTACTCAAGGTGTAATTTTGCGCATCAGGGCAACAGCTTTTTCTTGGGGAATAGTATCTTCCATGTCAATTGTCAGGCCAGCGTGGGCTTGATCTGATTCGCAGGCTTTGATGTTATTTGTAGTACATATTGCATTGATGTGAAGCGACTTGCCTTTGCCACGGTGGTTGCTGTCTCGAGTTTCTGACTTGAGGCTTGAATTCTGTAGTTGCATATGATGTAAGGGTTATGATGTATTCGGCGCTCCAAAAGGAAAAATACGGGCCGTCATGTCGACGCCGATGGAGGGAGTAAAGAATAAAGAGTGTCCATGTTCATCATCTTGTATGTGTTTTTGTCAATATGAGAGTAAGAGTACGTATTCGGTGAGGAGAGGATGAGAAAGGAACATGATCGCTGAAGGAGGACATTACGGGTTTATGTAGATGGATATTCTGTAGGGATTGATGTTGTTCGTGATGTTACTTTTGTTTTCAAGGCAGATCAAGGATGCGTAATGAAAAAGTCGGTCGACGGGCAACTGCTTTTGTGACGACACTTCATGACGCTGTATTTACCAGTGTCACTTAGATTTAAGGGTGTTCTCTTGATGCGTGTTGCCGTCAGAGAGGGTTTCTGCATCTATTTCCAATCATATCTAGTACATCTATCCATATCTAGTACATCTATCCATTTCTAGTACATCTATCCATTTCTAGTACATCTATCCATTTCTAGTACATCTATCCATTTCTAGTACATCTATCCATTTCTAGTACATCTATCCATTTCTAGTACATCTATCCATTTCTAGTACAGCCATCTCCATCTATTCTCTACATCTCCATCATTACATTCACCTTCACCTCCATCTCCCATCTACACGCAACTATCCCGCAAGCACATGTGGGCATCCGACAATTCACCAACGTCCGGGGCAACCAGCCGTGATGATTTGCTGGCATTGTGGAGCAATGAGATATCTGGGCTTTGACCGCTTGAGTCAATGCATCGGCGATGACTGTCAAACAAAACCTTATTTCATACCCAGTCACTGAATCCATCCTGGTGAGTGCATTGACTGCATCCTAGGCATCAGCATTAGTCCCCTGTGTTGTTCTGTAACCAGATCTGCCCATGCACTGCATCTGGGGCCTTTAGCGCCCTGCGATGGCCCAGCGTGGCTGCGGATTAGGCCATTTCCCCCCTAGTTTTAGTGGCTGTGTTCCAAGGCATCTTCACTAGGCAGAACCAGTAATCTGCGAGCCCACTTCAACTCTAAAACTCCCCATCCTAACCATTGACATCAGCATCGGCCATTGCTCGTAATGTCAAAGCGTCGCTCAGCCTCCGCCATTGGATTATTTGCCCTCATGCAAATGGAGACGTGAGCCGAGAGGGTTTCTGTATATTGCAGATCAACCCTTGTCAGCCTGGCTGTTTCTTCTCTTTCGTTGTCCCTTTGTGGCATTTTGTTCCATCGATCTCCTGGCCTGCTTGTTACGGCATTTGCTGCCGAGAGTTGAGGCTGACAATTGAACTCACAATGACTGATGCCTTGACAGTAGTCCAAACTCTACCAACCTTGCAACCCCAGACAGGCGAATGAATCCGACGGCAAGTGAATAACAGACCGCTTTTAGCGCACCAGGTGATGCATAGCTGCCGAAGTGGAGGTTCTCCAGCCCAAAGCATCTGCGGCTGAGGGCCAACCAGAACCAACTAACCCCAAGACGAGATGGTCTCTGACATCGGCGTTGAGCAATCGTTGCATATAAGTACGAAGGATGGATTCCTCAGTTGAACATCATTGGGAGGAGGCCATCGGCTGTCTCATTGGTTGAGTCTGCGCAGTGATTCCGCTCGTCTTATCTCATCTCACCCCTGATGGTATCATCTATTTGCCTCAACCCCGACCAAGATTATACCTATAGAGACCTCTGAAGAGCCTCCCAGCCATGACCAATCTCAACAAACAGAACCAGGATGCTGGCATTCCTGTTGTTCACGCCCAGCACGAGCAGCTCCCTATCCGTGAGGAGAAGCCTGAACAAGTGACAGCGGATCCGCCTCCCTACGACCATGATACCACCCCTGTCGACCTTCAGCTCCATCATATCAAACCCAAAGATGCTCTTTTTGTCAAGATCCAGCCTCCAAAGGAACCCTCAAAGCCGATTAGCCATGTGGCCTGCGACGTCGTCCTGGTGATTGACGTATCTGGCAGCATGTGCTCGGCTGCCCCTGTTCCCGGTGAAGGTGCAGAAGAAACTGGTCTTTCTGTCTTGGACTTGACCAAGCATGCTGCATTCACAATCATCGAGACCATGGACGAGAGAGATCGACTCGGTATTGTGACGTTTGAGACCGAGTCCAAGGTGGTGCAGTGGCTTGAGCCCATGACAGAAGACAACAAGGAGGAGGCTCGCAAGAGAGTCAAGGAGCTGAGGCCATTGGGCTCGACCAATCTCTGGCACGGCATGCTGGACGCAATCAAGTTGTTTTCCAAGGAGGAAGATAGCCATCGGGTGCCGGCCATTATGGTCCTGACAGACGGCGAGCCGAACCACATGTGCCCATCGCAGGGCTATATCCCCAAGATGAAGTCCATGCCTCCGCTGCCCGCCACTATCCACACGTTTGGCTTTGGATACAGCCTCCGATCTGGGCTGCTCAAGTCCATTGCCGAGTTCAGCGGTGGTAATTATGCCTTTATTCCTGATGCTGGCATGATTGGAACCGTCTTTGTTCACGCTATCGCCAACCTACAGTCCACTTTTGCAACCAAGGCTTCGTTGAAGCTCAAGTATGCAGCCGGATTGGAAATCGATCAGATAGTTGTTGATACTGTGGACAAGCAGACTCCAGTTGATATTGGCAATGGGCAGAAGGAGTGGACCATCTCGTTGGGAAACATTCAGTACGGACAGTCACGCGACCTTTGGCTCCGCCTCAAGGGTGTGCCCCAAGAAAAGCAGGCTTTAGTTGAAGCCACTCTTACGTTTGAGGAAACTGAGAGACCATTGCCAGGATTGGTCTCTGCTCGCCTCGATGACGATGCGCCTGGTGTGACGATCCTCTCCGGTAACGAAGTGGTGTTCCATGAATCACGAGCACTTGTCTACAAATTCATCTCGTCTCTGTTTACTCTCGCATCGGACGGAGAATACCGAGCACTGACAGCGATAAACGAACAAGCCGAGCATCAGAAGAGGCTAGCAGAGCTCATCAAGTCCCTGCCCGGCCGCGAGCTTACCGACGATTTGAATAAGGCGCTGATGGAGGATCTCAACGGCGAGCTGCCCAGGGGGCAGATCAGCCTTGCCCTGTCGACGCCGGAATACTTTGTCAAATGGGGCCGGCATTTCCTGCCGTCGTATGTCAACGCCCTCAGCCGCCAGATCTGCAACTCGTTCAAGGATGCGACGCCCCTTCAATTTGGCTCCAAGAGCCCGCTCTTCATAGCTTGTCGTGATCGTTTGGACAATGCATTTGACAACATTCCGGCCCCTGAGCCATCCAGGGTCATTTTGCGTAACAGAGGCAAAGGCAGGTCTGGCTCCCACGCTCCTCCTACGAGTATGGCCATGTACCGGAACTCTTCTGGAGTGTGCTTCGCGGGCTCGACCGCCGTGGAACTGGCTTCGGGCAAGGTTACAGAAATCCGAAAGCTCAAGAGCGGGATCCGGGTACGCACACCTCTCGGGCCCAGAAAAGTTGCCATGGTCCTCAAGACAAAGGTATCGAGCGAAGTGCTCTGTCGCATCGGCTCGCTGCTTGTCACGCCCTGGCATCCTCTGTCCATGGACGGCAAGAATTGGGACTTCCCAGCCAACATGTCGGACACTCCGGTGCTCTACAGTGGCTTCATCTACTCTGTCCTGTTGCAACCGGACAGGAGGGCGGATGCCCATGCCATTCGCGTTGGAGATGCTTGGGGTGTCACGCTGGGACACGGCGTCACGCGAGGAACGGATGTTCGGGCCCATGAGTTCTTTGGCGACTATATGAGGGTGAGGATCGGGCTGATGAAGCTCGAGGAAGCGGGTAGAAAAGGTGTTGTCAAAGGAGGAGGTGTTGATCGAGATCCTATGACGGGGCTTGTGAGAGGATTTCGACGCATGTCAGAGAATGTACCAACCGAAAAAGTAGCACAAGTCTGATGAAATAGGGGGGAAGAATTCTCATAGGAAGGGAAAAGGGGGCATATGACAAAAATGGAATCCATGTGAGGTCTAGTATATGAATATGAATATGAACATACAGTCCTTTCTTTAGCATATATCTACATCTATCTATATAACAATCCATCTACTCCCGAACAAACAATCCCGCCATGCCCATACCCGTGCCAACACACATGCTCACAACACCAACCTGGCCGCCCTCTCTCGCCAGTCCATGCATCAACGTGCTCGTCATCCTCGCTCCCGTCGCTCCCAGCGGGTGCCCCAGCGCAATCGCTCCTCCATCAGGATTCACCTTGCCCTTCTCCCACGCCTCCATCAGCCCCAGCTCTCGCAGGCAATAAACAACCTGGCTCGCAAACGCCTCGTTAATCTCCCACCGATCAACATCCTCCTTCTTCAACCCCAGCCGGCTCAACAGCTTCGGAATCGCAAGCGCCGGCCCGACGCCCATCTCGTCAGGATCGCATCCCACCGTCGTCGCGCCAACAAACTTGCCCATGATCCGCCCGCTCAGGCCGAGCTCCGTGGCGGTGCTCCGGCGCATCAGCAGCGTCGCCGCCGCGCCGTCCGAGATCTGGCTCGAGTTGCCCGCGGTGCTCTTCCCGTCGGGCTTGAACGCCGGCTTCAGCTTGGCCAGCGCCTCGGCCGTGACGCCCGTGCGGATGCCGTCGTCGCGCGTGACGGTGATCTGCTGCTGCTCGCCCACGGCGTTGCCCTGCTTGTCGACCTCCTGGAAGCGCGTCGTCACCGGCACAATCTGCGAGTCGAACCAGCCGGCGTCCCTGGCGCGCGCCGCCCGCAGGTGCGACTCCGCGGCGACCTGGTCCTGGACCGCACGATCAACGCCGTACCGCTCCGCGACGTTCTCCGAGGTGATGCCCATGGGCATGACGCAGTCCCGCACGCGCTTCGTCTCACTGTCCCGCAGCTCGGGCCACACGTCCACCGGCACGGCCCTGCTGCCGTAGTTGCGCGTCATGCTCTCCATGCCCGCGCCGATGCCCACGTCCGCCATGCCGTTCTGGATCTGCGCCGCTACCAGCGCGATGCTCTGCAGCGACGACGCGCACGCGCGGTTCGCCGTGAACAGGCTGGTGCTATTCGGATAGCCCGCGTGGTTCAGCGCCATGCGCGCCGCCTTGGAGCCGCCCAGCTCGGACAGCACGACGCCCACGCCGACGTCGTCGACGGCCGCAGGGTCCATCTCCGGCACGGCGAGGCGCGTGGCCTTGAGGACGGCGGCGAGCAGCTCTTCGGGGTAGGCGTCCTTGAGGTGGCCCTTGTAGGAGCGGCATATCGGGGTGCGGAGGGAGGAGAGGATGACGACGTCGGAGGGTGCTTTGGCGAGCACGGCGGCGAGGCCCTTGGACATGATGGGCGGGTGTGTTGGTGTGTTTCTGATGGACGCTCTCACTCACTCACTCTCTCTCACTCACACTCATTCACTCATGTGCTGTATAGAAGACAAAGAAGAGGATGATGATGATGAGTATTATTATGTAGGTAGTAATGAAAAGAAGAAAAAAGGAAAGAAGAAATCAAAAATTGCAAAATTCCTCATAAATAATCACCCACCTTACCAATCACTGTATAAACACCACTTCATCCGTTAGTATTTTTGCCATCGACCTTCAAATCTCATCAACTTACATCTCCCCGGCTCCGGCGCCCCACTGGATATTTTTCTAGCTCCCCCGCGTCTTCCCCCCGTATCCGCCGCACTGGCAGTTGCTGTCGGCAATGGGGTCGCTGCACTGTGTCTTTTACCCGGCTACATGGCGCTGATGCACTGTGTTTCTACCCGGCCGCAGGTGCTGAGACACTGTAAATCCTGCTGGAATAACCCAGTGCGAGCAGCTGCACTGGCCGGAACTTGTATCCGGCAATGCTGCCGAGGCCTATCCCGTGCCTTGCCGGCTAAGGTCTTATCCCTCGACTTGAATATGTCAATATCGTTGATTAGTATTTGTTTGCTTGACAACTGGATGCTACAAATTGTATTTGCTATTTGCCATTGGATGTCCTTCCCACATCGCTCTTATACAGAGAGTCTCACATATTGTAACCAACATACTAACCCGCGCCGTGCTGTGCTGTTTGATCCAGCCTGTGCGTGCACCCCTTAGCCGATGCCCTTCCGACCATCTCCGTCCCGCCTCGTTCTGCTGCCGTTTCAAGTCCCTCAAAGTCCCTCCAGAGCTTCAAGCCAAGTAAAAGTAAATGGTGCTTCATCATTCGTCAAAAAGAAGAACAAGTCCAGAATTCCAGATAAACACGCACGCACACGCAAAACATAACACAATATCAATCCCCCCACAAAATAAATCGCTTCAGTCTGATATAACTGACCCATTTTTCTCGTCCCTCTAAATCGATTGACTCTTTTATTGGCCGTATTGAATGCCCAATCCAACACGGCGGCTCTCTGATGCTGCTCCGCCAGCCCTCAGCTTCTTCTGTGGGCTGTCAATCTCATCGGCTCCGGCCTCGCCCTCCGTCGCCGCCAGCTTACGCTTCTCAGCCCCGGTAGCCGTTTTACCGCCGGCGAACAGCTTGGCATGCATGGCTGCCGATTTCTCCGCCGGTCCTGCCGTGCCATCCCGGGATGACACCGCCTTGTGCCCCTGGCCAGGGTGCCGACGTAGCATCTCGGCCGCTGCCTGGCTCGCTTGGCTGTCCTGTACTTGCTCCTCATCCTCTTGTGAACTGAGTGGGCCTCCTGCTGGGGCATCTCGGGATGATAGGGATTGCACCGCCTTGACTGATTCTATGGCCTGTCGAGCAAGCTCCTCATTGTCATCGGCTGAAATGGTGCTCTCTCGTCTTCGTCGCCGTGATTGCCTCTGAGAGGGCGGCGTGGTGGGAACGAACCGTCGCTGTGAATAGCGAGATCTCGGCTCCGTCTGAGCTACCAGGTTAACTGATGGTAGCAGACCAGAGTTGTCTCCACGTAATCTGCTCGAGGGAGTTGTCGGGAGTGATGACATGGACTGGGCATTGCGTTGGTGCCGTCTGACCAGCCGAGAAGCAGGTCGAGCCATGACCATTGGCGTTGACGGCGCACTGTTGTTGTTGTTGGCAGTCATGGCGGCCGCGTTATCTTGAGATTGACTCTGGCTCATGGCTTCCAGTAGGGCCGATAGTCCATGCTCTCGTCCGTCCGTCTCTTCCCGGTGAAGGGCACGAGATGTCGTGCGCTGCTGCTGCTGAAGCTGTTGTTGCGGTGTTGATGTCACGGCTTGCTTTGGTGTCAGAGCACCGTGAAAGATGCCGCCCGGGCTGCATAACATGTGAAAGTGCTCGCGGTTCTCGCGGATGCGGTTCAGCAGCATCTCGCGCTCCTCAGCCAGCGTCATGGTCTCTTCCTCCTTCTGCTGGATCACCTTCTTGGCCAGCTTGACCCTGCGGCTGAGGGCCTCGTTCTCCTCCATTGCTGATTCATACCACATCTTCATCTGCAAGTATTTATTCTGTATTGACTCGGACACCGTGCTCAGCTCGCGCTTGGCTTGCCGAGAATGCTCTGCCATCCGCAATGCGTCCACCTCACGGCGCACCATGTCGTGCTCCACCGCGGCGCGCTTGGACTCTTCATCTGCCTGCAGGCTCAGCAGGTTATACTGCAGCTTGTGGTGTGCTGCCTCCATCTTAAGCTTCTGGTTCTCGGCGATGCACGTCTGCAACATGGCGCGCAGCTCGTCGGCCGACGCCTCGAGCACCCGGTGAGGTGCCGGCGGCGTGTAGTCGGATTCAATGTCTCGCTCACGCATCGTGTTGAGAACGGTGGCGGGCGGTGAGAAGAGGGCCGACTGTTGAGAGTTGGAGTAGGTGCGTCTCGAGGCGCCGTTGCTGGGCGCGACCTGCGTGGACGGCGGCGGCGTCAGCGACGATGGAATGACTGTGATGGCTGGCCGGTCATCCATGACCTCTGTCTTGAACGATTGGTTTGCGTCAATGGGGGATCCCGGCATCTCTGTGGACGGGAGCGTGATTTGGGACAACGGATGAGCGCCCGTCTCGTGCTCTTGAGGGGTCGACGGGTCGAGGCCACCAAGAACAGCGTCCTCGACCGTGCCATTGACGCGAGGAGCGTCCACCTCTGAATCAGAGGCCATCGTAGAGAGTGCGATCCGTATGATGTATAGTGAGTAGAGTAGAGTAGCCGTAGATATTTCGAGAGTAGCGAGTGAGTGAGGCGGTGGACGAAGCGCCGCTTGGTCTGTTCTGTTCTGTTCTGTTCTGCTTTCCCTCCCAACGCCCAGCTCAACGACTCCAAGGGAGAGAGATGTGGATCTTGGAGCGATTCCGCCTTCTGTTGCCCTCGACCGGAGCAAACAGAGACACTCCCAACGGGGCTCGTGACTTGCGGGATCCGTGAACTGTGAGCCGTGAACCGTGAACTTGGGGCCGACCAGCTGCTGATGCGATCAACAAACGCCCGGCGTGCGACGGCAGCAAGCAAGCAGCCAATGCGTCTTCCAGTGTCGTGTCGTGCTGTATCTGAGCCTGCACGAGATTGTCGGCTGCAGCGTCGAGGATGAGGATGAGGATGAGGATGAGGATGAGGTTGAGGTTGAGGTTGAGGTTGAGGCTGCGAAGGGGGTCATGCGTTGAGGTGGAAAAGAGGTGGTGGCACTCTTGCTCAAGCACCAGTCAGAAGCGCTCATTCATGCACTGCATTCCTCACCCAGGCACGGCAAAACAAAACTCGAGAGGCTGGCTGCTTGCAACGGGGCGCTAGGCCTAGCTCGGACTCTGGCCCAGCAACCAGTTGAGCTTGTTCTTTTTGCTTTTTTTTTTTTTTCTTTCTTGTTCTTTGGCTGTCAAGGTTCATGCGCTAATTACGAAGTACCTAGCTAGGGGGATGACGCAACGCTCTATGCACAAAGCACATGCGCCGAGATTTACCCAGCTTCGGCCAACACAACTCATCTTCATGGTGATCATCATCATTCGTGTTAATCTACAACTTGTACAGAAAAGCTTCGTATTATTTCGCAGCTTAATCTTGCTATCCTCCTCCTCCAATTCCCATCTTATGCCTTCTTCGGTCCTCGTCATTATCTATATTGTAACCTCTCTATGTACCCTTATTCACTCGTATCCATATTCTCCCCTGCAACCAAACCCCTTACCCTATACCTCATCTAACAAGTACAACAAACTCCAACCAAACCATACTCACAATCCCATTCCCATTTCCTTCAGACCTCTCCAACCACCTCCTTCGGCTGCAGAATCCTCGCCTCCACTCTCCTCCCCACAATCCACCGCTTTGTCACCCGTATCACCTTCCTCACCAGCAGCACCGGCAGTATCACCGGCCACAACACCATGACCGCCACCCACCACAGCACAACCACCGCCTTGTCTCGCTTCGTCCCCTGGGAGTCGAGATACCACTCAGGAACCCATCTGCCAAGCTTCCCCTTGCCGTTGATGCATAAGATGCAAATCACCCCAAATAGCAGCCACCCGGCGATCGAAATCGGGATCAGCACTCTGACGATTGCCCTGGGATCGTACACCGTTCCTTCGCCGTCCATAAGGTAGTGAGTGCGGTGAGGACTCTGTGTTTTTGTTACGTTGGGTGTGATGATGCTTTGATTGAATCTGTACATGTTTGTGGCCATCTGGCTGGCGACGCGTGATTGTAGTGCCATCCGTCTCAAGTCGCTGCGTGTCATGAGCTTCGCGGTTGGCGAGGCCATCGTGTCAAGGCGATCTGTGCGAAACGCGGTGCGTGTATAAAATATGGAAGTTCTCTTGACGTATGCGGGCGATGATATTGAAATGTTGGATACTGGCAACAATGGTGGAACTGAACGACTCAAATAAGTTGAAGACCACCTACGTCGTACGCAACTATCTGCAACGCCAGTTGACGCAACCGAAACAAACTTAAATGCCCTTCCTTGGCCGGTCTTTCCTTGCAAAGATGCTGTGTGCTATGGTGCCTACTCAATGATAAACGGTGAGGCAGTTGAATCTGCACATGTCATCGAACCTAAATACAGCTCACGTACTACGTAGTATGGGCATCTACCAGATAGGTACTTCTCAAATAGATCATGTTGTTACAAGATATATATACATTACTGATTACTCAATATTGCCTGCGCCGTGTTGCAAGCCCAAGTGGTATCTATGCTACCATTTCCCTAGCACCCATACTCCGTACATCATTCTACCTGTACACGCAATCAATCCACCGATATGATAATATACAGGCCCGCCCCGTTCGAGGACAGACAAAAAAAAAAATAAGTAGCAGAAAGATAGTACAGGACCTTGCTGTAGAAGTGAAAAGAAATCAGCAAAGCAAAGACCAAAAATTACCCACCAAGCCTTAGTCTACGTCAGACGAGTCGTCGTCCCCATTCTCAGCTCTCCATGCCTCCATCTCGGCAGCCGGCACTCGGCCTCGGAGCCATCTCATCGTGGCTGCGGTTCCCTTCTCCAGGATATTCCACTTGGGGACCTTGAATCGGTTTCCTGCCACATCGAGCCGCTCCAGTCCGTCCTTTCCGCCCAAGAGGCCGAGCCGAGGATCCAGGTGCGCAATCTCATTGCTCGAGACATCAACAACTTTGAGGCCCTTGATGGCAGCTGGATCAAGCTCGGTTAGTTGGTTGTTTGACGCAAGCAGTACCTTTAAGCTGGGGAAGCTCTGCTTCAGATCGAGCGGAAGGGCAGTTAGGCGATTGAGCGAGACGTCAATCTTTTCCAGTGCGGGTGCTTTAAGGAATTTTGTCAACGGACCTAGGCTGGTGATGGTATTCGAGCTCAAGTTCAATTCCGTCAGAACCGGCAGACTCAGTTCTTCTGTTAAGTAGTCCTCTCCCGAGATTTTGTTGTGGCCCAGAGATAGAGACGTGAGGGTTTGCGAGAAGAACTGCAGGGGTCCAGGGAATGCGCTCAGGAGATTGTGATGAAGCTGTGCCTGTCTTATCTGATAGCTCCTCGACAGTTCGGCGCACATTTCCGGGCTCAAGGAAGATGATTCGGTGCGTGACCGGTCCAGGAGTCCGCCCGGCTTGACCTGCCAAGTTTCCCTTACTACTGTCGAAGCACGGGATCTGGTAGGCGAATGAGGTGCAGACGTTGGAGGCGTGGCAAAATCATCATCGCCTTCTGATCTGCTATCTGTTTCCTCGGGGTGGATTGTCGACACCTTTTCCGGCTGTTGTTTCTTCTCGTTGTCCGGCGGACTTATGATGGTAGCGATTGGCGCCTGCACGACTGGCTCCTCATATGGGGGAGGAGGCTCCAGTCTTGTCGACAGCGCTTCCTTGATCTCATCTGTCGAGGCTGAAGCAAACTTCTTGTCACGCAGCGGGTTGCCACTCAGCCGAAGCAGTGTGAGGCTGTCCATTCGAGAAATCTCAGGTGGGACAACCCGGATGTCATTGCTGGAAAAGTCGGCCTGTCGCACCTTTTCGAGGCTGGTGAAGCTCAAGGGGATGCTGGAGATGTTGTTCGCATCTGCTGCAAGGTTTATAAGACTTGTCCACGAAGTCAAATCCGGGAGCTCCTGCAGACGATTCATGGAAAGGGTGACGGTGTGGACAGCCGGCAGGCTGATTGAGGCATCCGCTGGCACAAGCCGCATCAGCCTATTCACCGATATATCGAGGGACTGAAGCATTGGCAATGAACCAATCGGCTCCTCAATTAAAGTTCCCGACAGCTTGTTCTTCTTTAAATCGAGCTCGGCTAGCGGTAGCTTTGAGAGCCCCTCAAAGGGAAGTGATTCAAAGTTATTCTCGCTCAAATTGAGAACGCGCAGCCGAGAAAGCCCTTCGACGTTGGGTGGCAGGGCAGAGACTTGGTTTCCGTGTATATCAAGCACCTCCAAGACACTCAGGTCCGCGAGGCTCGAGTTCAACGGTCCGGCAATGAGATTGTTTGCCAGTTTGAGATCGCGGATTGCCGTCATCTGAGCAATGATTTCAAGGCATCCATTTTCCAGGCGATTGGACGACTAACAAGTGTGAATAAATGACCCCTAAAAACATCAAGGCCACGGAGAAACTCACCAGATTGAGAGTGGTCAATTGGGTGAAGCGGCGGAATCCCACCGGAATGGCTGGCAGCCGATTGCCGTGCATGTCGAGAGTCTCGAGCCCTCCAAAGATGTTGCCACGACCTTCTTCGTCGTTTTCGAGTTCTTCGGGACTGAGGTCGGGGAACATGGCGTCGTCCAACGTTTCTATCTCATTATCCGCAGCAACCAGCCTGGTCAACTCGACACTTTCTGCCCAGCTTCCACCGGCCCCAATGGTCTCCATATCGTACATTTTCATGACGTCGCTGGGAATCTCTTTCAGTCCTAACGCGGCAATATTCAGTTTTCCACTAGTTCTTGCTGCTCCGACACGTTGCTTCAACACTTTTTCATTGGCATCTTGTCCTTTGTTCAGATTAAATGGGTCATCAAATGCAGCATCGTAATCGAATCCGCTCTTTGCTGGAGCTGTTGCAAATTCATCAGTTGTTGATACTGCACTGGCCGTCTGTGCCTGCGTCTGCTTCATAGCGGCCTTCTTGGCAGCTTTTGCCTTGGCGATCTGATCCCGAAGCGCTGACGAGGATTTTTGAGTTGGCTGCTCCGGTTCAGCGGCTTCTTTCACTGCTGGGGCAACCGCCGCGATAGTGCCGTCCCAGGAAGAGATGGGAGCTCCCGAATTGTTGTCGCTGGCATCCAGGGCCTGCATCGATGGCTTCTTGCCAAGACCGTGCATTGAAGCCCTTTGCTTTAAAGACTTGGTTACTGGCTTCTGGGCTGGCTTCTGGGCCGGCTTCTGAGACAGCTTCGTTGGTGTTTTACCTAGTCTGTCTGGGCTTGGGCTTCTGACATCCGGTACTGAGGCGGATGGCTTTGAGGCCGCCCCTGAAGCACGACTGGCGGGACGAAGTCGTTGCGCATTGTTGGAAGCAGCACCTGGTGTTCTGTCGTTGTGAATGACTGAGAGAGGTCTCTTGAATAGATTGGCCGATGACATCCTGGGATTTGAGAATCCCGAGTCGTCAGCCGCGCTTGAACCTGGGCGGGACGGATGTCTTGCAGAACCGTCAGAGGTGTAGCTGGAGCTTGGCCTGGAAGCCGAGCTTTCGGCTCTTGATGTAGGTCGGCCTGAATCAAAGAATGATGACGACTTCTTGCTCAAAGCTGGAGACGAGGGCAATTGCGACAGAGTCTCAATGGTGCGTTCAGAAAGTGAGGGTTTGGGTGTGTTGATCTGGGGCATGCTCCTCCCCGGAGAGGAGAGTGGAGATGCGTTATTGTCAAAGTGATCCGGTACGCCTGCAGAATCATTCAGATATGAGGTAAGAATGTCGTTTGACGCATCTGTGGAGCCTATTTCCTGGTCAAATGTATCTCTATCAGGTTCTCCTGATTCTGCCCAGGGTTTGTACTGCGCTGCCGGGGCGTTGGTGATTGTACTCCATCTTCGCTGAGACGATGAAACGGATCGTACAGGCTTCGATACTGGGGCAGCGGGTTTGGGAGCCGGAGCCGGAGCGCGAGAAGAACTAGAACGAAGCTGGTTACTAGACGTAGAGTTTCGCAAAGCCGGCGCACGCCCGCTATTGACACTGGCAGAGGGGCGCAGTTGGCCACGGGAAGCAGAAGCTCGCAGTTTTGGGTTCTGGACCTCTCCGCCACTGGATGTATCTCCTGCTAGACTATCTCGGGACGGCCTTGGGCGAAGCGACGGCGTGGAGCTGGAGGCCGGAGCTGGAGCCGGAGCTGGTTGAATGATGCCGGAGACGGGACGAGGAAGTCGGGAAGGGCGAGGGATGCCGCTAAGTCGTCTCTGGGAGTTGTCCATCTTCACATGAGTCCCTTGTACTTGGTCGTTGGTAGCTGGATTGGTGAATGGCCTGTTGAACTAGGGTGAGTTTCGAGTGTCGATTTGATCGATCGAGCAAGGTGTCGAGAAGAGGGGCACGGCAATGGAGACTCCCTCGAGACGACACGCGCCAAGGGTGGATGTAACGAATGTAATTGTCAACAAGGACGGAATGTACAGTAGAGCAAAGCAAAGCAAGACGAATATTGTCAAAAGGGAGCGACTGAAAAAGAGCACAAGGCGCGTATGAGGAGGAGGAAAAGAAAGGAAAAGAAGAACTGAAGACCGAAGAGACAAAATCCCAGCTGCCGGGAACGTGTTGCTGCTAGATTACGTGCATTGTCATTTAGAATTGCGGCAGCTCATCCTAGTCAGGGGAGAGTGACCAGGAGCTGCCCATCACGTGGAGTTAATTTATCCTAGCGCTAGGAACAGGCTAGAGGCGGGAGAAGAACAGCACTAAAAGGGCCCAAAGGCGGGTGGCAGTTGCGCTATGGCTGCCTGGGGATGTGTACGAGTACAGGTGCTTGTACCCTTGAAGGCTAGCCCTAGGCCATGGAAGATATTGGATTGATGCTACCTCAACTACGGAGGATATTTGTGTGCAGCTCCACCTCTACGTGGGCTTTTTGATGACTCGAGGCATTGGGGACGCACATGATGCCCTGAATACGCGCGTCACTTCGATTGCCAAAGAACGGCATGCCTGTAGGGCTTAGTACTAATAGGCAGGTACCTGTACGTAAATGTGAGTGTGTTGCCAAGTTCCATCTCTATAGTGCCTATTATTATATTGGTATGGGGCAAGTGGCCTCTGAAGAAATTTGTTCAACGAATAATCCAAGTCTGCTTTGCTAATAATGATTAATCAATCCGCGCTCAACACAATTCCCTCCAGTCGCCTTGCCTTGCCCTTGACTCGTATCCCAGCCCCGTATTTGTACTCGTACATATTCCACGACAAGTGCCGAGCACAGCGTCATTCTGGCAGCCCGTCGCTGTCTACCTCATAATCTCCGTCAGAATCCACCACATCGGACAGCTCGTATGAGTCGTCGCCAACGTCCTCCTCTGAATCCCGGTACTCGTCCTCGTCCTCGGAAAAAGTCTGACTTGTCGATCCGCTTTCTTCGGATCCGTCTGAGTCTTGCGTCAAATCAATGATGTCTGGCTGTGACTGCGGCCGTGCCTCGCCCTTTGAAACCCGACGCAGTTTCGGGAGCTGCTTGAGCACTGGTATATGCTTGTGTCGTGCAGAAGTTGTCAAGGACTTGCGTCGTCTCCCGGTTGTTCGGATCGCCATACTCTTCCGGGGCCCCTTCTTGTCGTTCCTCTGGGCAAAGTTGCCTCCTGATTTCACCACTGTTGGATCGCCACCCCATTCTATCAAGAGGTTGGACACCTTATCCCGAATAGTTTTCCTTGCGGTGTCCCGGTCTTGAGATGACTGCGCGAGAAGTTTGTCGTAGTCTGTGTGGCAGTGTCGAGCATGCGCCTGAACTGCTAGATATGCCTTCTTGTCCAGATCCAACTTTCCAGTACGGCCAACCCGACCGCTCCGTTTTCTAAGAGTGCGCTTGAGGATTGTGGTCAGATCTCGCTTCGGGATATTGGCAAAAAGCCTCAGAATGGCTTTCTCAAATGCATCCTCGGTGGCTGCGTCACGCCTTTGGACAGCGCCGCGCCTCTTGTCACGAGTTGCTTTCTCTTCTGAGCGGACCTGCTGCAGAATCCATATCGGTGCTCTCAACCCTTCTGGTTTGCCGCTCTTGGACACAATATACAACGTCTTTCCGGCGGCGTGGGTCTTTTTGCGACAGAGCGCTGTCATGAAGGTATTGCCCTTCTTGAGAAATCCGTAGCCCTTGGGCATTGGCGTCTCTGGAGAGACAGTTGGTTCGCGCCTCATTGTCCAACAGAGGAGAGGTAAGGCTGAGATATGCTTAGGATCCAGCAGAGAGGGCTACGAGAGAGAGAGAGCGGGAAGCCTGAAATAATGCTTCATGTATCTCAAAGAACGCTGTATTGGTCATGGCGAACGAAGAATGCGCACATTTGCTGATGCTCTTTGACTGCGAATTTTATTCAAGGAGTTTGATGAACAACAGAAATTTTGTACAGGTACATGTATTGAGTTCAATCTTTGATGCTGATGCCAGCACTAACAATAGCGCTGTTGGGACATTCTTAGCGCTGAAACGCGCCGCCTAAGCGCAAGTGCCAGTCAATTGCGGGCCAAATGCTGCCTCTAAGAGGATTGTCATGGATGTAATGTGATTTCAAATCAATGTATACTTCATATATGGTTCATATTGTATCAATCATAATTAGAACAAAAAAAGAGTGCTCCGAAATTCATTCATTTTCTAGACAGTAGTTATCTCTAAACTCTCAGTCGCGAAGCTGCCCGTAAACATGTCTGGATTCGGCTGCAGCTGCGCCTGCTCTATCATGCCAATTGATATCTCATCTTTCTGCTTGCTCCATACCATATCCCAATGGCCCTTGAGAACAACCGATGCCTTTTTTCCAAGTTGCGAGGTGATGAAATCCCTGAGGACAATGTCTGCAGTTTGGCTTGCGCCAGGCTCAAGTTGGATGAGTGAATCGCGGGGAGGAGGCCATTCCCTGCGAATCTGAATTTCGGGCAATTCTAGAGGCTGCAGAGCGCCATCGGGCGTGATAGTAAGCAAGCCGATGGTTGGTGCAACGGTATCTAGTGGCGAGTTGTATAAGAGAATAGTGACGGGATGTGTATTGCCATTAACGACCGTGCTGGTGATTGTAAGTGGAGATGTTTTGGTCTGCTTGATAGTCACGCGCAGACGGTCAATTGGATTAGATTTGGTGCTGTCGCTCTCCATTGAAGCTGCTGGCCAGAGAAAGAATGTAGCAAATGTGAGAGCCAGACTCAACCCAAAGACGGCGCGAATACTTGGGTAGTGGGGGAGGCTCATCGGAGCTGAAGTGTTGGGAAATCAAACGGATGAGTGCTGCGAACTATCCACTATTGCTAGAGGCCTTGAGTGAAAGAAGAAGAAAACTACCTACGTAGGGTGTTCGAGAATGTGCAAACATGACTGGAATCTTGGTAAACGGGGTGAATGCAAGTGCCGGGCCTTGGAAGTGGGGTGATGGTTGAGACTGATGACGCTCATCGATCGGATGTCTCATCTTTGTTGGCATCATTCGCCGTGACATTGACTGTGTGTGAGATATGTACATAGTGGCTACCACTGAATTACTTTGCATTTGTAATCCTTTCGAAACAACGCCTCTATCTATATCTAAATAAAGATGCAAGCCCGCCTCAATAACGCCAAACCTAAACTGCGACCGAACTCTAAGAAGAGCCAGTGAACCGTCGTATAAAGATGCACGCATCATAGAGAGAATAGTCACTGGGCGAAATATCTTTCTTGGCTACATGCATCTCTTACACCTTTCGGACGGTCGCCTCCGGGTTATGGTTCTCCTTCTATTCCGCTGCCCCAACTTCTACTTTAGGCAACTGGCAGCACTATGCAAGGCACATTTGTACATTAATAAAAGGAATAACGTTCTAATGCAGAGCTAGAAGCAAGGTCGAAGGCTCAATGTTTATTTGTAACCTTACATTATGCTTGTCTTGAAGCCTATTCTTAATCTAGCTGATGTAGTCAAACCACGGCCAAGGTCGACACGCAACGAGCTACCGAAGTGTTCTGTAAGAAGATCATAACTATATAAATAGAATCTTCCGGCGGCAACTTCTATATAAGATAGAGACGTTTCTGAGATTGCTCATGAGACAGCCGAGATTGTAGCCATGAGACTTGCTATAGTCGCTTGGCCAGGTGAGGAGGCAATATTCATGGTGTCGATTCAGAAACCCCCAATGATGACCACTGCCAAGGATTGTAACCCCCAAGGCGGCAAAACTATCCCAAGAGTTTGTCTCCTCCACTCAAATACATGTAAAGCGCTCTAAAGATAAATAAACAGACATCGTGAGGCTTGGCTGCATCACATCGCTGAGGGGCGAGCTTCCTTGTTGGGCATATCTCCCGGTCAAGACTGCACACCACGGGATTTACCATCAATCGCCAAAATCCATGGCTCCGGTATTTGGGAGATCCCAAAATAGGAAGGTCATCACATTAACCAATTAAGCGTTTGAGCAAGCTTACAATCCCGCGGGCTAAACATACTTGCAATGCTACCCGATCGAGCCGGGCTGGTCAGATCTACTGCCGGCGTCGGAGGCTCCTCATCGAGGCATTAACACAATATAGACAAAATATACGAAGTTGAATGTATGCCAAGAGAAAGCCCAAATGATTCTCCGAAATAATACAACCTCGGACTTCGCTCGGCGGAAGCCGTCGTATCTCGACAAATAAACTGATGCCGAGACATCAATGGCTAGAGTTTACGAGATGACGTGCTTTCCGGAGCAGGATCTATAACATGTCATTATCTTTATTACATGCGAATCTGGGGTCTTCTAATCTTCGATGTTCTTTAACTAACCTTATATAACCTATAACTCCATCACAAGCTGCATCTTATACGAACGGGACATAGACATACCGATGATAAGAAGCACCAACTCTGTTCTTGGCATAAATCATGTCGGTAAACCTCATAGACGCCAAGAGGTTGTTAATATCTGTCCGGGGCGATACGAAATGCAACACAACAGTCCACTTTCCGCTACATATTTCAGAGTTAAATGCATCCGGGGATTTTCGACCTTTTTGGAAGCTGTCATGCCCGTTTCACGCTTATCGCTTGGCAATGAGGAGGGGGATCGCCCTATGGACAGCAGGAACCTTTATTCAGTTTGCTTTGAGTCCGCATCTCGGCACCGGACCGTCGTTGGCAGGCCATTAACTAATAAGGCTAAATGCTTTTCCACCATCAAGGAGCTCGTTATATGAGAGGAAGCCGCCGATCTCCGCGTATGGGGTCTATCCATACTGCAAACAGCGCGACGTAGAAGCAGGAACAAAGAACCCCAGGAGATTCACGGTCTTGTCAGATTGCTATCTATTAGTCGCCTGCTGATACATGTAGATACCGATATGCCATACGAACCTCATACTATTTGAACTAATCAGGCTTTCTCCCAAGTAAACAAGAGGAAGGTTTCTCAGAATCACTGCCGATACGATGAATACGGTTTATGTCGAACATGTATATCTCCCAATGGAGTATCCCTCACCTTGCTATGTCGCCATTTTGCCGACGGATGCTCTCCCCAATAAGGCAGTTCGGTTTGGATTGGTGTGCAAGCAACTCTATCTTCCGTGCAAACCCCAAATTACAACATCACGGGCATGAAAGCAAGACTCATCCAATGAGACGAGGGTGAGAGGTTGTGTAAGTGAGTCGACCACTGGTATACCCTGCTCACCTTTGTTGGAGATTGACTGTTAGAATACGGTCATGGGTGAGAAGAACTTTTGCTCGGCTTCTGAGCAAGAATGACATTGCCCAGTCATGATCTTGCAGTCCTCGTTATTACTTCGACTTTCAAATATAAATAGGTTAACTCATCGCCGGTCCTGAATATGGCATCTCTCCATTGTCTCCAAGCATCTCATCCAACCCTCTGATCTGTCTGCTCTCAAAATGAAGTTCATCTCTGGTCTCATTGCCCTCGCCGCCCTGGCCTCTGCCGCTCCTGGCAAGGCTCCCACTCCCCTCGACATCAAGCTTGAGGGTGCTGGTAACGCTGAAATCAAGGCTGTCATTACTAACACGGGCAAGAACAACTTGAGGATCTTCAAGACCGGTACCATCTTGGACAGCGCCCCTGTTGAGAAGGTTACAATTAGCTCTGGCGGTATGCTTCCTCATATAGTCTTGGATATTCGCCTATACACGTGTCGTTACTAACATGGCCTTTAGAGCATGTTGTTGCTTTTGATGGTGTTCGCCAGCGTATCTCTACCCAGAACTTGGCTGAAGATGCCTTCCAGAACATCGCTGCCGGAGAGTCGATCGAGGTGACCTTTGACATTGCCGAGGCCCACGACCTCTCCATCGGCGGCAAGTATGACATCCAGTCTGCCGGCGCTTTCTCCTTTGCCCAAGAGGGATCCAATGAGCTTGTCGGCTCTGTGCCATTCGAGACCAACAAGATTGAGGTCGACGTTGACGGCGCGGACGCCTCCGCCCGCCGCGTTGCTTTCCACCAGAAGCGGACTCGCGTCCAGAGCGACTGCACTGGAAGCAGGCTGACTGTCACTCAGACTGCTCTCCGCAACTGTGCTTCTGTTGCTCAACTCGCCCAGCAAGCTGCTGCCTCTGGCTCTGCTACTAAGCTCACAGAGTACTTCAAGTCTTCCACCAGCAGCGTGCGAAGCACCGTCTCCGGCGTCTTCAGCCGCGTGCTCTCTGAGTGCAGCTCAACCAGCAGTGGAGTTGCCAGCTACTACTGCTCCGATGTGCTCAGCTCATGCAGCTCCAATGTGCTGGCGTACACCCTCCCCAGCGGCAGCCTGATGGTCTACTGCAACCTCTACTTCACAGCTCTCCCCGCTCTGACTCGAACCTGCCATGCTCAGGACCAAGCTACCACAAACATCCACGAGATTACGCACTTGAGCCAAGTAAAGGGCACCCAGGACTATGGCGGCTATGGATACAACTTCGTCCGCAGTCTGACTGCTGCGCAGAACCTCAACCACGCCGATACTTATGCGCTCTTCGCCAACGCCATCTATGCTGGCTGCTAAGCGTAATTCTGAAGAAATTGGGACAGAATGGCTTGATTCGAGTTAGAACTTATGCGCTACACTTGGATATGAATCTTATATTGAATTTGGATGAGATGAACGACAAAAGGGCTGATGAAAGAGTGCGTGCTGGTATCTGCTGCAATTTAGACACCATAGCCCACAATTACGATTGAAAATTATTTATTTTTGCCGTCTTACATTGCGATATGAATCCTCTGACATAACTTGATTTCCTTTTTAGTAATTGTTGGTGAGTCCATTTGCGTGCTTGCGATGTGTAAGTCGGATGTGATCCGGATGCAGGTACTTTTTCCGTGCAGCTATCTTGGTGCAGCTGCATGTACCTACCAGAAACGGAAATCAGCACATATGACATAAAAGCACGTTCATACATACATGAACTGTTGAACAAAGAAAAGTGCAAATGTACGCAACTGTTCTCTTTATTTCCTTTCGCTTCTTCTTCTTTACCTTTCCCTTTGACGGCCAAGCGTTGCCTGCAAAATGGCCCGCTATCACGGGCATCAATGCATCCAGGCTTGACCCCATCTGGGAGGCCACGGCCCAAGATTTGCCCCAAAGGAGATGTGATCAGGGCACAGCCCAAGAACAAGAACAAGGGGACCTGATGCAGTGGGACGGGAGCACGGATGTCAGATCGTGGATGCCGGCCCAATGGCAAAATGCCGTCTTCCGGCTCGGGCTCGCCAACGCAGGACACGATGGCTGTGCTGATGGAGATGGCAGACTACGGAGCATTATTGGGGGCTACTCTAGGCACCTAGTGATTATTGAGTTAAGTAGGTTGCATGTGGACAGCTGGACATTTGTGTGAGATGAAATATTTGTGTCCAACTGCGCGCTGCGGTTTGTATCGTCACGTAGGCAGCATCATTTGTTGTTCGAGTCCTGTCATATTGCTACGTCGACTTACAAGACTTGGATTTGCATCCCTTGTCGCTTGGGCACCTGGTAGCAATAGTTGTGGATTATTCTGTCACGTCGCGCGGTTGAGGACTTCATCTTTGACAGTCCGGGACTCTTCATCCCCTCTTCTGTGGACCCCATCTACACCGTCCAACCTGGCTCACAGCCGCTACTCGCCCGAGATGCGCGCAAGGGTCAAGTCAGTGTCTTTGTTATGCAAGTGGGTTCGCTGGGCAGAGCATGCAGCTAAAAAGCCTTGATTTTTTACAGGCCAACGATGCTGGTGGGGGGGAGTTTTTCAGTCGCCAGTGTCTTCACGAAAACGTCACCAGGGGCCCCTCACCTGAACACAAAAAATGATCGTGGGTTCATGTAATGCAGAGCCACATGAGGAGGGCACTGAGGTCTACCCGCAGAGTCTGTCTTCTGCTGTGCTCTGTCTCTTTGTTCGTATCGTATCGTTAAAATTAGTACATCAGCAGCTGTCTGGGCGTCTTCGTCTTTGTTGGGAATGACACGGGAGGAGCCCAGTAGCAACACCTGAGCCCTCATCTCACCAGCCACATTCCCTCTGGCATCACGAGAGCCACCTCGTCCCGGCTCCCTCTCCCCAACCGCAGGGAGCCATTTGATCCTCTTGCCCCTGTCCGTGACCTCACCTGTGGCTTATCACGGGGCCTCCCTGGCCACTAGCATCTATCTGGTGCTGCGAGTCTCAGCTTGTTCGCAACCAAGACCAGCAACCCCTGTCCAAAACCTGGAACCGAGTGGAAGGCCTCAAGCGGGGCTCAGCACACCAACGTCATCGCCCGGACAGAAAGAGGGTTGTTTCATATAACCGCTTGGCTTTGGCCGTCTCGCCATCTTCTTTCACCTTGTTAAAACATCAAAGCGAGCTCAGAATAAGTCGTTTGCGGCCTATAGCTTGGATATCGCCAAAGGAACCATCAGACACAGAGAGCGACACTGTTCTTTGTTCCACTGCTTCCTATTATTACGGGCGGCTAGACTGAACAGCCGTGGAACCATATCCCACATCTTTGGTTGTTCCGGATTCACCATGGCTAGTCGTGGAGATCGCTTTGAGAGAGATCGCCTCTTTGGCGACAGGGTTCAAGAGAGAGATCGATTTGTCGAGGAGGACCGACTTTTTATGAGTGGCGGACGTGGCGCCCGAGAGCAGTCCGCCGACCGATTTGACCGGCTATACGGAAGGACATCCTACGAAGACGATCTTGTCCGTGACCGCCGATTCTACGAAGATGATACCCGCTTCGAACGCCGGCCCGAGCCTCGCGGAGAGCCCCTTGACCGCCGGGTCGTAGTGGAAAAAGAGCGCGATCGCGAATACTACCGTGACTCTTCCCCGCGACGCCCGGGTATGATGCGCCGCCAATCATCTCTCGACACCTATGACCGCCGCCCGCTCCCCAAGTTCTTTGACCAGCGAGAAGAGTTTCCGCCACCGGCCCGGCGCGAGGACATTCGCCGAGAGGAGTACCGCGAGGAGTACCGCGCCCCGTCATACACACCCATTCCGCTGCCCAAGGCCCGGGGCTTGCCGGCTCGGCAATATGATGAGCGCTTTTACGAGGACATCCGCGTTGAGCATGATCACATCGAAGGAGGTATCCCGCGCGAGCGTATTGTTGAGAGAGAGATTATCCGTGAGAAGGAAAAGGGAAAAGAAAAGCGAAGCACGAGCCGAGAATCTCGTTCCACCAAGAAAAGCCACCGAGGCCGATCACGAGCGTCCAAGTCTTCGACTCGATCTTCTAGCAGCAGCAGCAGCAGTAGCAGCAGCAGTGGTGGTGGCACCACACTCAAGAGCGTTAAGAGCGAGTACCCGAAGAAGGGCAAGACGAGAATTCCCGCCAGGCTGGTGTCTAAGCGGGCTTTGATAGATATTGGCTATCCCTTCATCGAAGAGGTATGTATCTGCAGCCGATGGCAGACAAATGCAACCGGATGTATAGAATCTAACCATACAGTCAATAGGGCAATGTCGTTGTCGTTCAAAAGGCCCTGGGACAGGCCAATATTGATCATTTACTCAAACTCAGTGAAGAGTACAAGAGCAGTGAGTCAAGTTCTTTTTCATGCATTCCGCGTTGAGTCGCTTGATGCTAATCTGGATACCAAAGGCGAACTTGAAATTTCTGCGGCTCGGTCCTCAGCCGGTGAAATCATTCGGGAGCGCAGAGAAGAGCTCATCATCGAAACGCCAGCTCATCACCATCATCCTCTTCCTCTTCCTCTTCCTCCTCAACAGACCATCGTTATTCCCGCTCCCGCTCCTCCGCCTCCCGTCATCATCGATGCTACTCCCCGCGATGTCGAGCTCATCGATAAGACGGTGTACAGCGAAATGTCACCATCGGTGAGCAGCAGGAGCCGCTCTCGCGCCCGCTCCCACTCCCATCATCACCATCACCACAGCAGCAGCAGCGAGTACCAGCTGGTGGAGCGCCATCGATCTCGATCACGAAGCGGCAAAGACATCCGTGCCGAGATTCGAGCCCTTGAAAAGGAGCTGGCACACGGCCGAAGGCGCGAAGTCGGCGAGAAGGAGCTCGTCCGGACCGAGAGGCTTCCCAACGGCGAACTCATCGTATACGAGGAGCAGGTGGAGAGGTTTGCGTCCCACAAGCCGGCGCGTATCGAGAAGGACAAGAAAGGTAGGATGTCCATCAGCGTGCCAAAATACCGATGAAGGTGCGCCGCGCCATTGATCTCTCTCTGCCTTTATTCACTTGTTTCGGGCAGGCAGCTGACCTGGACTGTACAGGACCCTCTCCTGGGATTATGCGTGCCATGCTTGCGACCCTGACTTGAGCGTTGCAAGGATTGTTGTGAGACAACGAAGTCATGAATTAATGAATGAACGGATGAAAGATATTTGTTTGGACATGTTGTTGTAGAATGCTTCACTGTTTGAGGTCAAAGGGTTGAATTGGCTACAGCTGGTTGATGCTGTTTTACTATGTGGCTTACGGATCTGGGTATTTGGCATGAAGGCTTATATATATTGGACATATTAAAGAGTTTGATGAAACGGAATACTATTTATTTGTTTTATATGAATTGCGGCGTAGTCAGCTTACACACGACTCGGATGAATGTCAACCGATTTTGTTGGATTCTATGGTATGATTACAATGCAACTATCACAGGATGCTTCTGCCAAGTCAACTACTATATGTACAGGCATCAAAAGTTCCCAGCTAGCTCGAGTAAGATATGCAGGCGGAATTTATTATCCCCGTTATCAGATTCCGAGGCTACAAAAGGACCCTGGACGGCGCGGTACGATCCACCCTGGCAAAGGCAGCATTTACCTTGGCAGTCCGATTTGCGATATGTGATTGCTTGAAATAACAGAATCCCGCGAAGGAATCGGGTACAGTAAACGAACCCCGCGAGCACAAGTAATTATAAATCCTCACGCAATCTCGGAAGAGACGAAAGATTCATTATTCGTTTCAACGTGAGCGAGACTTTGTGGCTGGTTGGGATAATACAACAGCTGGCCAAAGAGAGTTGAAGCTTCACAGCTCTCGTGTACTTCGCAATGATCATCCCCAAAGGCGTCGTTGCTTCGGGCATTTTGCTCGCAGGCAGTGCGACAGCTCAACTACGACTTCCCCCGTTCTTCGCAACCAAGCAGCAATCACGGGATGCCTCTGCCGGTTCCCAATTCCAAAGCCTCGGACTCGGCGAGCAGCAGCCATTGACCGGCTCTAATATTGGGACGGCGACAACATCCTCGTCGGCAGATGACATCCCGGCCTTCAAGGCTGGCCAGTTCACGTTGACGCCGCAAGATGAATCTACATGTGCTACGCATGGCGAGTCGCAATGGACCGGCACCGTCGACGTGACGGACTCGCACCGCCTCTTCTTCTGGTTCTTCGACAGCCGCAACGATCCCGTCAACGACCCTATCGTCGTCTGGATGAACGGAGGGCCCGGCGGAAGCTCAATGCTGGGCCTCTTCAATGAGCTGGGAGCGTGCTGGCTCGAGCCCGGCGCAAACACCACCGTCCCAAACGACTTTGCCTGGAACAACAACGCATCGGTGCTCTTCTTGGACCAGCCCGCCGGCGTCGGCTTCTCCTCGCGCTCCCAGGACTCCCCGATCCCTGCCTTTGACCTCGACGGCGCGTCCGACTTCCAGACCTTCCTCAACATCTTCTTCAGCGAAATCTTTCCCGACCGCGCCCATCTGCCCATCCACATCGCCGCGGAATCCTACGGCGGCCACTACGGCCCGACGTACCTGGACCACATCCTGGACTCGCGGAAGCTCAACTCTCGCGACGCCTTCCGCGGCAACATCTCGTCGCTGATCCTGGTCGACGCCGTCATCGACTTTGCCGCCCCTGCAGTGGGCGTGTACGAGTTTCTGTGCAAGGGCTATGGGAAGCACGGCAAGATTATGAATGACACGACGTGCGAGGCGCTGAAGCTGAGTGTGCCCAAGACCTTTGAGCTGGCAAGGAATTGCGATGCGAGCAGAGATGGGTATGAGTGTTGGGGCATGATGACGTTTCTGGAAGAGGTGGTACATCCGTATTATTATGAGGAGGTCATGGCAGGCAAGAGGAATCCGTTCAACGGTAAGTTTGAAGTACATATCCCCCAGCGCTGTAGTTTGTCTAATATTCTCAAACAGTCCACATTCCGTGTCCCAACTTCCCCTTCTGTGCGGACATCAGGAAAGGCAACATGACGGCCTACCTCAACCAGGCCCACATCAAAAAGGCCCTCAAGTTCCCCCCGTCCTTCACATACGAGGACATCGACATGAACCTCAACTCCGCCTTCGTCAACACCAAGGACCCCTTCCGGACCACAACCCGCGAACTCGCCCGCATCCTCGACGCCTACCGAACTCCTAACCTAGGCGACATCCGCGTGCTCGTTCTGCAAGGCAACGAGGACTACGTCGTCAACACCCCGGGCAACATATGGGCGTACGAGAACCTGCGCTGGAGCGGGCTGGCAGACTATCGCCTCGCGGAATGGCGGGAGCTGCCGGAGAGCATGGCGGCGACGGGATCGTGGAAGAGCTCCGGCCGGCTGGCGTTTGTGGCCGTGGACGGAGCGGGCCACACCGTGCCGGGGGATGTGCGCGAGGGCAGCTATAGAATTGCGCAGGAATGGCTCCAGGGAGGATGGAAGGCGTGAAGAAGTTTTTGGTTTGTGGGTTTCTGGTGTAAGTAGGTAGTCTTAACAGCAAAGTCCTCAAGCCGTAAGCATGTGAGCCGAGGCTCATGTAAGAGGACGTCAGATGAAGAAGTACAAACAACGTATAAGAAGCCAATGAGACGAGAGAGCACAAAAACAACCTGCGTATAAGTCAGTCGATCCCACATTTTGGCTACCCCAGACCAGCCTCACTTAGATCCATCTCGGACGTGGGGAATGACCAAACAGCTCTCGTTAGCCTCGTTAGCACCGGCCCGCGTCCAGCCACATCTCCACGCGGGAGCATCGTTCTCTTTTCCCTCTTTTTTTCCCCCCTGCTTTAAACCCTTTCGATTTGCCCCTCACGCACGAGCCGAGGCAGAAGTCCGTGTCCCGTCTGTATGCGTGTGTCAGGTCAAAACCTGGTGGCGCACGATGCGAGGCCATTGTCGTATAAAAGAGAAGTCGTTTGCCACTCACTTGTGAACATGGTTTTTTGAGCCGTCATATCCTGTTATGAGAATATTTTTGAAATTCGACAAACAGAATTTCAAAATATCACGACGAAACTGCTGTTCTTGTCGTCTCTGTTCGTCATGACCGTCCTCAACACCGCGGAAGCCCTCTGGGCCCGCCTCGTGACAACTCACGATCCTCATGCCGTAGATTTCGTCGGAACTCTCGTCGTCCAGTTCATCTTCTGGTGGATTCCCTGCACACTCTTCGTCTCTCTCGACTCCGTCGCGCCCTCCTTCTCCGAGAAACACAAGATCCAGCCAGCTCCCAAACAACCTTCATCCAGCGACATCGTCCACTCCGTCCTCGTCTGCATCCGCAACCAGGTCATCGTCTTCGGCCTCCACGGCGCCCTTCTCTACTTCACTTCTGCCAAGGGCCTCCCTCCCCGGATCAGAGTCGACGCCAGCTTTCCCTCGGCACAGGAATTCGCCTCCCACCTCGCCGTCAGCGTGCTCGTCCGCGAGATCCTCTTCTACACCACGCATCGCATCTTCCACTGGCGGCCGCTGTACAAGCGCTTCCACAAGCAACACCACAAGTTCACTGCCCCCGTGGCCTTTTCATCGCAATACGCCCATCCCGTGGAGCATCTCATGGCCAACGTCCTGCCCATCTTGCTGCCATCGCTGCTGCTAGGGTCCCATATTTTGACTATGTGGGTGTTTGTGGCCTTCCAGCTGATTGAGACGTCGACGGTGCACAGCGGATATGATTTCTTTGCGGGAGCAGCTAGAAAGCATGATAGGCACCACGAGCGCTTCGAAGTGTATTTTGGCGGAATCGGGCTTCTGGATTACGTGTTTGGGACGGACGAAAAGGGGGGTCCCAGAAGAGATAAAAAGGATTGAGGCCGGGACATTTGCTTCAGTGCCATGCCTTCATGACGTCTCATTTGGCGCATTGTTCGCGTTTTCTTGTATATAACTCTCTCCAAAGTCGTGCATTGAAGTCGAGTGTTGGCGCATGGCATGCTTCACAACCTTGTGATAAACACAACCATCACATCTTGCACGCGTACACACACAAAACAAATTGTGTTGCACGCAAGCTAGTTTCCAAGGAAAAAGAAGACTGCCAACCAACACCCAGTGGCTCATCAAGAAGCGCGTATCAATTCTGAGTAAATCATCTCATCACGGCGTCGGTCGCCAGCAACCTCAAACACAGGAAATAAACGCCGCAGTCCCAAGCCATGGGCGCCATCCCGACCATTTTCTTCTTGACATTGTCAATCCAAAACGCTAAGCGTAACCCTAATATACAACGAAGATGCCCTTTGATCAAAACAGTACGCGGGACAAGAGGCCATCCAAGTTCCACTACCACCAACCTTGCCCCCGCACAAATTATTTACGCCGACTTATACGTCTCCTTAATCTTCGTATACAAGACGGTATCGTAAAAGTTATAGCTGGAGTCCAAGTCGCAGAACGGATGCTGCGAGAGAAGCACGTCGGCTGTTGGCCGATCGAATGGATTCCTACATCTTTTTGTTAGCGTAGTGTCCCTGCTACAAAGAAATCCCCCCCTGAAACTTACACTTGGAAGCAGTCCATCATAAACGCCACAGCGAGGTGGCCTATGGTTTCCTGGATATCTTCAGGGATAGGGGGCGTCTCTCCGTTTGCAATCTTGTAGATGGCTCCAACGGCTTCTTCTTTGCTCCACGGCCGCCGTCCCGCAAACATTTCCAACACGACGCATCCCAAGCTCCAAATGTCCACTTTGGCACTGTACCCTTCATTTTGCGACCGAATAACCTCGGGTGCCATCCAGAATACGGAGCCCTGCATGTTGTTTGACTTGTCGTTGCCATAGATGTTATCCGTCTTTTTGGAAATTCCGAAATCGCTAATCTTACACGTTCCATCGAGATCCAGCAGGATGTTGTCCGCCTTCAAGTCTCGATGCAAAATACCCTCTCGGTGGAGATACGCTAGCCCAGACAACGTCTGCCGTGTAAGAGATGATACAACCGATTCTTCAAACTTGCCGTGCTTGCGTAGGCATGAGCCGATGCTGCCACCAGGAATATATTCCAGGAAGATGCTAATGCTGGTTTCCTTTCGCTCGCATCCCAAGTATTGTACGATGTTGACGTGGTCTAAATGCTGCATTGTGTCGATTTCGTGATCCAGAGCGGCTACGAGTTCCTTCATCTTACTCTTGTCTCCTCCCGCCGCCTTGGGGTTGACTTCAACTTCCTTGACAGCCAAGAATTCACCAGTCGTGGCATTCATACCCAGATAGACGCGTCCATAAGTACCTTTGCCGATGAGCTGGCCCTTGAACCACCTAAATGTCGTCTGTCGCCTGGGCAGGGTATCTTGCGGGATTTCACGAGGGAAAACCATGCCGCCGCGCTGGTCTGGCCTAATTTGCACAATGTTGGCGTTGAACATCTTGGTACTCTTTCGGCGCATGATTCCGCTGGTAGTGGCGTTACCGGAGTTGTGCGGCGCGTGAGTGAATCGTTTGTTAGCCTCATGGGCACCCCTCGCAACTTCACGGATGGACTTCATACGTCCAAGTCCGCCGGAACGTCTCATGCTCTTTTGCGCCACCGTCTGTATGGACGGGCGACGGTCCAAGGCCTTCAACGTCGACTCGTCAGAGCCAAGCGTATCCCCATCATAGACAGGTTGGCTGGAAGACGCAGCAGCAGAATGAGCGTTAATGTTGTCCTGGTACATGGCAGGAGCCGGAACAGGAGGGGGCACAGTCTGCTGTGGTGACTCCTCGACTTCGGGGATCGGAGAGGTTGTTGTTTCACCTGAGACACTGTCCTCAAGAACAGGTTCATCAAGGTCGTAGTTGGGGAAGAAATCGTCGAGGTTGTTGAGCAAATCATCGGTGGGAGGTCGATTCGCCCACACGTCCTTCTCAATAAACGACTTGCGGCGGCCAAGTTTGACTTCCTTGTCAGACTCCCAGGTTTCCGAACCAGGGGTTCCAGGAGTTCGGCGAGAACCGTTTCCTGTCCTCGACCAATCGTCGGCGTTGTCGCCTATGGATTTGGGGGAGGTGAACGAGACCGATAGAGTTTTACCCTTTGGTCGGGAAGTATTCACGGTCAAGCTGGGTTTCTGCGCATGTCCAGGTCTGCCGTTTGGTTCCTTGCCTTTTCCTCTGCCGGCGAGCGGAATAGCAAACAAACCATCGTCAGAATCGTCGTCGCTATCATCGGCCGGCGGCTGACGGCCTTGGGTAGACGAGGACTGCTGGGATTGGGGTGGTTGGGTGAATTGGACGTCTGTATCAGTAAAGTCCAGGTCTGGGCCAGGGGATTTCGGGTTGGCAGGGGGTGGGGATGACTGGTTTGCCATGGGCGGCGGCCGGGTTGAACTGGGGCTAAGCTCTGCCGGCGACGACGGCGGCCGTTGGCCTATCATGTTGAATTTAGTAATTGGTTCATCATTGCTTAACATTGAAGCCGCCAAAGGGGGCGAAGGGGCAGGTGAATAGTCAGGCACAACAAAGGACATGTTTCCAGGGCTCCAAGTAAGAGTCTTGGGAGAGCCTGAGCCAGGACTAGGCCTGTTCGAGCCGGGCTCACGAAAATTAACAATAGACATAGCTTTCTTACCTAGCGGCAGCTGCTGAGAGCCGTTGCTGGCTCCGACTGGTTGTGTCGCAGCTCTGTTTGGGGACACTGCTCGGGGCCCGTTGGCCGTTGATTGTCCAATGGCCCCCAGATTTCTGCCCATGCCAACCAGTGCCGCGCCTACAAAGCCGCCCATGCCCGCGGCAGGTATGTTGAACTTTGGTTGAGGCTTCTTACCACTCTCCGATGCCTCAGTTTCGGGCGGCACAGCCGAAGGGAGTGGGTATCGCGGCGTCGCATGACCTTCAGCAACATTGCCGTTCATGTGCCGCCCCGTCTTCCTGCTGAGTGAGTTCGCCTTGATCAGTGTTGCGGAGGGATCACTTGGCGGTGCCGGTGGCCGTCGTTGGGGGAGGAGGTGCTCGGGCTTTCTATCTTCATATGGCGAGTTTCGAGGCTGGTCGAAATCAACATTCCTACCCACAATGCCAAAACCTACAACGGATTCAGGTGGCACGACTGGGCTCTCTTTCATGTTAGCCTGTTTTCTGTCCGCGAGATATTCGCGCTGCTTCCTTGCCATCTCGGCCCTATACTCGCTCGCCCTCTGAGCCAAAGTACTCTCGTCCACCTTGTCCGTCGTTAACGTATTTGATCGAGAAGTAGGCGGAGACGAGCTAGATCTCTGGCGTCCATTGAGGCGCGCATACGCCTCCGCATCTATTCCTGGCGGGATGGCATCTGGCGACAACAGGGTTGGCACTTCACTGCTCAGACTGGGGGTTAGTGCGCTATGTGAAGTAACAAAGAACTTGAGCGTCCCCGCAGAATCCGCCTTTACTCGCTTGGCGGTTAGAAGCTTTTGATCATCTAGAGGCTCTGCGTGTTCAAATTGGCCCAATTCAGTAGTAAATATGAATGAACCCTCAATATCAGGAAGGCCAAGGTTCAAGCAGATAGCTTGACGAATATCCGCGGCAGTCACTGCCTCTGTGATATCACACATGCGGTAGTTCCAATAGTCCATAGTGGCCAAGACGTACACTCTGCTTTGGGTGGCATGGTGTCTTGCTCTGTACTGCGAAGTGATGCTGGATGTGTCCAGGTGTGCGTCACTTGCATCGGACCCGTGAGTAGCCATCGACATGGGCTTATAAAAGGCCGCTGGTGAAGTGGGAGAATCAAGATCATCAGGTGAAGGAAAAGCGCCGTCTACTTGCTGGCGCTTTTTTCTAGAGAGGAAACTGAGAAAACTCTTATTGTCCTTGGCAGAGGAAGGAGATTCCGCATGCTTAGAGTAGCCTTCTTGACTTCTCGACGCGGACATCAGCTCCGCCAAGCTCATTCCTCGGTTCATTAATCCGATTGCCTCTGGCGGAATTCCCGACCCATATATCGCGGCATTGGAAGCAGCCGAATCAGTGCTATTCCTTGAGCGATGGGTAAACTTGGATGAGCTTGGTGACGACGAAAGAATAGGAGTGGTGGCCGAGTGGAAAAGAGTGGGCTGGGGGGCTGGGCTGCCACCTGGGCTGGCTGTCTGTTCAGCCGTGGGACTCTGACGTCCGAGTTCGAGGTTCTTCAGAACTGTTCTGTGGTTCATATCAGTACCGTTTGCAGGTGGCATTGTTGTCGATCTGGTTTGAGAAAATCTTCTGGCGGCAATGGAGTTGAGTGGCACAATGGGAGACTCGAGAGTATCGGCGGCATCTGAGCTAGCAGTAGGAAGATTGGAAGGTTGGCTAGAAGCTGTAGACTCCTTCCGACTGTGAGCGGGTATAGCCTTGGAAGCTTCGACGGGGCGGCCGGTAACGACACTCCTAATCAACCTCCGCATCCGCTTTCCCTCCTCCCTCTCTCTCGGCTGGTCCCATCCCGTCCCGCTATTCGTACACTCCTGCGCCAATCGAGGATACACCCGCTGGTGCATCATACCAAAGTTTCCACGGCCGCCGTGGGCACTACCTAGTTCCAAGAACTGTGCGCCATACAGGTTCAGTGATCTGAACGTCTCTTGCCAGTCTTTGGAGAACTGGTTCTGTGCCAGCCACAGCAAGACCTTATCCAGTGGCCACTGGGCTGCTATTTCGGGAGGGATCGTACTTGGCGCAGTGGCGGTTGTGGGCGCATTGGGCGCGTTTGGTGGTCCCTTGGCATGGCTTCCTCCCATATATGCCTGCTGCTGCCTGTCATCCATTGACATCATAGTGCCAGTGTCCGTCCCGTTCTGCAGCCATGAAGTCTGCGATTCTTCTCGACCAAACGCTGGTATGCCCACACCTTCGCCATACGTGTCCCCCGTCGGTATATACGTTGCGCCCATTCCGTCGCTCGGGCGTGGAGGAGGAGGCATGACCATTGCTTGTCCCGCCTGCATCGCGGCGTGAAACTTGGTAGGGTTATACGGCTGATGTTGGTTGGTTGGAGGCGGCGGAGGCAAGTTGTAACTCGGTCGGCCATCGTACAGGCGACCAAAGTTGCCGTGCCAGTTTGGAGCCTGCATCATGCCGCCTCCAGGAGGAGGGCCTGGCGGGGGTGGGATCATGACGCCTTGGGCTTGCCCAGGCACAGCAGGATATCGAATCGGTGGGGGAGGGGGCACCATCATGTTCATCTGAGGCCCGACCATAGAAGGCGCCATGGACGGCGGTGGAGGAGGAGGAGGAGGCACCTGGAAAGGCCTCGTGGGATCGTTGCCCGAGACATGACGTTGGCTGCCCTGATACATGGTCACCAGCGAGAGAAGACGCCCGCTTCTCGGAGACGGTTGATAGTGAGCAGTTCAGTCTCGCTCGGGGAAGCGATCGCGGCCGTCGCGGGCCGCGGCCGATGGTTTGCGAGCGACGCGGACGAGATGTTGCTTGTATATAGATCGAAGTCGGGGATATCCGTCGTCGTCAGCCGGAGACGTCGTTCAGGCCGCGGGTGGTTGTTGGTGGTAGGTTCAAGGCTCTTATCGGACTTGGGCAAAAGGGCTCGGCGCTAAGCTGCGGCAGCTGGTCTCGGTATGGCCACACCAAGCAGGCGCCGGCGTCCTGCAGAATGGTCGAGTCGAGCGCGCGAGTGGTGGACGAAGCCCAGAAGCAGCGTCTGTGGCACGTCAGTCGCAGAGGTTCAAGTTTTTGGCCAAACATGAGCCGGTGGTGGAACTACTAGTAGGATGGATGCTGTACTCGTACCTGTCGAAGCTTCAAAACATGAAAGGTGTGGATTCAACGGTTACGGGTTTAGTGGCTGGGGCTTGGTGGGCCGGCCTCCAGCCTTGAGCACAGCCAGCAGCCTCGGGGCCGCACCCGAGCCTCTGTTCAGCGCCGTCCTTCACTGGAGCGATGCCTGTACAGTCCCTAGTTTTGCAGAGCAGCACGAGCACTGCCTCGCGATGGAGGTTAGCGGTGCTTCAGCGGGTGCTTGCTAGCGCACACCTGCACAAGTTTGGCCCCTCCGCAACCCCTGCCAGCCCCTGCAGCCCCCGTAGCGTCGCCACTGCAGCCAATGAGCTGCGCTGCTTCAATCGGAGCTGCTGGGCAAGATACGGACACAATCTTCAATGAGACATTGCAATATGGAAATGCAGTCGATTCCTCTGGCCGCAATTTGCACTCCCAATGCCGAGATGGTGTCTTGTGCCGGGCCCAACAGCAGGTCCTGCGACTTCTCATGTTGCTGATTTGAAGACGCCACATCTCGCAATTGACTTCTGCGACGGAAAACGGAAACGTTACAGCAGCCGGCCTATCGGCTGTCGTGCCACGAGCTTGAAAACGTTTATTCGTGTCCTTATATTGTCATCTCCACCGGCCCTTTGAAGTATCGCCGAGCCAATAGAAGAGAGGCCACTGAGCTCCAGATACGAGTGCCATAAGCTCTCCTTGCATCTGTTGCAGGGAGAGCAGATTGCGAGGCAGCCCGTCCTCACCACCAGGAAGTACATGTACATGTATACGCATGCAACCATATCGCCAACTTCAAGATGGTCTGCAGGGGAATTGCGACGTGGAGCTGCGATCCGTATTATGCGCAAGGATGCTATTTATTACCGGCGGTAGTATTAATAGCACGCATACGAGTACATGCATGTACATTAACCTCACCTAGCAAAGGACCTTGGATACGAAACTTCTCGAATGATGTCACCGCAAGGGTCACTTTTCCGATGGCATTCTGATTGATATAAGTTTAACAGCTAAACGAAGAGCAGGGATGTGCTTTTGACAGCTCAACGATTTCTCTTAGCATCGGCACTATTCCTGGCCTAGGATCATTGCTATTACCGGTAGCGAAGCTGTTCAAGATTGCTTGGGTCCCTGTACTGCATGTATTTGTCCGAGTTTTTCCTCCGGCAAAGAATCGGTGCATAGGTATACACATATGCTATTTCTCACCACCTCCTCATCCACCAACCTCCTCTACATTAACCACAAGCGTGTCAAACAATCTTGTCAAAACGCTGACTGTCCCGACTCCAGCAGCCTTGATTAGTGGTGTTGTGCATATCCCATGACCCATCTCCTAGGGCTGACAGACCCGTCTCGGAGCTCCTCCCCTCCGGCAGCTGGCTAATTTAGAGTGCATATCCTCCCAACGAATGACGGCATCGCCATTGACTCCATGCAAGAAGGAATCAACTGAAGTGTGTAGGCTGGGGAACATCCCTGCAAAGGGTCCATATTCGTATTTGTATTCTGCCTCTTGCTTTACCCCCGCCAAAAACGCAATACTAGCAAACACATGTGATACGCAAGACATAGCACAAACTTTAAACGTTTGATCTAAATTATGCGTCAAATGTCTATTCAAGCACAGAAATAAATAATAGAAAAGAACTGGAAATGAGCTGCTATAGCTTGGGTTTCACCTCTTCCGTTGTTGTCAAAGAATGTCACTTTCAAATAGAAGAGATGAAGAGACGAGACAAGGAGTGCCTCAGACTAGCCATATATTTTCACATCTCTCTGTGAGATTTATCGAAATATTCCATGTTACGTAGGGCTGTACTAGAAACTGTACAAGTCACGGCATATGCTTAATATCAGGTAACAAAATAGTCAAGTTGCCACTAGTATTTCTGTTACACCAAGCCGAAGTGCATGTTTGAGCACTGGATGTAAGCTGTGAAACCGCAGGCGTAATATCACGATAAATATTATCAGAAACCTGCTCCCCAGGAATCCAGTATAAGTTTATCGTACATATATTATGTTTACCTACAAACATCTACGTAGCACTCCATACCTCGTATTCCTTGCTTACACGGACACTAGTAAAAGTCGTGATGTTTTGCCAGAAGGAGGGAGTCGCAACCACCTATATAATTGAAGTAAAACACACCTATATATGCATGTAGATGGAACAAATCTCTGCAATGAACGCATTCGATCCGCAAATTATGCATAAACCGCATCGCTTCCCAATACATCAGCCGCGCGCTTGTCGTTCGGCCTCGGTATTCTTTGCGGATGCCGAACTGGACTACTACCCCACCACTTGCGGAGTTGTCCACCGCGATATTGCCCAAAGCAGCAACCAGTGTCTTCAGGATGAGCCAAGTGCGATTAGATGAGAATGAATAAGGCGTCTAGAATCATTCCATGGCTGGATCTAAAAGATTTAATCAGGAGATTTGCTTTGTCTATTAGTCAACAGGTATTTATTCATTCATTTATTTATTCAGCTAGACGCCCACACTTCGCTACGTTCTGGTGCAATTTCACAGTTCCATCGAAGTCACCAACACACCGAAATGTCTCGCTCTCTTCTCATCACCGGCGCCACAGGCAAACAGGGCGGTGCCGCAATCAGATCCCTCGTATCCAGAAACGCAGATTTCAGACTCCTCGCCGTCACCCGTGACAAAACTTCTCGCTCGGCCCAGAAGCTCGCAAGTCTCTCACCCAAGGTTACCCTTCTTCAAGGCGACCTTAACGACACAGACGCCATATTTGCGCATGCCAGAGATTTGAGCAATTCAACTCCATGGGGAGTCTTTAGTGTCCAGGTATTTAGGCGACAAAGCCCAATTCATATATGAAAGTCCCGTGGCTAGGCTCACTTACACATTATAAAGGCTCCGAAAATGGGTGGAAAGGGTGCAGCCGATGAACAAGCCCAAGGCATATCTCTCATCGACTCTGCTCTCAAAGCCGGCGTAAAACATTTTGTATACTCCTCTGTCGACCGTCATGGGGATAAATCCATCAATAACCCAACCGACATCCCTCACTTCATCAGCAAGCACAACATCGAACACCATCTCATCAACTCCACCAAGTCAAATGATGCAATGTCTTGGACAATCCTCAGACCAGTAGCGTTTATGGAAAACCTCGACGGTGGATTCGTGGGCAAGTTGTTCGCCACCGGAATAAAGGCGAGACTCTCGCAGAAGCCTCTACAGCTGATTGCCACAGAGGACATTGGCGGAGCCGCGGCCGAAGCTTTTCTTCACCCCGAAGAACACAAAGGAAAAGCGATTTCGCTAGCCGGGGATGAGGTCACTTTCCCGCAATTAAGTGAAATCTTTCGCGAAAAGACTGGAGCTGACATTCCCCTCACTTGGGGTATTTTGGCGAAGTTACTCCTCGCTTCGTCCAAGGAGATGCGCACCATGTTTTCGTTCTTTGAGAAGGAGGGATATGCTGCAGATATCGAGGCGCTGAGGCGACAGTATCCACGACTAAAGGATGTAAGAACATGGCTGGAAACCAGCCCATACATGAAGAAGTGAGTTTCAGAGGCAGTCGACTGGGCCAATTACATCAAAGTACATGTATATGCATACATGCGTGCAAGGCTAGTGTGCATGTGGCAGGCAAATGATGAAGCGAGTCGACTTGTCACTTGTGAGGCATCATCCGCATGACGGCCTAATTTCGAATCCTACCAATGACGCATTTTCTTTGTTAGTATTTCACAAAATCACCATTTTGCTAGCTTCCAGGTCTCGGAGAATTGAGTTACATATAAATTGAATCTCAGATTGGCCCATCAATAGGCAGGGATGTCACTCTATTAAACAGGCCGCAATATGCGAGATCGCAAAACGTTAAAATACTATCACAGCCTGCTTGAGATGTGTGGATATAATTCATGGTCATGTTCAACGAAAAACAAGCAGCCAGCCGACGACAATGAGCATGCCGGTCATTGACTACACTGATCCTTATTTAATAATGGGCATGTAACGACCAACCAACATCCTAAGCAAGGCTGCCAGACACATAGAACATGAGGCATCTGCGCGCCGGAATAAACCAGACGTAAATAGATATAAATAAACTTATAGAGAGATTAAATTTAAAATCAAGATGACAGCTTTAATAATGCAGTAACAGCTGGTTCAATAAAAGACTATGCCCCAGCCATTGGTAAATACAGGTAAACGTATAAATGGAATATATCGTCTATAGAACGCATACATATGTACATGTAGACAAGTCACATATAAGTAGAGAAAATACATGCATGATAGTCGCCAGGGGGACCAACAACATGAAGCCATGCATGCTCGCTCAGCATCCAACCCTTTACACCAAGACAGCCCAATCCACGCATAAATACAATTCCCTCACGCTTGTACACACCAATCTCAAGTGAAAGGATTTCAACCTCACTTCTATGACTCTCTTTCTTCCCCCATCAAAATCCTCGTCAATGTTATCAACTCTCCCGTCAAAGGCCAACACAACCAGCAGGTCTCGCCCGCCTCCACCCGCCGCCCCCCAAAACGGTTACGGGATCTTCCTGCATTCTCCAGCTGATCACATTCTTTCTCTGGGCATTACCCTCAATCGCGCGCCACGTCATGCTTCATAGCACCAATCCCGGCGGTGGGGCACTCTCCTTGCATCAGGAATAAGCATCGCCCGTCTTTAATCCAAGAGGACTTTCTCCAAGAGGATTTGAGTCAACCCGGTATAAGATGTATTGATCATCGGGTCGCCAAGCAGACAGTACATGTATGTAGCACAGGACTAAAGGTATGGAACTAATATTAATTCTATGTGCTTGAAAAGAGGCTCCAAGGACGTTTGAGGTCTGAGAGCCACGTAGTCTGGTCAGTCGTCTCCAACGCTCCTAGGTCTACTGTTAACACATAGTCAATGCAAGAAGCTGGGTCTCTCGGCTTCCATCAGATAGATTATAGTTATTAGGGTGGCAGAACATATGTACAGCGTGAGTACATGTATATTCTGCTATCGATGCATGATTCATAGCTGCTCAGAGAGCTCTCGTCATACTCATGTCCAAAAAGAGTCAACCCTCTATACCAAAAATTGAAGCAGAAAATTCAAAGTGGCTGTGCGATCAAACGTCGTAACAATGCTCCCGTATGCCGATGCCCCTGCTGATGCTGCAGCTAATCATGCCAATGCAACACTCTCAAAAAGCACAAAAAAGAAAACGCCAAGAGAATCCTTCCGTCGTGTATGCTAATTCGCCAGCTTGTTACTCCTTTCAACAAGGGCTTCACACCCCATTACAGACGCCCAAACCAGAAACCCGAAGAGAAAAGAGATATTGGAAAATTGATTAGTAAAAACAAGCACCGCGCCATTTCAAGTCCCATGAGCACTTTTTGGTGAGCAGGATGTCAACAGGGTCCCATGTAGCGGTCGGCTTTTCTTCATCCGTCTTCTCCGGATGTGTCCAGATACTTTTTTGTTCCCTGATTCCTCGGCGGAATTTATGGGGTAGCCAAAGTAGCGGTGGAGCGGTGAGAGCGATTGATGAGTTCTCCAGCATCAGTGCGGCCTTGCAATTCGGCGAATCGAGTGGAGGTCGTTCAAGCGTCGAGCCGTGGATATGCAAACTAGTGATGGTCGCAGCTTTCGTGATACTAGTCGACTCCTCAAGCGCCTTCATTCGTTGTTTCTTTCCCATCTCTTCCCGCTTTCCTGAAGGCTGATGTTAAAGTATAGCATTTCCATAAGACTGATTGGCCGATGCAACCTGGTGCATCAACACCCTTGTCGCCATGCCCATCGAAAGAGTCGTCGGTGAAAATCGCTAAAAGGGCAGGCAGAATTTCCCAGCCGTTTATTGGCCTAATGCCATCATGGGCTTACGTGCGTATACAACGTAGCTGCCAGCAGTTAGCAAATCGCTCCTTGAGCCTAAAATAAATGCGCGCATTAGAAAAACTTCATCAGCAGGAGTGTACTTACTACGGCCAGTAGGAGTGAACGCCTAGATCGCGCAGTTCCTTTCGTAGCATGGCGGAAATCACCAGAATCTCCTCTTCTGACCAGCCCAGGCTCTTTTGGAATAACCGCATCGTCAAGCCCTCTAGGTGATTCATCAAGTTGTGCTGTTCCCAAGCTCCAATGAGTTTCAAGCGCTTATCCTTTGCCCAAGGAGTGCAGGGCATCTTATACACCTCCTCCGTCACGCATTCGAATCCTCGTTGCTCAAACCACTGTTTAAACCGAGTCGGATCATCTACTGGAGTGCCGTATCTTTCGCATGCTGTCTTGGTGAGGTTTGCCCAAGAACGAAACGTGCTATCTTCAGGTAAGGTGCCGTCGTCGCATTGCAACAATCCGGTGTGACACTGGAATTCGATCCAGCCGCCGGGTTTTAGATGTCTATTGATTATTGTTAGCCCCTGGACGGTGAATTCAGAGTCTTTGTGTGATAGAACGATTCGGAGTGAATGCGTCATACCTGTATGCCTGGTCGATTAGTTTCGGAAAGTTTCGTACAGATAGAATTAGGTCCCGAGAGAAGATGAAGTCGGCACTGTCAGCCTTCCACGTCCATGTCTGTTCAATATCGTCAAGTTCGAATTGGCAGTTCGGCGGTACCCTTCAAGAACTCATCAGCGCAATCATATTGGGGGTGGCTCTCCTCCGAACATACCATTGCGGCTGTGTAGGGGCTATATCAACACCAACAACCTGGATGAAGTCATGTCAGTTCCATCGATCAGTGACCGTCCAGATCAAGAAAGAGCCGCACCTGTGCCCCAGGATAATCATCGGCGACCTCAACACACCATATCCCTTTAATACAACAATGTCAGCAAGCGGCAAGATGGCGTAGATAGGCTTGTAGTCGAATTACCTGTGCCGCATCCCAAGTCTAGAATCCTCTGCGGGTTTTCACTAATCGGTGATAGAAAACGTCGTTGTTTCAGGAGGGAAAAATACTTCTGGTGACACAGATCCATGCGGTCAAGTTCCTGGTCGTCCATAGGGAGTCCATACTCTATGCAAACAGGGTCGCATTAGCACAATGGCGGCCAGTGAATGGTAATCGAATAGACACCGAAAGGAGACGAAGGTGAAGTAGAAGAACCTTACCCTCTTTCCCATACGCAGCGTAGACGCGCTGGCCTTCGCCCACGACGCCATGAAGAATAGATGAGGTGACAGAAGTCAATGAGGACTGGAAGCTTCCGATATCGTTGCCCTAGTCAAGTCAGAAAAGAATCCCGGCATTTTCGAATGGCGTTTGACAAGCCACTCACTTCGTCGAAGTCATCCGGCGGTGACACCGCAGACTATGCCAAGCGCGTGTGTTAGTAGTTGACTCGACCAGCCTATTATCGCCGACCGTAGCGTTGGCCATAGACAGTCCAATCTCGTCGTACACACCTCATCGGGGGGAATCATTCCGGACGGCTCTGTCATAACAGCTAGTGAAGGCCGTCTGTCGTCCATGCTAAGATTCCAATTTCAAGGCCCAGAGGCGACCCTCTGGCGGACAGACACTGCGCCCCAGTGGCTGGTGTCAAAGAGGTTGAATCGTCGACTTTGCAGAGATGAAGCCCGACGTTACTCTCGCTCTTCCCCCTTTCATGAAAAGTCCAGGTCCGTGGAGGAGCAGTGGAGGAGCGGATCGGTCAACTTGTCAAACGTGTGGGAGGGCCGGTCGCCGATTGCAGCAAGTTAGGCTGGAGAGGGAAAGGCGACGGCAGCTGGTGCGCAATAGTTTGGGCAACGGGGCATGCGAGTCGATGGAGTTTGTGAGAGCGTGGCGTCTGTTTTTGGCTTTGGCTTTGGTTTTGGCTTTGGTTTGGAATTTGGCTGGTGTTGTTTTTCTCTGCGAGTTTGTGGTTTCCCTTGTACTTTGTACTTGCCCCGGAGCGAGTTGCGGAACAAAAAGTGGCGGCCCGTCGTGCCCCCGAGCAAAGTAAAGTTTGACGCAGGAGTCAAAACGTCGTCTCAACCGGTCAGAGAAGAAAAACGCCGGCTATCTGTCTGAGGAAAAAGAAGGTTCGAAAGCCGACCCTGAAACGGAGCGGACCGGCCTTGCTGGAAGAGGCTACAAGTATTGAATGGCCCTGTCTCTCTCCTCTCAGCGCCCACGGGATGCTGGTGAGCAGCATAGACGAAAGAACAGCTGGAGACGGGGCTTGCCCGGGCCAGGATGGGGCTTGCTGTTGCTGAATACAGGTACGGAGTACCAGGCGAGAGAAATCATGGACTGGGGGCGACGGGCAAAGGGCAGTGAGTTCCTCTTGTGGCCGCTGCAGATTATTACCCTGGTCGCGCCCACTTCAAGGATCCCAAAGCGGATGTCAGGATGGCCGAGTCATGTGTTAACCGCTTTTTGCGCCCAGGAGATGGAAGAACCAACAAGTTATTGACAAATAGAAGAGCGCAATAAGCTGCCAACGGCTGCTGAACGATTTGATGGAGGAGGAGGGAGGCGTTGCAATCCCCAAGGCTCGAAGGTGAGGATCAGGTACGATTTGGGGTCTCATATTCGGCACGGGAATATGTATTCATCATGCCAGCCACGAGTACTACTACTAATTCATCAGACCTGCATAGGTAGGTAAGATACTGTATTGTGCGAGAGCCGTGCCTAACCAGTACGAGTACTCCGTACAGTACTCCGTGCATCGGGGTGGTATTGCTGCAGATTTTGTGTCCATCACTGGCCCCAGCCTGCATGCAGGCACATACGGGCTAGACGCATGTACAGGTTGCCCTTTTGAGATGGCACATAAGCATGCGTACTCCGTACAAGCAATCGCATTGTACTTAGTATCCGCAGCTGGAACACCAGCTTCAGCACCTTGCCGGGATCCATGAAAGGAGATGCCAGTCATGACAGCCTCAAGACAGGATCAGGGTGGTCCAGGCTTCGGCTGTCGATGATTGACGCAGCTAATAATACGCACGGGGGCAGCTCGATGCCAACTCCAAGCCGTTGAGGTGAGCCATTAAGTGCCGAGCACCACCCTAACCCACACGCCAAACAGCAACGGCTGCTGCCTCCTAGTGGTGAATATCAAACATCCATTGACGGCTTGGCCTCATCCTGCACCTGGCTAATTGCTGCAGACATCCATTCCATTGATGCATGCTCACCCGCGGTAGGGCTAGCAGGCAACATGAGGACGCTGTGACTGGCTGGATAAACGGGAACGGCACTAGGAAAAGCGACCAACAGCGCCTCGTTATAGCGCTCTGCCACTGGCTGACAGGGACTTGGCCGCTATTTTCGCTCTCCCGCCCCGCCCCGGAGGCTAGGTAAACAGCTAGTGTGCAAGCGGGGCTGACAAGTGCTGCTCAACTGTTGCGGACAATTCTAGCCTCGAGAGCTCGACCTGCGGCCAACACAAATCAAGTCAATGATGACCTTGCTCAAGCTACTATACTGACTTGGTGCAGACTTCAAACAGAGGCGTTCCGGCATTGGCTCCTCAGCCGCCGGGGGAGCAGCCGCTGCATTATCGCTGAGCTGGTGCCGGTTTGATGACAAGTGTGGAAGCCAATCCTGCCGCGGACCTATCCGGGGCTCTTCACGGGACGACTCCGTCTGGTTTACGAGAACTACGAGTACGTCCACACGGTACGGGCAGATCATGGCAGATTCCACAAGAGCCACTCCCTTGCTTGCCTTAGCTGCTAGTGCTTTGTCGTGCAACACGCAGCTGGGGGGAGCCTTTCGTTTTAGCTGAAGAGAATGTTGGTCGACCAAACCTCGGACGGGCCGAGTTCTAGATGCACAACCGCCCCCTCGTCTCGCCGCAATTTGCCTGCCTCGCACTCGTTTGCTAGACCGGAATAACAGGCAGAGAGCGGTGTACAAGAAACCAGCACAGATCAGGGCGAAGCTCGGGAGTATTACGATGTACGATGTAAGAGGTACAAGGTACGAGGTACGAAGGCAGTGCGATGCGCAGTTGCAGGCATTGCGCATACTCGCCAGGTACTAGGTTCTTGGACAAGCTGCATCCATTGATGGATATCAAAAACCTGGAGAACTCTGGATCCAGCATTGCCCATACCCTGATCGCCACGGCTTTCTAGCCTTACCTCTATCGTCCTCTGGGGCCGGCCGGGCGATGAGCAAATTGCGGGCATTTGCCCGCATCAATGGAACGGTTTGACTTCGCCAGGAGCCATTTTTCATTGGAGAGATTACGCGGCGAATACTACGAATATTACACACTTGCAGGTATGATGAGTACCCATACGTACCTACATACCTGCCTGTATGCGGCCGTCGTTGTTCATGCGAAGCATCAGCGTCCAGGTATATGTCACGCTCTCTACTTACTCGTGCATGTTACATGTTGACACGCAACACAGATGCTGCTCGGTATCACAGAAATGCTTTATGCTGAGTGACAACGCTACCTGTACTCTTCCTGTCGGCCGTGCGTCTTACTCACCTACGAATATACAAAGATGCAGGGAACGGTGAGAAGACGGCCCTACCCGTGTCTGACCCTGCTGTCATCACTCCCGTCGAGAAAATAGCATCAATGCCTGCCTGCGCCCGCAACAAAACCTTGTGGGATATGGATTGTTTGGCCGCCAATGGTGTCGACTGCCAGTTGTCTGGTCCGTCGATGGCGCGACTCTTCCCACGTGGCCTTAAATTGCCGAGAGTTGTCACAGCTAAATGCTATGTGTGTCATGTCTACGAACTGAATACTTGAAGAAGCAGGTACCTGGCTGCTCTCAAGCAATGCTCCCACGCCGCGCTCCGTATGATCCCATGCTGATATAGCTACTACCTGTATGAGCATATGGTGTACCTGTATGGCCTCGGAGAGCATCACACATGTGCATCCGCAGGTGCATGTGCTACGACGTGAGCGCCGTGACATCCGTCTTGAATACCACCTAGCAAAAGGGCGACTGAGCTGACGAATGGCTTTTGTGCCGACTCAACATCTTCCACGCGTCTCGTAGCCTGGCCGTCAAATGGCCTCGGCGTTCCCTACCTCGAACAGGGGTGTCCAACCGACCAGGACAAGCCCACGATAAGGTAGGATCAGGCGCAACATTCACTCAATTCGGAGCCCTGGCATGCCATCCCTCATGCGGCGCTGCACCTCTATCCATCCCCCCTGTAACTTATATGTGTAGCATTTACTAAGGTATGGAGTGCTCTCAATGCATACCTACAGTACTGTAAGGTACGGGGAGCTTAGGTAGTGACGGATAGGCATTCCGGTACGTGCAAGTACGAGTATTATTATAGCCAGCGCCTATTTTAAGAGAGTCGTCTTCAGATGCAATCGAATTCAAGATCCAGAAAGCCATGAGAGGCCCTCTCGGCGGCTAGTATTATATTCCAGTCCCCATCAATCACAGTCTCTCCTTTTTATCCGCCAGTTGTCCCATTTCAGAAGTATCGCCAATATCTATATTAATGTTCGAATTGCAATGCCGTTTGACGAGAACCAAAGAAGAAAACACGAGCGAATACCTGCGTTAGTGCTCGTATATCGCCAAACCAGTCGTAGCCAAGAATGCATTGCAACGTTGGCTTCTTACCATTCTAAAGGTTGCTTCCTCAGCGCTGCTTGGCGCTCGGTAAACCTCAGCTTTGTTTTAGATCTCACATACAGAAAACCTTCGGCGAAACAAAAATTGGAAAAAAGACAGTCCACTTCCATACGATTTTGATTTTGGCGCCCGGGAATTCAAGGCCGCGAATCTTGTGCTAAATGAAATTTCACCCCTTCGGTATATTTGCATGAAATATCACGGAGTTGTTACCGTGTTGTGATGAGGGCCGAAGGTTCTCTTTGACTGGGGTCAGATCTTGGGAGGCCTTGGCTGCCAAGTCGGGCACTTACAGCAAAATCTGACTGTTCCAAGCAAATCAAGCTGGATATTACACGGGGATTACCGATCGTCTAACATGTGAGAGAATCCGGCAAGGGTAGGTGAAATCTTCTTTTTTTCTTTTCATCATAGCTGTTGTACATGGCATATTCGTACAGTCTTTTTCCTTCTGTCCCGCCACACCTATATGCGTAAAATTCATGACCCTTATATCTTTCCCGTCAACCAGTCCCTCTCCTTGTTCCTCGCCGCGTTTCCGTAGCCCGTTACCGGCAAGTCACGCTTCTTCAGCTCCTCTTCAATCACCTTCCAGCGTCCCACGGCAACCTCCTTGTCGATGGGGCCAATCTTCCGGTCGTGTACTGCGACGTTGGCCAGGTCAGCGAAGGCATTGCGCTTTTCGAGCATTTGAGCCAGCTTCAGCGGCTTGGGGTCTCTCGCCGCAAGAGTGAGGATGTGCTTGGCGGTGTTGGCGGCGGCGAGTTTGGCGTCTGGGATGAGGATTCCGGTGAGTTGGTAGAGGCGCTTGCGGAGCTGCGTAGGGATAGAATTAGCATAACCGTCACGTATAACCGTATCTTTGGATCCCCTTCCAGTGGGAATGACATACCGCAAATCGTAGTGAGTCATCCAGCGCAATATTCTTCCATGAAGGATCCCACAACTTGATCATTTCCTTTGCCTCCTCGACAGTCACAATTGTCGATGATTCAGCCTCTTGAGATTCGCTCGTCAAAGTCTCCGCAATCGATGAAGCGTCACCCTTCAAAGTAGCCTTGCCATCCTGCACCTCAACTTGCACGGCCAATGCCTGGTCCAACTCATCCCTAGACCCTCCTTCGGACCACTTCTTCGTAGCCCACTCCGAGAAAGCGCCTGTCTGCTGCAGCGCCAGTGCCTCAACAACGGCTCGTCGCAGATGAACCTCCACGACCTCTCTTTCCACAACCTTGTCCGCGCTGCCGAATCCCTTGAACACACTCTCGTCGCCCCAGTGTCCAGGCTGCTCCCACCACGTGCTCAACGCCCCAATCTCCTCCAGCCCCTCAGCGTCCGTAGCAGGCACATACGTCGGATCCGACGACTGTAGCTCTTTCTCCGCCGTCGCCTCGGTCCTCCTCGCGGGCAGAGTCAGCCTGGACTCTCGCACGGCCGCGGGCGTCTTGTCCTGGCGCGGCCGGCTCTCGAGCGCCTCCTCGGGCAGATTCGACTGGGCTTCGGGCTCCATCCTTTGCGTATAGGGATCAGCAGGGCCGGGCGCCTCGCCCTTCCAGAGCTTTCCCCGGATCCATTCCGTGTTCTTGCTGTGCGCGGGGCCGGTCGTCGAGATGGCGCGGGCAGCGGCGAAAGAAGGTCTGGAAGCGGCGCATTGTGACGGGATGGCCAATTGCAGAGACTGCAGTCTCCGCATTCTCGTTATTCGTGCCATTGGCGAATGTGTGAAGGGAAGCGCCGTGGTTGAAATTCCCCTCGGCGTCGTCGACTGGATTTTTGATAAAGAGGTTCGAAACGAGTTGCAACTTTTCCTGATATGGGGCCATGAGTAACGGCAGACGGCAGACCAACCAGAGCGCCCGATGATAAAGGGGCCCCACATTTTGCGGCCAGCCTCGCAGGCATCTTGACCTTGTAAAGTTCCATTGTCTCGCCAATGCCGTAATCCCAAGACAATCTATTCGCGACAACAGCGGCGCGGCATCTCCAACGCTTTCGGCGCCTCAGCCCGCAAGTGCGATTTGCTGCATCAAGCACCGCCATGGCGCGATTCCAGCTGCTGGTGCTTCTCCTCGCCGCGCTCATGGCGCTGGCCTCCGCCTCTTGTAAGCTCCAGCTGAAAAGCAATCCACAAGAAGCCGCAAACTGACAGGAACATGAACCAGCAGCGCCCAGGTTCTGCAAGTGCACATGCTTTAAGAACAGCACCATCATCCCCCTCGGCCCTCAGCACCAATCCGACCAGCGATCCCTCTTCCACGCGCCCTCTCCTCTCCAAGACCCTGTCCACCGGTCGACAACGTCATCATGCTCCGAATGCACAAAGGCATTTTGCCTGAGCCAGGGCATCAGCTTCTGCAAGGATGCCGAGGAGGACGACGTTGTCACCATGTGCTTCCAGCGCGACAGCAACAAGGACAAGATCATCGTTTGGGGATTCATCTTTGGGACGTCAGGGCTGCTGGGCTGGGCTGCGTTCAAGAGAGTGCTGGAGTGGAGGGAGGCGCGGAACTTTGGACGGGCGGGCGCCAGTTATGCTGCCATGGGCAGTAGTCGATAGCATATCAGTTTGAATATAAGCGACAGTTTTACGATGCACAGCATTCATAAAGGCTTGATGATTGTGACTTTGAAAATGACCATCTACAAGCATTACGGAACTTGCTTCGTAGCATATACTTGGTAGACGAGCAGGCTTCTGACACGCAGTGTGGTTAGAAAATTGACGCTCATATTCTAAAAAAAAGGGCGTCATACGCCGCCAGTAACTAGATACACCACAACCGTATGGCTGAGGACAACGTATGTTTTTTGTATGCTCCTTCAATGCGCTAGTTTTAACCCCCTCGACTTTTGAATGCGGCTCCTTGAAACTTTTAGCTGGCCAGGAGGAAGCCAGTCGCGACTCGCGCGCAAACTTGCGGGTTGTGACATTTCCAAATCAATAAACTTAACTTCTGCTTTTTTTTTCTCTCATCTTACACACATGGCCTCTCCTCCCACATCCAATTTTTAATCCTCTTCCAGAGTGCTCACCTTGGCCTCTGTGCTAGGGGCACCTGAGTTGATCTCACGGCGAGCGCGGACAGCAGAGGCAAGGTCCTCAAGAACCGTGACAGTGTTCTCCCAGTTGATGCATGCGTCAGTAATGCTGACGCCGCGCTTCAGGGCGGCGGGGCCCTCGGCAGGAACCTTCTGGTTGCCCTCATTGATGTTGGACTCGATCATGACACCAACAATGGCTCGCTCACCCTCCCGCAGCTGTTCGGCAATGACCTGTGCAACCTTGGGCTGGTTGTTGTGGTTCTTCTGGGAGTTGCCTGTTCTCTTGTTAGCTAATCCGGTGTACTCGCCAGCTAGCCTGCGTGAGATAAAGACTTACCGTGAGAGCAGTCAATCATGATGGCCTGCTTCTGGCCCTTGTCCGTCAGCATCTTCTTGGCCGCCTGGACACTCTCCTTGTCGAAGTTGGGGCCCTTGCTTCCGCCTCTCAGGATAACGAAACCGTGCTCGTTGCCCTTGGTGCGAGTAATGGCGGCAAGACCCTGTTTTGTGACGCCCATGAAGTGGTGCTTAGCGGCGGCAGCGCCAATGGCATCAATGGCGACGCCAAGGCTGCCGTCGGTTCCATTCTTGAATCCCACGGGGAAGGAAAGGCCAGACGCAAGCTCACGGTGGAGCTGAGACTCAGTTGTTCGCGCACCAATAGCACCGACGGAGATGCAGTCGGCAAGGAACTGAGGGGAGATTGTGTCGAGCATCTCGGTGGCAATGGGCATGCCGTTGGAAGTAAGGTCAACAAAGAGCTGGCGGGAAACGCGCAGACCCTTGTTGATCTGGAAGGATGAGTCGATATCAGGGTCGTTGATCAGGCCTTTCCAGCCGACGGTCGTACGAGGCTTCTCCAGGTAGGCGCGCATCACGATGCAGAGGTCATCGGAGAGCTTGTCGGAAAGCTGCTTGAGACGGCCAGCGTACTCGTGGGCAGCTTCGGGATCGTGGATGGAGCAAGGTCCAACGACGACTAGTAGTCTGTCGTTCTGGCCCATGACGATTCGGGCAGCTTCTCTCCGGCCCTTGACGACAGTCTCGAGAGCATTGGGAGTCATGGGGATCTCAGAGATGAGCAGAGCCGGGGGGATCAAAGGATCCTGACCCAGGACTATAGATTGCCGTTAGTTTGCCATTTCCTCAAGCGCAATCCCCCCGTGTATAGAGTAGAGCAGTGCAGGCCAACGAGTATTTCGCAATGGCGCAAAAGGCCATCGGCGAGAACATCGGAATTGCATGTCATCCACTCCAAAGTGCCGGTGCGACACGGCTGAGTGAAGCTTTCGCAGATTGGGGTTCTTGGATCTTTATACTTACTTCTGGTATCATCGGCAATAATTGCTGCTTCAACGCCAGGCATCTTGTCTGTGGTGTTGTGTGATGTTTGGAAAGAGAAGAAGAAGAGAAGAAAAAAAGAGGAATTGGTATGATGGTGGGGTGTTGTGCGATGGCGGGGTCAAGCCAAACAAAATCGCAGAGGCGCAAAAGATGTCAATTAGGGTATCACAATTGCAAAGCAATGAGACCAACTCCAGATGATTTGGTTGAAGAATACGTACGAGTACTCCAACAAGAAGAACTGGGCTTGACGATATAAATGCCGACGGCAGACAGGTCGCAATGAGTCAGATCACCCCTTGTATCTCGGAGAGCACCAGATGCCGGCAAAATTTCTTGGACCGGCCGTGCTTCGGAGGTGTGGATGCGCCGTGCAGGACTGCCAGAGCTGTCTCCAGAAAAAAACTGAAAAGAGGCCACAGTTACGTCGGTCTAGCTCCAAGAGTGGTCAATTGAAGGCTCGCAATTGGCCACAGCGTCAGTCAAGCAGTTTGCGAGTAAGGTTTTCAGTTTGGCAGCTCCACAAGCCAAAAAGAAATCGGCCAAGCCACAGCGACCTCATCATGTGCATCATCGGAGCATGTATGTACATACAGTAAGGTTGATGTTATTTTACTTTCGTTGTTTGCGCTACTACAGCTCCTCGCTTGCTCCTCTCACGGGTTTCTCCAGTGCCAAGCTGACACCTTCCGCTCTGGGACGAGATCTTGCTGCCATTATCGATGCCATCTCCGTGTCAATGGTGAAGCGCGCTTATTCTTTGGTGGAATACGGCCTTGTGTGCAGCGCCCAGCGCATGAATTGCGCCGGTGTGGTCGAGGAACAAGGCATTACTGGGTGGCTAGCGCCGAGGCTGCCTTGGTATCTCGTACGAGTACTCGTAGATAGTAATGGTAATCCCGAATACAGTAATAGATTGGTTGCTTCTTTGCTGTCCTGTATGCGGAATATTCCTCGGCAGTGGGATCCGAGGATTTCAACCTGTTTGAAGTGTTACGAGTACATTGGTATTGAAAGCAGCCAACATTTTGAATTCGGTATTTGCGGGATATTCGCAGATGGTCTCTTCCCCTTCTTTTGGCATACCATCTGAAGCATTCCGTGGCACTGTTGTTTCCTCATAATTACACGTGGAGTACTCGCATATTCTCAGGAGCTGCAGCTAAGCCCCGAATAGGCAAAACATCTCTTACCCTGTACAAAACAGCTGTTAAGCGACGCATGCCAGCAGCGCTTTTGCGGATCAATTAAGCAGCAAGGTATATCATTTTAAGCCGATTATCAGATAGCTCGTCTGGCCTTGGGAATCGCTGTTTTCCCTCATCTCTTCGCAGTCTAGAAGCTGGTCCTGGGTATGCCGTCGTTTCGGGGATGAGACACCGTTTACTCACAGTAGTACAGTCACTATCCTCAGCCAGTTGAAGCTCTAATCACCAGCCTTGTTCATTTGAATTGTATCTTTATCAAGCTAGTATTCAAATATATTCACGCAATCCTCCATTGGAAACATCATGCACTCTTAATTCGACATCAAACGCGAAACACTGCGGTAACTTCATTTGCAGCTCCCCATATATGTCTCTTTCGGAGGTTGTAGATCATTCAAATCCTCTGTGGCGCAATTGGCTAGCGCGTCTGACTGTTAATCAGGAGGTTGGAAGTTCGAGCCTTCCCGGAGGAGATCCCTTAGGATCTAAAGATTCTTTTTTTGCAGATTATCTATTTCCCTGCGCACTTTTTTTGTGTTGATGCATGAGAGTTGGTGGAATATTTGGAGGAGAGTTACGTTACCTCATGCTATCTTATCACGCGGTATCTGTCCGCGATAAGCCACCTCGCCTTGACATGGGACGAAATGGAATGGGCATTTGGAGTCGTCCAAAGAATGGTCGCTCATGCAGCTACACCGCTTCATCGCAGCACATGGGTAGCATAGCAACACCCCATGTTTGGCAGTGTTGGTGCTCTCTGTTCTCGGCTCGCTTCTGAAGACCCCTTTGCGAGGCAGAATCGCAGTAGCATGTACCAAGACAGGATGGCTTTCATTGACGTAAACATGGGATGTGAAAAACCCAATGGCGCTTCACCACTCCCTAGAGGAGAAAGGGATTAAAATTCCATACACCTTTGACGATCGCTCATAGCATGTAGTAAAGCGAAGCATGCGCCTACTGTAGTAGAGGTTTCCCTCTCTCCATCCGAGCTGTGACACTCCATCTGCGGTGCCACTAACAACAGAGACTTGAAGCATAAGTAACACCGCCTCCAGGCTCGTGCTTTCAGCCCTTTGGTGGAGTGCTGACTGAGCGGCTGCGCGCTTCGGAATGGGGTGCAGCAGTGGGGTTAGGCAGTCAATTACAGCGTCTTCCGGCAGTACTTGGGCCCAGCACCGATGCCTGCCGATGGGATTTGTACCGAGCAAAAGGGACTTTGACTTCACCTCTTCTCTGCTCTCCGGATACAAAGAAGCCTGCTGCCTTGCCTTGTCTTGCGATAGGTGCTTGAGCCTTTGTTTCTTCTTCTTCTTCTTTTTCTTCTTCAAAGCAAAATTCGCTGTCTCGCACGCTCTATTGTTGTTCTCCTGTGCAGAAAGGGTCCGGAGTGGTCGCCTCGCCCAGCCCCTTGCACACACCGAATGATACGAGTCTCTCCCCAGCCATCTCGCGGATCGCTGTTTGCTCTCCTCATATATGAGTAGCAGACCGACACGGCAGGTCGCGCTAATCTGATCTTTCCTCTTCTCCGGCGTCTCTTCCCCTCTGCATTTTGCCTAAGATTGACGATCCGCGAGCCTAGAGTTGTGCTCGATAGACGGCCGCAGCTTACTTTGACTTTTCCCTTGCGTTCCCCTCACCAACTCCAGATCTTTGGCAGGGCTAATTGGGCACTGTCTTGCCTCAGCTAGAGCCTTCAAAAGCAGCTCGCCGCAGCCACCACTTTTGAACCAGGCACTCACTGTTATACGATTAAAAGGTGCTCTTTACTTCGTAAAGAACTAGGGGACCTTCGTGCATCTTGTGGCAGGCAAGGCGGCGGCCATCCACCTATCAAACCCGTCAACTTTGTATCTTACCCTGCCCAATTGCGCGACCATTTACGCCGCATTCCCATCGTCGTTTTCTTTGCATATTATACCAGCACTATACCCCAGATTAAGCAAACTGCAATGTCCCATACACAGCACTACATGGACGTGGTATCGGAATCCGGTCGAAAGCGTGGTCGCGATGGCGACGGGGAGATGGATGCCGTTTCGATGGGTCTGGATGAGCATCGTAGTGTGAGTCCAGGGAAAGACGCTCTTCACCGCGAGACAACTATACTAACCGTTGGTGTAGAAACGAATCCAATGCCTTCCTCTCCGAACATCGCCAAAGTCGTCCCAGCAGTGGCAGTCTGCATCGCTTTTTACTCCCCTCAGCTCCGACTCTGACGACCACATTTCACAGCCCAACTTTGCCTCCTGGTCACACCAGTCTGCAGTAAGCTCTCAACATTATAGTGGTGCTGAGCCAAACATGGTGATGAGCTCTGGCCGAATGCCCACGCCAATGCAGCCAAATTTTGCGGCGCAAGTGCGAGGCCAGCAGAACGAGTGGGCTGGTCCAGGTCCGGTTGTGACGACACTCAATGGAGTTATCAACCTGGGTCACCATCCCTCAGGCTTCTCAGATGACCAGTCTGTACCTCGTATCATGTCGGGCCTGGAAGATTGGCAAGCCGTGCAAAATCACCGAAGGCTACCCTCGCCGATTTCGGAAGTAGAAGACTGCGTACAATATCAAGATATCGGTGATGCTAGTATGATGATTGATGACAACGTGGGCGTAGCCATGGACGCTGCCGCAGCGCTGCCACCATCGCCGACCCGTGTGATGGACCACCCCAATAACATGATGGATGTCGAGTCGCCGCCACATTCGCGTGCGGTCGACTTGGACGGCGACGTCCCCTCGCCTAGCCCTGGCCGGAGAGGTCATATGCGGAGCAAGCATACCATTGACAGTTGGACATGGCAGCCCGGAATGAAGAAAAGTTTCAGTATCGGGTACCGAGCGGATTGTGAAAAGTGCAGACTCAAGGTTCCCGGGCACTTTAATCACATCGTCATCTCATAGCAGGGGAAGACAAAACTGGCCGACCCCAAATCCGACCCGGATTTGTGGGATACTGCCGTTAGGCCCCTCGATTGGCAAGAGAAGCGACGACAGTTGGCCAAGCTTTCTGACCACAGACGATACACGAGGTATCCAAAGCCAAGATGTGCAGAGACGGCTGCCTTGCCAAATCGGAGGCTGGAGTTGCCGGCTTCAAGCAAGAGACCGAGGACCCTTCCCCTGCGTGGCAAGAGGGGAGATTTTTTCTGGAAATACCAACAACTGATGGTTGATTGCGACATCCAGAGCCACATCATTTGATTTTTGCACTCACTACATTTCATCGGAGTTTGACGGAGGGACTGGGTTCACGACGCATTCGTTATTGATATCACGCATAAACACTTGCATTGTTTTTTATAAAGAAGAAAAGAGACTCCTTGTTCGGGTCAGCAGCAACTTGCATAGCCTCGGAGAAGCGTTCGTTGTATAAGCGATTTGCTTCGTACATGCAGTCTACACCTACATATTACTTTTTGGGGGGGATGAACATGGTATAAACAGCAGGCAAACTACTACACACTGAGAAGCGACTCATCATTATTCAAGACATTGACCGACTAATAATTAAAAGTACATTATTATAATACTGGTGCCATCTTCAAATTTTCGGTGTTCAACCTTGGGGCTGCATTTCCATTTCCATTTCCATTTTAAATCCCCATACATCTCTTCGTTAGTCCTGCATGCCCAACAAATTCAGATGCATAAGACATAGTAGTTGGGAGGTGTGTCCCCTTATAGTACATACAACAAATGACTCCCGACTCCATCTAATGCAAGCCCATCCACACGTCGTATGATACACGGCTGCCGCCCCCCAATATCCAAATAACACGATATATAGTTTTTTTTCTCTCTTCTTCTCTCTCCCCTCCTTTTCACTGCTGTCCATTAGCTCACCACCATCCCTTCTTCTTGGGCTCTGGCGCGGCGGAGCTTCCAGTCTCCAGGGCGAGCTGATCTAAGCTGCCTCCATTCTGCTGATTTTGTTTTTCCTTTTCCCACGCATCCTTTGCAGCGTCTCCTACCGACTGAGCAGCGGCGCTTGTGCTGTTCTCCGTGCCGGCGTTGCTGCCTCCCCAAAGGAAGCCCAAGAGGCCCTTGCCCTTGCTCTCAGTGGCCTTGCCAGCGTCAAAAGCCGTCTTGACGTGCTCCTCAAAGTGTGTGCGGTGCTCGGGCGGGGATAGCAGGGGGGGCAGGCGGATGCCCTTTTCCTCGGCCTCTCGGTTGGCCTCCTCGACGAGGGCGATTTGCTCCTCGGTGGCGTCGCCCTTGAGGTACGCCAGACGGGCGGTGGAGAGCTCGTCGGCCTCGAATTTGCGTTGGGCTTCTATCCATTCGGCGCGGCGGGCGCGGTTGTAGCGCAGCATGTCCCAGACTGAGTATACGCTTACAACACCAGCGACGACTAGAGCTCGCTCATTAGTTTATGTTTCCATGGCATCCTGATTCCCTCTTCTCTTCCACTTCTACCAGTTCCTCTTCTCCCTCTTCCGTCTCTCTCTCTTATAGACGTACCTGTAAACATGACAAGCCCCCCCACCGTCCACCTGTGCGCCACATCGAAGAACCGCCTTGACGCATCAATGACTCTGTCCGCCTTGCTGACCTGTGCCTTTTGCGCCGCCAGATGCGCCTGCCTCAACCGCCTTACTCGTTGCTCGGGCGTCTCGCCGGGGATCCTGGAAGCCTTCGGGGCCGCAGAGGTGGCAGACTTTGACGTAGCGTGGGGTATGGTGGAAGTGAACCTGGTAGCGTCCTTGACGCTCCGGGGTCCTATTCTGGACGCCATTTTTCCAAAGAGAAAAAAAGACAATTGTCGAGTTTCTCGGGTGGGCTGAGTTTGAGAAAGCGCCGCCTGGAGAAGAACCGGCGAAGGGAGCAATGGGCCAAGGTGATTGGAAGGAGAGATTTTGCTGTGCCCGGAGATGGATCGTTTTCGTGAGATTTTTTGTTAGAGGTGCAGCCGCAGAAAGGCGAGAGGGTGGAATTCGGCGTGTGTGATTGGTGCGGGATTATTCCGGGGGACGAGAAATGGGCTGTTTTCTTGGAGAAGAAATTGATGGGAACAATCGGAACTAACGATAGCTGCTCTGGTCCGGAATATTTCAGTCTACAGGTATGTAGGCATTTGAGCTGCTCGCATAGGCGCATCCATCGGGACGCATTTGTTTTTACATATGGCCAGGCATCGTGTTGGCAGATTATCAACTGACCTATAACCCTTCACATACGAGCTCTCTTCAAGCTAGAAAGAGATGGGAGCTTCATCGGCAAAGGGATGGACGCATACAGAGGCTCAACAGCTTCTACCTTTTACGGACAAAATAACAAGGTAAATAGGCTATCCATTAGGCGCCAATCATGTCGGCTCCCTCTACACATAATGTCTCGTACTGTGAAAATTCACGTATCATAAGCTCAACTGGTGGTAATAAAATGTCTACAAAATCGGCCATCTTCTTCATGATACTGCGTATAGCAGCCGTCACAATGAAAACGGAGTTGGATATATCAAAAATTGCGCCTCCCATGGCCCCGAAGGACAATGGAGCAAGGAATGACTCCGCGCTGTGCAATGCAGGCCTTCCCAACTGAATACCCCGTTTCTTGATCTGGGGTATTCGAAACAAGGTAAGTATGAAGAAGAAAAGAAGAAAAACGAGCAAAAGGGTGGCGGCACGGAAGTTGTTTTATAGCTCCAAGTTGATGCCTGGCGCCAAAATTTGATATTCAGGCATCAAAGCACTAACAATTCCTAAGCGGAGCACGTGATCAGGATTCTGATTTTTGGTGCGCGGCAGGGCATGTCCCCACGAGGTACGTATCGATTGTAGGGCACGAAAACCCTTCGACGAATTTGACGAGTCTCATCCTCCGAAATTTCAACGACTTCCGAACAACGACCACCGGAGCCCACGTTGATCGCAAGCAGACACAATGGTATGGATAGATATCCCTAATCGAACACGTCGAATTGCTAGAACTCACCAGAGTGCTGACCTTTTTTCCCCGTCCAGGCGATCAAGCACAACCAGACGATCATCAGCAACCGTGAGCACTCCCCAATTAAAACCTCGAGGCGACGATACGAAACATCGTGAATGGCGACTGACCCCTCCCACAGACTTCCGCAAGGATTGGCAGCGACGGGTTCGCACCCACTTTGACCAGGTATGCGATCAACGACTCGGGAAAAAAAAACGAGATTTCGAGAGGAGGATATTGACTTGTTCGAAATAGCCCGGCCGTAAGACACGGAGACGCACTGCTCGTCAGGCCAAGGCCGCTGCTCTCGCTCCTCGTCCCGTCGACAAGCTGCGACCTGTCGTCCGATGCCCTACCGTTAAGTACAACCGACGGGTTCGTGCCGGTCGAGGTTTCACCCTCACCGAGCTCAAGGTACGATTGGATTGAAGAGTTCCATCCTCGCGATCCTTTGGCCTCAGCAATGCGAAAACAAAGCAATCACAATTGCAGGGGCCTCTGGACACGAGGAAGGACACAACCTAGCTGGTTGAGTTGATTCTAACAATTTCTCTACAGGAGGCCGGTATCTCCAAGTCCCTGGCTCCCACCATCGGTATCTCCGTCGATTTCCGCCGACAGAACCTGAGCGAGGAGGGCCTTGCCGCCAACGTTGCCCGCCTCAAGGCCTACAAGGATCGCCTGATCCTCCTGCCCCGCAAGTCCAACGCCCCCAAGAAGGGTGACACCAAGACCGACGTCGCTGCTCTCAACAAGGTCGCCTCCATCGCCGCCGCCCTGCCCATCGTTAGCGTCCCCGCTGGCGTTTCTGAGATTAAGAAGAGCGAGATCCCCGCCGCTGTTGAGGGTGGTGCCTACACTAAGCTTCGCATTGCCCGAAGCAACGCCAGATACCAGGGTGCCCGTGAGAAGCGTGCTCGGGACGCGGCTGAGGCCGAGACTGCCAAGAAATAAACTTTGTCAAAAAGGGAACTGGTGTTTTAAGGGTTTTTTGCTCTTTGCGTCTCTACGGGAGTGTTGCAAGGTCGGTTTCGAGGCTTTGATGAAAGTGCTAGGCCAGGTTACGGGAGGAAATATAAGCTCTTAGGTCCAGGTCAAAGAATTATTTGCATGATCAACCGGCCCTGCCCTGTATACACTAAAAAAAAGGGTCAAATGGCAGCATTTTAAACGAGCGCTGAGGCACACGTAGTTTCATGTCGTGAAAAGTTGCAATATTTTTTTTCTCGTTCAATTGGGTCTTTTGTCGCTACGTACACTATGAGTGATGTGAGGAGATATATATGAAGAGACTTAAAAAGATCAACAAGTATATGATGCGCACATGTCGCTGTGGGCAACCCCCTCTCCCCTCTTGTATATATCCAGACGAGTTAAAGAAGATCAAAACTCCACAGCGTCTCTCTGTAAGCCACAACTCCATTGACTTCCCCAATGCCTCAGTATTACGACGCCATCGCCTTCTGCGCTGCCACAATCTCCGTGCCCTCCTTGACCAGATCTTGCAAGATGCTCAGCCTCAGACCGGGTATCTGATCGCCCCACGTCCGGAGAAGTTCCGTGCACATCACCAGAGCATTCTCCCGATCTACCCGAATCATGCTCTCCTTCTGCCTGGGATCAGCCTGTTGAGGCTCGAGTCCGAGGCCCTCTGCCATGGACGTGATTTGGCCATCGGGGGCTGCCAGCGAGTACGACGCCTCCTCAATCTGATCGCTGCTTCCCGCATCGCTTAGGGGCGTCTCTCTTCCTGTGATGGCTTTGATGAGATCCGTCATTGTGCCGTGGATTTGGAGCAGCTCCAAGATGACGCGACTCCCTTCCTTGGAACGACACATGAGAGCGAAGACGAACCACGCTTCTGAGCGAAGACTTGGCCATTTCTGCTGGCTAATCAAAAACGAAAGGGCCCTGGCAACGTTGTGTTTGCTGTAAAAATATTCACGCCGTTGGTTTTCTTCAGGCTCAGACGACGTTATGCCACCTTCGACAACTGGAGGCTCCCAGTCTGCCAGCAAAGGCACAACAGGGCCAGAGTGAAGCATCCTGCACATGGCAGCTACAGCCCGAGCGGCCTCGAGCCTCGTGGGCTCAGCATCGGAGCGCTCGTAAAGAGTGATGATGCCATTCACGCTGGAGCGTTCACGAGCTGGGCTGGCTGGGTCTGCGCTGAGGGGAGCACAGATACGAGCAACATTGGCTGGGCAGTTGAGGAGAAGCAGCCGAGTAAGAGACACGGCGGCAAACTGCACCTGGGGCGAGGTATCCAAGCTGTACAACCGCGGCACGCATGCAACGTCCAACAAATCGCCGAGAAGTGGCTTGTTCTGGAGCGGAATGGCCAAGTTTTTCAAGAAAGACAAGGCTGAATGGAGAAGCTGCGCGTCGGTAATATCTTGATTCGAGAGGAGCCTTATCAGGGGGGCATGCGCAAAGTACACTTGAACAAGAGAGGTGGTGACTTCATCAGAGCGAGAGAGATTGCCTAGGGCGAGGCAAGCTGCCGTCTGGAGCTGGAGGTTCGAGCTCTGAAGCCAAGCAAGGAAGTTTTGGGCAACCTGGCTGTGCAATGGATAGCATGCGGCAAACAGGTCGTTGCCGGTGATGTCTGCCAAGCTGACGAGAAGAGAGGAGTAGAGCTTCTTCAGCGATGCTTCCGTATCAGCGTCATCGATCTCGAGCAGATTAAAATGCGTGTGTGCGTGGTAAAAGGTAGAAAGGAAGAGCTGCATCAAAGGCCCCTGGATCAGGGCCACCTGGAACTTGTCATCGGCAAGGTATGCGCCTGCCACTGAAACAAGAGATATGAAATCGTCAATGTCGTCTCGAGACGGCAAACTCGTGGCCAGTGTGAGCAGAATTTCCACGGTCCTAGGACTTGCACGAGCCGCTTCACCCTCTTGACTAACAAGAAGGGCGAGGATCTTGCAGAAATAGGGGACGAAGACGATATAGTTGGCAAGGCTTGGAGCGGACAAGAGATCGATGAGTCGCTGGTTGAGATTGGCCTGTGAAGCAGCCAGCTGTGCGGGTTCTTTACAACGGCAAGTTAGTGTCTTGACGGTTATTTATGAGACTTGGAGTCATCATTGTCCTCACCATAGTCAACCAGGATGTTGAACAGAACCGGGATCGAGAAGGGTATCAGGCTCTCATCCTGCAGGTGGTTGATGACAGTAACGAGATGATTTCCTTGAATCACCCTCGCACGGTTCTCGTCTGTATCTGCACATGAGTTTCCAACCAGCCGCAGGATATGAATTTTCAAGCCCTGCTTCAAGCCGTTGCCAGCAAGGACACGGAGGAAGAACTCCAAGATGCCAGAATCACCAAACGGACCACGCCACGCAACTATTCAGTTATCGATATCAAGTCAGTCTACCAGCACAGCTCGTCTTGTGCTTGGAGGTATCCAAAAGAAGGTCTCCTAGGACCAATTTTGCAATATTTTGATCTATTGGCTGACTGGTAGTGACTCACCATCTCTGCTGCCATCGCCCAGCTTCTCAACCATAAGCTCCAGGTCCTCCGACCCAGAGGTCCACACCTCACGACAGGCTGCTAGGATTGGTATCAACAGCTCGGTTCTCCTCTGACGAGCGTCCACAGATTCTGCGGACTCATCGTACTTATCAGGAGAGACTTTGCTGCCCTCTCGTTGGAGCATCTCTTCAATCTCCTTTGGCGCCATGACTGCAGCTGATTTTTTCCTTTTTTCACAAAAACACAATATTGCAACGTCTCAAGTTTTTCAAAGATCTGCTAAGGGACTCGCAATGAACAGATAGGGAGAGGACTGGGAAATTAGGTAATAAATGCTTTTCGAGATGGAAGCCTCTTCACGGCAACCCATGCGAGGTGATGACGACTGTGTGCTGTTAGGCCTAATTCAAGGTTCCTCAGCCTCAGCACCAAATGCATGAAACGGACGGAAAACCCTAGCCAAGCCAAGCCAACAACCGCGTATACGGCAGGCTCAGATTGGATTATGCAATTGCCGGAGCGTATTTTAGCTTCTTCCTCTCCGTACGGGACAGACGACGGCAAATAGTCTCCTGCCAATGGGCTCGATTTGCAAGGGCCCAGACATAGTCCAGGCAATTTAGTGAGATAGGCAATTGCGTGGCTCGTTTCAGGGGGATCCTCTCGCTGTGGCTGGAATTTGCCAGGATTACGAGGCGGGGGGGTTGCAGACGCCGGCAGGCTGACCGCGGTGAGCGTCGGCTCGGTGAGCGGCAGATTGTCGGGTAAAGAAAGGCTGGCGCCCCAAGTTTATCCCGGATAAGTCGCAAACTCGGAATTGGGAAAATTCAAGAGACAACGACTCTTGCATTCTCGGCCGCGGGACGGTGCTCATACTTGCTTGTCTTTTGGACAGCCGCATTCTACAGGATTTCCAAGTCTCTGTGAGAGAGCATCATTGATCTGCTTTACTTGGCTGTACTGGCTTCTTCGTCACCATGGTATGCCCGCACCAATTTTTTTTCTTACTTACCGAGGCCCGGAAACCCTTGATATTGCGACAACATCATGTCGGATGGCTGTGACAAATAACTAACCCTGAATAATTTTGCAACAGGCGCACAAATTTGTCATCACAGCCTTCCTCACAGGCTCTCGCATCCTGGGACGGTCCTTCATGGCCGCCTACCGACAAGCCCAGGCGTCGTCGCAATACCAGCGTGCGCAAGCCAAGAACGGCGTCAGCGCTTCAGGCCGAGCCTCTCTAACGGCCGGCATGACCCTTGAGGAGGCCTGCCGGATCCTGAACGTCAAGCCCCCCGCCAATGGCCAGGCCAACGTCGAGGAGGTGCTCGAGCGGTACAAGAGACTATTTGACGCAAACAACCCGGAAAAGGGTGGCAGCTTCTATCTCCAGAGCAAGATTGTAAGAGCAAAGGAGCGATTCGAAGCTGAGATTGGACCCATAAGAGAAAAAGCCGAGATGGAGGCTGAGGCAAAGGAGGGGTGGAAGCCCAAAGTCTACAAGGATGAATGAGCAGGGTTGAAGCGGACGACTTATACGACTACGGTATAATACGGTGTTTTGGAGGAGCAACGCTTACGTGGCAGCTCAATGTCCTAACTTGGAACAGTAGAGCGAGCCGCGAATCGCTCCCTCCAAGGAGGGGCGGGACGAGAACGAAATGTCCTCCCGTTGTATATGATTTCCTTTCTTTTTTTCTATTATTACCACATCTTCACTCGACAGTGGCATGGCACGGCGTTTATGGAGGAGGGAGACATCTAGAGGCTTCGATGCCACCGGAGACTGGGTCTAGACGAAATCAAAAAAAGCAAGGGCGATTTTGGAACTGACTTCAATACGCGCTGTCAGCATGCTTGTACGATACGAAACAATGTAACATACCACCTGTGTAAAATTGAAATGATTAGATGAAGCTCTGTCTGTTTATTGTGTTGACGTGTACTATATCTGATAGGTCATGTTTTTCTACGGACCAATCCCTTCCAATAGTCAAAGCTATTCTCATCACTCTGAAGACTCCATATCTTGCCGTTCCCTCTTCCTTCAGAATCAGTCTCCTCAACACGCAACATGCCCCAGTCGCGAGTGATGCCCACGACTCTCGCCTTGACGCCGCCTTCGGCCTCCAGCGTGATTGCCTGGCCCGTGTGCAGCCAGTGGCGATAGTACCGCGTCTCGAGGTCTTGAGAGAAGCCCTCGCGGCGGAACTGCTCATATATGGCCTCTAGACGAGTGAGGATGCGGGCAAGAAGGGTCTCTATGTGGAAAGGCGCAACGTTTGGCGGGAGCAGGTCGGAGAGGGAGGTTGTTGGGCGAGGGTTGGTTGCATTGATGCCGATGCCTAGAACGACTTGGTATGCGCCGTTGAAGTAACTGCATTGGGAGAGAATTCCACCGATTTTGACGTAGGATTGGGATGATGCCGGCTTTGTAGGATCAAGAGCATCTATTACTACGTTAGTATAAAAGGCATGTATAAGGATGTAGGCATCGAAAAAGAGAGATAGTAGAATCATTTGACATCTCATGTACTGCAACTTACATATATCATTGGGCCACTTCAATTTGACTGGCATCTTATCATAGCCTGCATCGTACGAGCGAATAGCCTCGACAATAGCAACAGCTGCAATATACTGGATGAAAACTATGGGCCGTGAAGCAGCAAGGTGGGCTGGGTGGTTGATGACGGTGGAAAAGAGGAGAGATCCAGGGGGTGCGACCCAAACGTTGTTTCCGCGTCCTCGACCTGCCACTTGGGTCGTAGCAGTGAAGGTGAAGCCTGTTGGCAATTTGCAGTTGAGCTTTGGGTTCCTGTAAGTCTGTGAGTCAGTCACTGTATTGAACGGTCATTTGAGGTGCAAAGTAAGACAAGATATACTTTTCAAGCAGAGTGTTGGTGCTGGTCACGACATCTCCGTAGAGCAGAACATCACCCCATTGTTCAGCGTCAGATTCAATCTTCCTATACTGCCTCAGGCTTGAATAGAACCGTTCGTGGCTGAAGCGTGGTGTCAGATCATCGCTGGGTAGTTTCATCTCATGAGCAATAATTTTCTTAGTAGCCGAGCTTGGGTCGTCAATCGTCTCGGTCAGTGGCAAAGAACTTTGAAGCTCATCCAAATTCAGTTCATCTTCTTGATTTATGATCTGGAAAGTATCCGCCTCTCCTCGGATGAATTCATTGCCATTCTCCTTTTCAATGACGTCTCCCCAGTCACACAGCAGCTCTGTTACCTTGCCGCCCTCGACAGCAGTAAGATGGAGGCTGGACAGCGAAGGAGGAGTATAATCATCTTGAACAACTTCAAGGCCCAATTCTGATAGGAGAGCTTTCAAAAAGCTGGTTCTAGACTTGTCGTCTGCGGCAAGTTTCTCGACCAGCTCGCTATATCCTGGAATGTCTGGGTGCGGATTGAGGTTGGCTGGGGCGAATCTTAAAGTATGTCAGCCGAAGGCCTCTATTCACAAAATCCCGATGAACGGTACGAACGACTTACTCCGGGTGAGGCCCGCTCAAAATTGCCTTGCCCTCTCCAACATGGCACAGGACGACTGCGGCCTTTTCACCACCCCCGTCCACATCCAAATCGTCCTTGTATGAAGCCAGAATCTCAATTTTGCGTCCTCCGGTTGCATCCGCATCAACAAAGACACCACCTCCGTTATAATAAACGGCGAATTCGTCAGGTATCTTGTCTCGCAGGGATTGTTTCTCGGCTTTGATAGTGGCAGCCCGAGCCCCCTTCTCACTTTGGTATTCGAATCCCTTAAAGGCCCCACCGCGACACGTTCCGGGGAAGAAACCAAGTTCTCTGCTGCCAACCACTTCCAAGGCCTTGTTGCCAACTTCAAATTCGCATCTGCTGCTGCCATAATACCCGCCGGCACAGAGGCCGAGATAAGCCCCTCCTCGCCGGACAAACTCGCTGATGCGGCGATTTCCTTGGCCATTGAACACCCGACAGTAGCCAAGATCAGCACCTCCCGGGAACACAAGAAGAGCGCAGGTCTGAGCCCACGGCTCCTTCAGGAGGGCCGTCTCATTGATGGGGATGATGGCGTAGTTGGGCGACAGAAGCCGGCGGAGTGAGTACATGCAATGCCGCACAGATTCTGCCGTGGTCCCGGTGCCTTTTGTTATAGTGAGCAAAATAATACTTGATATATAGCGTAGCAATCAACTGGAGGGAGAATATTGACCTGTGTGGACCAGAATATTGAGTCGACTGGGCGCCATGATGGCTGTTTCTCCGGCCGGGAGTGTCCAAGTCACGCCACCTAATAATCAATATTTGCTCTTTTCTTCTCTCTTACATCAACCGGCGCTGCCGCAACACCAAGACCATTGACGACGCTTGACAAGTCGCAAAATCTTTCGATATGCCCGGACAGGTGCAAGAAAAGCCGCCAGCAACGGGGGCTTCGGCCGCGGCAATTGAGGACGACGATGAACCGGACGAGTGGTGAGTAACGGGTTAAGGTTGTCTGTTTGAGAGGACCCGACGCTAAGCCGTGCCTTTGCGAACTCTAGGGACAAGCGGATATTCAGCACAGGCTGCGCGGGTGAGTTGCCGAATTGAAATCAAGTGATGAATGCTATACTTTTCTGGGGGTTTGAGAGACAAAAAAGAGAAGAAATCACTTAAACAAAACCGGGCATTTCTACAAAACATAGCATTTACAGAACATATCTCTCATATAGGGTAACTGGGCCGCTGACTCAGGAACAGATGAAAACGCCAAAATGACAGACTGCTACTACGAAAAGAAGGATTGGAGAGCTTGTGCAAAAGAGGCAAGAAATCATCTCAAACCTTTATTTACAATTATATCGAGTTTGAAGCAGTACTAATTGCGGTTTTACTTGCAGATGGAGGATTTCAAAGAATGCTGGAAGCAGCATGGTAATAATGAGCGGACCAGCACCAAGGACACATAAATGGTTGTGGTGTTACCAAATGTAATTTTTAACCTGAAGAAAAATGTAACAACAGTAAATAGAACTATCCTGACTCATCAAAAATATTTTTTTCATGCATTTTCCAACAAAGAAATAACGATTTGTATGTAATATTCACCAGAGCGTCAGAGGAGCAGTGAACAAAGAGCAAACAGCGGTAGCCGGAACTTCTTTTGACCGGGCCATATCGCCGATAACACATGAAATCTTAAGATGCCGTGAATTCACAAACATTGCCTTGAAACTGCAACCACACAAGATCCCAAGCTGCCAATCCCTATCCGTCATGTTCCCCTCACGCAGAGCCTTTTCCGCTGCCTCAAGGCAACTCGCCTGCCGCTCCTTCAGACCGATCCAGTCATCAGCACGCCTCTATTCCACAGAGACAACAACTACGTCAACGACGGCAGAGCCCGCAGCACCTCCCGCCAAACCCACCTCTCCCCCAGCAGCAAACACGCCGAGATACGCAAAGCCCGTGCCCAAAGCGACCAAGCCGGCAGTAGCAGCTTCTACCCCGTCCCCCGCAGCATCTTACAGCGATGTCGTCTACCAGGCCAAGAGCATTGCGTACGAGGACGCAAGGGAGGATGGCGAAGTGACGGACCCGGCCGCCGTGGACTGGACGAGGAGTTTCTACGGCATCTCGGCCCAGCCGGTGACGGAGAAGCAGTTCAAATCCTTGATGCAGCCTGTGGACGAGAAGGATATCGAGGTCAAGCCCGACGGCGTCATCTATCTGCCAGAGATCAAGTACAGGAGAAGGTTGAACGAGGCCTTTGGTCCCATGGGATGGGGCCTGATCCCCAAGGGAGAGGCTGTCGTTGGCGATTCGATTGTGACCCGCGAGTATGCGCTCATCGTCGATGGCCGGTAAGACCCTACCAATCACTGCGTCGTCGTTCGAAGCCGCCTGCTAACACCCACTGTTTCAACAGCTTTGTCTCACAAGCCCAGGGCGAAAACTCGTACTTCTCCCCCGAACAGTTGCCCTCTGCCGTCGAAGGCTGCAAGTCAAACGCCTTGATGCGCTGCTGCAAAGACCTAGGCATCGCCTCCGAGCTGTGGGACCCTCACTTTGTCCGATGGTTCAAGAAGAACCACATGGAGGAAGTGTGGGTAGAGCACGTCACAACCAAGAAGAAGCGACTGCAATGGTACAGGAAGGGTGACGTGGATGTGTCGTATCCTTACAAGGTTAGCAAATAAAGACCTGGTGGGATAAGCTTTTACGTCGCCGGGGAGGCAATTTACGAGGGCTTTGCGAGGAGTAGAAAGAGAGCCACCCCCAACAACAAATTACATTGATGACACCACGGGCGAGGAGGGGACTTGTATGATACATGTATTGAGAGAAACAGTTTTTTTGTTGATGCCGTGCGGCAGGGTTTTGGTTAGACTTATGGGTTGGATGTACACAAAAAAGGCATCTGCGGGGGCCGTCTTTTACTCCCCTCGACATATCATGACACAATATCCCAAGGAGTGCCATGTCTCCGTACAAATCCATGCATAACATCCGCGCGACATGATGGTAACAGGTTGTCTACGCGTTCAGTCTATATTCGCGGGCCAGCCATTCCCCTCGATATTCTTGTTCTTCCTAGTCCTCTAACCCAGAGCTGTGGCCCGTACCCGGCTGTGCATTGCGGCTCCATGAAGGCATCCACGAACCACCGTCGCCGCCTCCGGCATGACGGCGCCGGAGGTTGGATTCATCTTCGGCTCCGCTCTCGGCATCGATCTTCTCAAAGTCGGTCTCGCTGCGGCTCTTGCTCAGTCCACTCCATCCGCTTAGTCCGCTAGGCGGCCTCTGTGTGACCTCTTCGTCGCTCTCCATGTGCCTGGAGCGAGATCGGGACTGCGGATGTCCGCCGTTTCGCTGAAGCTGCGCCGCTTCCCGGTCGAGAGCAGTGAGAAGGACGCTGAGCCGGTCCCGCTGAGAGGCAATGAAGGTCATCCTCTCGTTCGAGTCTTGTATGTGAGATGGAACAACTGATGATGCCGAATAGCTACCAGCATCGCTTCGCGCCCCCGAGCCGCCAGTCGCCGCAGCTACGGCGCTGGCCAGCAGACCAAAGAGATCTGAGCCCACATTCGAGGGGGCGGCAGGCCCAGATGCTGCCGGAATGCTGAATCGAGCGAGGAGCGACTGTGTGTAGCTCTGGTAGGTGCTCTGAGGCGGAGTGGGAGGCTCGGGCTCGCTGGGCGGCAGGCCTAGGACATTGACTCTCAAGTAGTCGATTGCCTTTCGGAAGTAGTCGATGCCGGCCGCCTTGAGACGCTCATGAGCGCTCGCGATGAACTCGTCGATCTGCGCTTCGTTTTCGCGGAGGAACGGGTGTACGTGCTGCTCGTACAGGAACCGAGCGCCCTGAGTTTGTGGTAGAATCAGGTATAGGAAGAAAAGAAGGCGGATGTAGCCATAGAACGGCACCCTATAAACCAGTCGAATCAATATTAGAGCGTCACCAAGCGGCGTGAGACTGACACGGGAGCAGCTGTAAGACGTACCACGCAAGGATAAAGTACACCCACGACTCTACCAGCAGACAGCAGCTAAACACGACCCAGTACATGAGCCATGGCGTCAGCTGTGCAGGATCCGATGTCTTAAGGGCTTTGTAGGAAGCAAAGATGGGGAAGAGGAAAGATGCAATAGAGCTGTTTTGCTTGGGGCATTAGCCATTAGCGCTTCTTAGCAGTGACGGCATGGCGGGGCAGATAAACGCACGATAAGAGCATCGCAAAGAGGTCGAACATGATGGCGGGAGGACGAGGCCCGACGCGGCCCGTTTGACGTCCAAAGGGGGATTGAATGCAGGTGTATGGGAGAGGAGTCGATGAGGAGCTCTAGGGTGCCTTTATTGCTGGTCACTATCACGGCGGGTTTGTGGAAGCAGAAGGTTATACAAGGTATGAGATGAGATGAGAGGCGGCCTGAGGTTGGGAGAAAAGGGATTAGTTAGGCCCAAGGCCGCTTCAGCCCAGCAGCCCTTTTTGTTTGCGACTGAGCCGGGCTTCTAAAGTGAGGCGACGGCAAATGCTGAAGCCTCTAAGCGGACTAAGCTCAGGTGGCAGAGCAGCCTCTCAGCAGGGAGTAGCAGTACTAGCTTGTACGGAGTAATAGTGAGGATGGTAAAAGGGGAAAAAGGCAGCAGGATGGCTGTCGTGTGAGCAGTAGGGCGGGCACCTGAGATGCTGAAACCGGAAGAAGCGTGCGGTGTAAAGTGTCGCTCAACGGCAGAGACTCCCCGCAATTGCGAATCCGGCCCGGCGAGGTGCTCGTGACTGAGCCTGAAGCGGCTGTAAGCGTGTCTTCCGGACTTGGGGATGACGCAGTGTGGTGTCTACCTGAGCTGGGGGGGTGGCTTGTTAGGGGAGAGAGAGAGGAGAGGACGTAGGGGATTTGTAGAGGTAACTGCTAGGTACTAAAGCAGCGAGGATTCCGGGCTGCGAGAGTGACTTGAGGTGTTGAGGAGCAATGACGAGAGAGTTGCGTTGAAAGATGCTTACCAGATAAAGCCAAAGGACGGATGGGACATTCACATGTCATCGAATCATCGAATGCATTTATACAGGCACATGTCAGTATGCGGAGAGGCCCGATTGAATGAGAGCGATCCACGGAAAGAACACGGCGGGAAGCCAATGCACGGACGGGAATAGGAGGTTGTGCATGTATAATCTAAATTTAGCAGACCGAAACCAACAAATACCGTGTATCCTCTGTGGCGCAATTGGCTAGCGCGTCTGACTGTTAATCAGGAGGTTGGAAGTTCGAGCCTTCCCGGAGGAGACGCAACATCAAAATCATCTTTTTGCAAATATTATCATAATTTTTTTTTAATATCAATTGCATCTTATCCACATGTATTTTTACATCCTGGGGATCTAAATGATGGATGGGTAGAATTTCGACGTCTTCGCTCTTCCCTCTTTTTGTGAGATTGTATCGTCATCGGTGCCTTTTCGCTTGTCCGAATTCCCAGATGGCAAGTGCGCCGGTTGGTAGTTGCACTTTTACTGCGAAAGACGAACTTACATTTTCTGGAAACTGGAAAGAACAAACTAGCCGATTGAAAAAGTAAAAGAAATAAATTGCCTGCTATTATAACTGCCTACATACGTCCTTGATTGTTCTTTGCGCCTTTGTTAACCATCGATTTCTTCTCCATCACTCGTCATTTCACATGCACCAAATCATCACCTCTCTTGTGCCCTGGGAAATCCCTGGGTATATATAGGTACTAGGTATGTATGTGTGTGTGTGTTCAACCTCGATTCTATAGAGTATACCCACCACATCAACAGCTTCTTTTACATCAGCTGGCGAGCCTGCTCTGCAACAAGTTCTGAAAAAGATGCGATCCCTTCTGCAAAAGGGATGGTCCATAGGTCCATGCCGCATATGCACTGCCAAAGATGGCCAACCACGATGCTATACCTCTGGCAATAAGGATCCTGTGAAGGAATTTCATCGCAGCCGTGTCATTGACCCAAGGAAATGGCTCGTCTTTTGGCACCTCTTTGCCCAGGAATTCGCACAGCGGTCCCCAGCTATCCTCAGCCGTCCAGACCAAAACCTTGCTGTTCCTCTTCTTGGCTTCGTCGAGGACATGCTTCTGGTATGCATCATAAAAGCCATCCAGATCGTTAGTGTGCCACCGCTCCTCCCATTGTTTCTTTGCTATGTAGTGCATATACCAGTGCAGACGATCGTTTTTCACGGGCAGGCAGAGCAACAGATAAGTCCATGTGCGGAAAAAAGCTATGCTATTGTTCCAGCTTTGCAGCCAGGACTTATCACCTCCTTTTCGCTGGTTTAAAACCAGCAAGGCGTCTGGATACATGTCCATCAGATCGTCGATGAACCAGAATCCAGGGAAGTCCGCAGTGGCTTTGTAGCCATCGAAAATCTTGTGCAGCAAAGCCTGTCTTTTTTGCTTGTCGCGTTCTTGCATGGCTTCGAGGACGATCTCGGCGCGCGCATTGCTGGGCATTACATGGGCCATGTGCATGCAAGGGAAGAATCCCAGATGAGGAGACTCAAAAGCAGCTTGAAGCGATGAGGTTGCACATCGAGGGAGACCAGCGCCGATGACTTGCATCTGAGGCCCAAGGGCTCGTCGATCTGGGCCCTTGGTTTCAGAAAGGAACCGCATGTTGAAAGCAGTGACAGACAATTAGTTGTACCGAGTTGACAAATGCTGAAGAGTGGGAGCTTGTGGCCGACGGAATCATGACCTGGAATATCGTTATCTTATAGTCCACGGCTGAACTACATGTACACTTGTGACATCTTCACACCACCTTACTGACAAGACTAGCAAGGTAATTTACTTTCACCATTCAAGAGCCCACATCATGCTTTGCCTTTCTCACCATTGTCATTTCAGGTGACAGATCCCGCCCTGGGCCAATTTAGTTGCACTACACTTCTCTAGCATGGTTTCGGACTGGTAACTCAAGAAGTGAAGACATATCTATTTGCGGACAGGCCCTTGGTATGTTCCACTGATACCTCGGAGTTTGCCTAATTGTCACACAGGTACTGATTTCACGTTGTCGAACATGGAGAATGTAAGGCAAATTTAGCTGTGATTAATCAACGACGCCTTCTGAGCTACGACTAATCACTAATCAAACTAGTAGTTGAGCTGGGAAGTTTAGCGGAACTCGCCTACGGACCGTCGGGCTAGCAGAAGTTTAGAACATGCGAACATACGATAGCGAATCCCTCCTCACTCCTATGGCAAAGAGGATCAACTATGCTGCTAGGGCTTATGTGGATGGTTGAATGAAGCTCCCGAACCCCTTTTGTAGGCTCTTAGAGGCGGACCAACTGGAAAGATTCGATGCGCGACTTGTTTAGCTGCAGAGGTGTGTGTATACATGGATGTCATTGCATTCATTCTACGAATCTATTTGCAAAAGCTTATGTGACTATAGAAACTGAGCAAGCGATCGAAAAATAGTCACCAATGAACACAACGGAACGACTATGCACATTTTCCGCGGCACATAACCACATGTACCACACGACACGACAAAATATTTTGTTATTTACAAGTAGGCATGTAAGTGTTGGATGCTTTGGCTCCCCCCAACATGCATATGTACTACATTCTGACTGTCAGACGCCAGTTAGTTGGCACCAATAGTTACAAGTCCACATACACCCTGGGGATCTTTTCTCTAGCGTGTGACCAGCTTCAAGGCCGGTCTGGCCAAAGTTCCTTTGCGACGTCTCTCACCAACCTCAGCTTTGCAAACATCTTATCCTCAGTCATTCCATCGGCACCAACAGATACGCTGGCGAAGCCGCACTGCGGGCTAATGCCAATATTCTCCATGACTTCCTCGACGCTGCGCTGTTGACCGTCTGCAATGATCTTTGCAGCTTCCAGGACACGCCGCTTGATCTCCTGAGGGTCCTCAAGCGTGGGATCCTTGGTCGTCACGACGCCAAGGACAACGTTCTTGTTCTTGGGGAGGAAGCGCAAGGGCTCGAAACCACCGGATCTGGCGTTGTCGTACTCGAGGAAGAAGGTGTCGTAATTGAGAACCTTGAAGAACTGCTCGGCGATTTTCTCATACGATCCCTCACTGAAATGGACTGACTTTGAAAAGTTACCTGTAGAAAGCACACGGAATGAGTCAAATGAAAGGAGCAGATGGAACAGGCTTGAGGGTATGGCATCGCGACTCACCTCGGCAGATATGCAGTCCAACATGGAGTCCCTCAGGACGATCCGCGATACAGTCATTATGAGCCTTCAAATATAAGTCAAACAGCTCATCAGGATCCACACCCTCATTGCGCAGCGAGTCTCGCATCTCATCTGAGCAGAAATACGCCATCGTGGGGTCGTCAATCTGGAGGTTACGCAGTCCCTCGCCGTACAGTGTCTTGATCTCCTTTTGATACGCTACTGCCAAATCCGCAAAGAATTCCTCGTCAGATGAATAGGCAGCGGCACTATAACACTTGCCCGGAGCCAGCCTCAAGTGGAAATAGCAGGGCGGAGGCATTGTGAATTTGCATTCTCCCCACTGCTCCTGCGGCACAGAATTGCGCAGCAGCATCCAGTTTTCAAGATACGGGCTGTTATCATAACGGATCTTGCCCTCGCAGATGGCGGCCATGGGATACTGCTGCCCGGATTTCTTGAGTGCTGCGATAGGCGGCGCAGAGAGTCGTGCTAGGTCCCATGGCACGGGGCTGACTTCACGGAAGCCGGTGAGTTTCTCGAAGAATCCCGAGAAGTAGTATTTGCGGTCGAACTCGCCTGACGATAGAGCTCTTGTGCCATTGAGTTGCTGCTTTTTGACGGCCTCTTTGATGGCAGTTTGTTGGGCTAGGCGGAGCTGCTCTGCAGTGATTTCACCTTGGTCGAATTGTCTCTGGTGGTCGGATACATAGGCTGGCCGGATGAGGGAGCCGATGTGGTCGGCGTGAAAAGGGAGTCTCGTCATATTCAGATGATCAAGTCGTCTTCTCTGGTTGGTTAAAGAATATCTCAAATGAATATCAACTTCAATGTATGCTAACATACAACCTATTTATCCATGACATCAACAGTGCGAGCATTGACAATTACCTCAAGCCACGAGATCGGCTCTGGTAGCAGTGCAGCATAGTCCAACTTTACTATCTTTCCCCGCAGCTCCGCAACAATTCCCCTACATTTGTGGATGAGCGAACTGACGGCTCGTCGACTTTCATCGAATCACCGCGGCCGTCACCAGAGTCTCTGCATGAACATGTGTGATAAATGCCACAAGGTTACAGAACTTGCGGGGATTCGGCCCGCTTGAATGTGAACGACGCGTAGCGTTACACCGGCATTTGGACCCGGAATCTTCAAATGAGGGTCATTGATAGCTGAGCGTCGAATCGTGTGCAATAGTCGAAACCACAGCTTGACAGGGATCATGACTTCATCGTCCGGATAAAATGGTTGTTGTGGATGGAACGGGGCCGAGGGGCTATTTTCCGGCGGCACCAACTGACCCGAGTCAGCGAAATGCCACAACCCGTCTTGGATAATAAGAGGCAGAGTATACTTGTAGTCTCTTTGCACTGGGTTGTGGATATCTGGACTGTTGGTCCTGCCGTACCATTCATCAGCGCGTCACTGTCTTTGATTCATCCGCATTTCTTCCGTTATGTAATTAGGAGACTCATGGGATCTACAAGCAATATAGAGTTCTTTCGTAGATGATAGGGTAAGTAGACATATACCCTCTGGTAAAGAAAACAACCACTGCATTGAATATATCGTTTTTTCGGGGCAATCCAGGGGAATAATCAGTTCATATTGTAGATGATATTCCGAATTTTCCACTATATTCTAAATATATAAGTTCTGGCAATATGTCAAAGCTCTGCGCATTATATTTTAAAAAATCAACATTCGAGTAGATACAAATATTAGCTTTAAAAAAAACATTATGATATGGTTCTCTCTGCACAATGCAAAGGGGTCAACATGCATCCCTCCAGTCCAGCGGATCTCGCTATACTCCCTTGCATCAAATCAGAGACAAACCCCACGTCGACGCGTTTGTCTCATAACGCCACCGCGTTTGGTCCTCCTCCAACATCGTCTCTGTGAAACCAATGTCTTCGTGGCGATAGCTGAGCTGAGATTCCTCATTGTATTCGATCCGCCGCGGCATCGATTCTACTGTGCATGCCATATCCCATCATCGGACTCCAATGTTTCTCTACGCAAGACACCTTTGCTCGGTTGGTTTGTATTGTATTTTTCTCGCTGTAGACACAGCGGCATTCCTTGTCATTACCGATGCAACAAGAATCTCTCGTGAGCTACAGACTTCTTGGAGATCATTCGGCTTGCCCCCAGATGTTGGACAGATTGACTAGCCTTCTTTGGCTGTATGATATGCGGGTGAGAGCTTGGTTGCATGTTGGTCTGCATGTTTATGGCCTTATTCATGTATAGGAATTTGGATATCGGCGTTTCCTTGGCTGTCCCCTTCTCTAATCCGCTGATGACCAACAGCTGGCTTGGGACTAATAGCATAAAAATAGCTGACTGCCATGGTCTGTGGAATCTAAGACGGTTTCTACACTAAGAAGAAAGTGGTCCTGAGGAATTCCAAGGAAGTCTTCACACTAACCGCTTGCTTTCCTAGCAAAACCATATTGCGAGACATCAAGAAATGCTGGCACGCCCAGAGGTGGCCAAGGATGCGCTCTGCGCGATCAACGCAGATCGCACCCCGGGATGATCACCCACATGCATTCTTCAAGATAGATTGTATTGATGTTCTCTGACGCGCGTGGTGGATTAGATGCACCCCGTCTGCAGTTATAAATAATGGCACACTCTCCCCTTGGAAGCACAATCTCTTCATCGCAGCAACTACTAACTTGGCAGCAATCCACTCAAGTCTCCGATTTCCTTCGTTTAGAATCTGAGAAACTTTAGTCACTCCTTTACAAGACATTCTTTTCAATATGCATTTGTCCATGATTATGATGAGCCTGGGCGCCCAGCTCGCCCTTGGCTATTTCACGAACACCTCGGAGCCCCTTGGTGTGGCATCCAAACTCGAGGTCCATCCGTTGCTTATAGGCGACTTCCGACTCTTTGGATGTGTGGCATCTACAGAGGGGTTCCCCAAGTTCAAGAAGATTGCTTCTACAAGCCTCATGAACCTGGACTTCTGTGCAGCTAGCTGCCCAGGCAAGTTCTTTGGTACTTACAACACGTGAGTGCTTTTCATGTAAACATCATGCCCCCTTGCACAAAGTTTAACAATGTTTTATAGTGATTGCTACTGCGGTGATGACCTTGACCTCGAAACCTCTGGCAGAGTCACTGAGGATCTGTGCGACACTCCTTGTCCTGGAGATAAGCGCCAGACTTGTGGTGGTCTCATCGCTGCTGCTCGCTTGGCTCTCGAGAAACAGCGACCTCAATCTCTGGTGCTGAGCCTTTACGTCAGAATTCATGGTGAGGATCATGATGAGAATCACGACGACCACGAGTATCACCACGATGACAAGGAGAATCATTGGGATGGCAAGGAGAACCACTGGGATGATAAGGAGAATCACTGGGATGGTCATAAGTATAATAATACTTGGGACAAAACGCCCACTCGTCCTCAGCGCCATACCTTTACAAGCACCATCACAAGCACTAAGACTCAAACCATCACGTCTTGTCCGCCTTGGATCCAGCACTGCTCTGTCGGCCACAAAACCACAGAGATCGTGACCGTCACCACTGAGCTCTGCCCCAAGCCCGAATGGCACAAGAAGAAGATTATCTGCTACGGTGGCCACTGTGCCCCCGAGGAGCCCTGCGGTGATGAGCACTGCGAACGCCACCGCGTAATCTGCAAAGGAGACGACTGCTATCCCGAGGTCTGCACCGACAAGGAAGAGTGGCATAAGCTGGTCGTCTGCGACGGCAAGGACGGCAAGGACTGCCGCTACCACCAGTGCGATGGCGAGGAGTGCAACTCCAAGATCGTCTGCTACGATGGAAAGTGTGCCAAGGAGACGTGCTACGGCGAGGAATGCCGCAACAAGTTCGTCTGCAAGGGCTTCGAGTGCGGCCACGAGCAATGCAACGGGGATGACTGCCACAAGTGGGAAGTCTGCAACGGATCCGGAGCGGAGTGCCGTCCTCGACCTCCTTGCAACGGCGCAGGCTGCCCTGTTCCTCCTCCTCCTGCTCCCCGTCCTGAGCCTCCTGCGCCCACCCACGACCGTCCTGGCCACGAGGGTCCTTACCCACCTCAGCCTCCCGTTCTTTCTACCAGCATGCACGGCTGGCCTCACCCGACTCAGCCTCCTGTTGTTGCTGGCTCGACAAAGCTGGGTGCCGGCGTCTTGGCCGCCTTGTTGAGCTTCATCTTCTTCCTGTGATGGGGCTACTAGATTACGAAACAGCTAGGATTTCGATTCTCCTCACAAGGTGGACGGTTCGAGATGGTAATAAGGTAGATTCAGGAGACGTTAAGATGATATACTGGAGCTATACTGTTGATTTACTCTAGACGGACAATTGTGTAATGTTAGGCACCAAAGCTATTGCAACCTTTCAATGACACTCATTTAATTCAAATTTCTCGCTCTTCATTGCGTTGTTAAGCGCCATGCTTGTGTAATCCACTTTGCCCAAAAATGCGAAGCAATATACCATGTAGCCTCAGCAGCACCATAAATTTCCAATTTCCAAACAAACACGGTTGTCATTTTCCTCGGGGAGAAGCGGGAACAAAGGGAGAGCGAGCATGCTGAATACGGAGTAGACCCGATTACTCGCCTACGCAGTGTCGGGGAAATTCGTCATCAGAAAAAAAGGGAGGGCACAACGCTTAATGGAACGAGAAGCCCCTGCATAAACAGCAGCCTTTCAAGCGAGAGAGAAAGCTGATGCCTAGCAGTGGCAATGGCCCGTGTGTTCTTCAAAACAAGGCAATCGTTAGGTGCCACTATGTCGGGTCTGGGGGCAAACTCGACCCAACCCATTGACGCGAACCTAGTTCCGACGCCATGGTTCAGTCATATCCCTTGCATAAATATATTGCTAGTTTCAACGTTGGCCTGGGGTTTTCATTCGCTCTTGATGGCCAATGCAGGAAGACCATTCCGCGAATACTCACATGGTATGACTAGAAATCAACATATATCACCGAGTCGTTGGCTATGGTCAATTCAGGATAATGTATCCCAAACGTACCAAAGGAAGGGCTTGGCGGGTTGCGTAATGGCAATCCTATTGCAAAGGTGCGAGGTCTTTATTGGCGCAAGGCAACAATCGAATGATAGCAAACGGAAACCTTGGCTCGTGGTTTGTTAGGTGCACATGGTTTCTCCATGCACTTGCCACGGAGCATCACTCGGGCCACATTGCGGTTGATGAGTCCGGATGATATCGGCCACCCCCCGTAACACGAAACATGGATCCAACACCATAGCATACGAGGCTAAGACAGCGGGTTCAGCTATTGGTAACAAAGAAAAGCGTCCAGCAGCCACGATAAACCTGTCATCAGAACAGAATGTAACCTCATGCCAAATAGCTCACCCCCTAGCCTTGATCCGGCGAAATGGGCCGATATGACTGACGAATATTCGTAGCAAACAACTGCATAGGAATATGGAGCGCTTGGATACTCAGTTTGAATTCCGGAGGAGGCATGCTCCTGCCCCATGGGCCAAGTTTACCGCAGACTAGCAGCTATAGATAGCTATTGCAGGGTGATGATGCAGGTGTCGCTGTCAAATATCAACTGGGCTAACAGAGAATGTACCTGAAATCATGATTAGACGAGCAGTTGAATTCAAGTTTGGGCTGCAAGACGTGAAACCACTCCAATACATGCAGTTGCATACGGTGCTAGGCCGGCTATAGGATAGAGCAGTGCTTGAGGCAACAGAGGAACATTTGCACGCAAGAGAGCAGCAGATGTGGACTGTAAGCAAACAGCGAATTTGATTTTAATGTGGTCTAGACTCGAAACTGGGTCGTCATGGCATAAAAAGCGTTCCGGTTTACCGAGATGGAGGAGACCAGGGCCTGTTAGCAGCCTCTGAGATGAAGAGAATATTCACGTCTGACCAACTCCGTCTGTATACGGAATGCCAATTGAAGGTAAAACAACCCGCCAGAGCGAAAGTACACGTAAGGGATCCCTGCAGCGGCTTGCATAAGTGTTTGCCAGGGAGGCATCCAATCATGCAGCCATCGACTGGGCTCTGAGACACAAATGGAAAACCTTGCATTAAAAATCTCAGCAAGGACATGTACCCTACCGCACGTGCTAGTAGTTCGAGAAATGTTCGTACTTGCGGGATACTCCGAATCGCATTTGTGGCTGGCCGGGCTTGTTCCTCTAGTTTGGCATAGCTGTAGTGGAGCGAGCAGTGAGTGGGCTTTTGGAGATCAGCAAGGCATGGAAATTGCGAATTGCCAGTGTCGAGGTGGGTAAGACGAACAGCCCAAAGATGAGGAGGCGTTTAGCGTTCCCTTCTGTCGGGTCGGCACAAAATGTCAAAGCCGAGAGAGGAGCTTGGAGATGAAAATGGGGGTTGCGAAGCTCACTAGGGGCGGAGCCAGTGAGAAAGGCCCCGGGCCTAAGCAGCCAATTTTGATCCGCAAGAGGGGGTTCGTGTTTGCGAAGCGTCGGGTTGATAATGCTCGTACAACGAGGCGGACCAGCTCGCATCAATGCCTGTGATTTCTGTCTGGAAATGTCGCCGAGTCGGCGAGGAGTCTCTGGAGTCAGCGATTGTATGTGTACGGGCACATGTAACGCAACCAGCATGTAAGAAAGAAAGATGTCTTCGTCAAGGAGAGCACGAGCACGAGTACCTTGCTGTAGAGTAGGTTCACGCAAGGACAGGGAGGGATATGCCACGAACATGGACTAGGACTAGGACTAGGCGCAGGTTGTGTTGGATTCGAGATGGAGCAGGCCTTGGCCAGGCGTGGGTGAAAATGAAACGGCGAGACAAAATGAGAGAAATTATGAGGTGCTGCTGTAGGTACGGAGTACTGCAGTGGCAATGGCAAATTGCAACGTGTTGCTGCAATGCAGGCCGCACCTGCCGTCCATGGACGAAGCGAGGACAAGTCGAGGCACGCGCTGCCGAGGAAGTACCTGCCGCTGCTCGTACTGTACTGTACACTGCTGTAAGTACATCTCGTTACCTACCTACCTATTACTGCACTATCCATTATTGGATGCTGGCACGAAGCAGCTGCAGCACGGAAGTTAGTGCCTTCCAAGGCTAGCACGAGTATCATTTTTATCAAGTGGTGTGCTCTTATTTCCGTTCGCACACACAAACTTGTTGGCAAACCTCAAAATTCCATCCCAGCATGCACTTGATCCAAAAATACGTCTTGCCACGGCCAACAAAAAACCGATATTTGATTTGCTGCTCACCCAATGCTCGGTATACGCCTCTCTAGCGAGCTGAAGAGATAACCTACTTTGGTTGTACATACCAGACGCCTATACGGAGTAGTGCTGCCACAAAAATCGATCCATGAACGGGCATCAGTAAGACTGTTGGCTTGGCATGCCACATCCGTCGATTTCCAGACTCGAGCACAGGCATGACAGGACGGGTTCCGCGTATTTTGATGAGTAATTTGGAATCGATATCATGGCTCGGGTTACACAGTGCCGGGTGCTTTGGCTTGGGCTTCTCTGTGGATCGACCTGGCAAATAGGCTGAGTCGGAGGAACTGAAGACAGCTTGATAATTCTCCGGAACTTCAACACCCAAAATCAGCTCCGGACCCAGCGAGTCTACCTGCTTTCTGTTAGAACCCGCGCCGCCACTCATCATGACGCCGTCAAGCAGAGTCACGCCATTATCGCGGACCGAGTCAATGGCGCTTTGTCAACCGCCAATGTTGAGTCCATGCTGCTGCGGGAATATGCAAGCTGTCGAATTGAGGCTTCGACTAGCGCGCTAGACGCTCTAGTCATGTCTGGACGGGGCTGGTTGTTAGCCCCAAGCCAAGCTTCATTGCTCCGTTGTGATTCTGGTGTGAGATGACGCTGCGGGCGCTATGTGTCTGCCCTCCCAAAAGACCATCATCACCATCGGCGACACACAAGCAAGGTGTTGCTCGGAAGATATGATCCATGCATTACGACAGGGCAAATGATGTTGTTAGCGTCATGAATGGGACCATAGCCGGCAATCGCAATCCTAAAAACAGAGAGAGAAAAGTTGTACCTTGTGAAGCTTGGAGAACAATATGCGAATACCGAACTGCGGAGTAGAGTGCCGGGTTGGTTGCATATCTTGACGGGGCCCGACTTCGTCGCTCTCATACCGCCATGCCCCATTATTACCAGAGTCGCCAATGCGGTACTCGTATCATTCACTCCGCTCAGTTTTCCCCTCTCATCTCCTTTGTACTCCCCTTCCCTCTCGGATTTTGCGGCGACAAATGCCGTGGATCGATTTGCGAGCCGTGGCTGACCAGACTTAAATCTGTCCGGCTTCTCTATGTTGTGTGTTTATCAAGGGACCCTTCGTTCAGCCCCTGTCAACGTCAGCTTCCCCATGTTCCTGACACCACGGACGGACTCCGCTACAAAGCACATACAGGTACTCCATACTCCGTACTGTGCTGGTATAACGTCGCCCTGCGGTTTAATTTCTTTTCCTTCAATGTGGCCCCCTGTCTTAGCGGTGCGGCAAGACGAGTTGGAAGAGCTTCTTCCTCGCCTTCGTCCTCCTACTTACGACCAACAACTCCCTCCCACGACTACTCTGTACTAAGCGTGACACTGTCCTGATTATGATTGAAGTCGTGTCTTGATCTTTCAACCTAGCTGCCATCTTTCTCCTAACTCCTTGCCGAGCGCCGTGCCCGATTCCTGCTACGGCCGGCCAAGCGATACAGCACGCCTCTGGTCCGTGAAGCTATTCGCTGCGTTGCTGGCCTGCAGCGCTACTGCAAGAGGCTGCCACCTTGCTGTGCGTGCCCCGACCATCCTCGACTTGGACACAGGCCCCAAGTATCGTCTCCGTGGGCAGGGCCTAGCGCCGTCCTGGTTGGTAACCCGCCATTCTCGGAGCCGCTCTGTGAGAAGCATACATTAGTTGGCGATGCCCCCAGTAGGCTAGAAGATACGCACACATTTATTTCGTACTGGCCGACAAATCGATCCCTTACGGCGGCGGTCGAGGTCGTATGGCTTATCACCAGCCAACATCCTTTTTGAGACTGCAGATCGATCTTTGACTTTGGATGGGGCCACAGTATTGCCCAGCTACCGCTCGCATTGCTACGTTCACTCGTATACATACCGCTGCCCACCCATCCGCCTTCTCAAATAGATCCTACAACTTTTTGACTTCGATATACGACCACCGTTTCCGGCACCTTATTTGATTCAGTTGGACGTTGCCCTTCACCCACACAACCACACGCATATACAAATCTACGTCATTCACATCGCTACAGCTCTTATCAATCGCTCTCATCCATCTTTTCATATTAAAAAATCATGGTTGAAGACGACGCAAGTAGCGGGCCAATTCCAAGCCGCGCCATTTGCCCTCCGTCACCTGTCTCAACCAATTCAGCCATCACCGTGGGCACATCCCAAGACGCGGTCCGCATCAAAAGTATGGAGCAAGGCGAATATATCCCCGATGATGACAGTTGGGACGACACGCGTAGTCTCACCGAAAGCATTCGTCAGCACATTATCGACGGAGGCTTACGCTACCATGCGTATCACGCTGGGCAATATGCCTTCCCCAACGACGAGACAGAACAGTACCGTGACGACCTCAAGCACAATCTGACCATCCACCTTTGCGAGGGCTCCTATTATTATGCCCCTATCCATGAGCGGCTGCAACAGCCAGGTGCTGAAGTTCTCGATTTAGGTGGGTCTCTCCAATACCAAATATTCTCCCCTCCTCCACCTATATCATTCATGGCCTCTTTTCGAAATACATATAGTGCTTTATTACCTCCAATTATGTACTAATGGTAGAGAATAGGTACTGGGACGGGAAAATGGGCAATCGAATGTGAGTGAACTCTGGCTAGATTGAATGTCAACCCTGCACATTTTCGCATTCAAAGAAGAAAAAAAAGAAAAGAAAAGAATCTAGCACAAGACAGCCACTGTTTCATCTTTCTAACCCCGCCTTTTAGTGGCTGACATGTATCCAAATGCGACATTTCACGGAATGGATCTTTCGCCTATCCAGCCTGATTGGGTCCCAGAGAACGTGCTCTTCGTTGTCGACGATATCGAACATGAAGCTGGATGGACGTATCCCGAAAATTCTTTTGATTATATTCATATTCGCCACACCGTCCACTCAATAAGAAACCGAGCTGAATTGTGGGATCGAGTTTATAAGTTAGTTTACCTTTTTCTTCAATTTACGCTATCGCTGACATAGCTTGTTTCTCTTCAGACACCTGAAACCCGGTGGTTATGTCGAGGTTCAAGAGTTCCAATACGCTGCTGCCTGCGACGACGATTCGTGTAACGAGCCATACGCCTGGCGTGACTTCTTGCGATACTTGACGGATGGCCTCGCCGTCCTCGGTTCAAATCTCCATGGCATCCTAAACGTTCAGAGCGAGCTTGCTGCTGCTGGTTTTCAAGATCTACACCGGTTGGATCTGAAATGTCCCAATGGCCCGTGGCCAAAGTCAAGACGGCTCCAAGAATGCGGCCACATCCTCCGGGATGTCATCTTATGGGGCCTCGTTGGACTGGCCAGACGGCCACTTCATCATGGGCTTGGATGGACGCCCATTCAGATTGAGATGTTCCTCGTCGAAGTCCGAAAGTCTGTCATTGCAGAGCGTAATGGCTTACCAAAGTTCCATTCATACTTTCCTTTCCATAACATATACGGTCGAAAACCCCTGGACGCTGCTTGAATACGCTGCTCGGCCGCAACTTATAAGAGCGCCTATTATTATGACGGCAAATGATTTGAAAGTTTCAAAATACATACGTGGCCTAGGACCTAGACTGTCGTGTCTAAAATGGGCTTACTAGTCGACCAACGATTAATGACACATGCTATACCATTATCACGCACTTCTATCTGACGACTAAATTACCAGACTGGACGAAGAAACCTCCTCCCTTCTCATCGCCTTCTATAGTCTCTTGATATAAAGATGCTCTTTACGTCTGGAATACCCCGGGATTGCATATAGTAGATGGCTGGATGGACACGGCGCACAAAGGGAATGTTTATTTTAAAGCGTGGATAAATGAATTATTGTTTGAGGTCGGTCATGCCTCTCATTTAGAATATTAGTATTTACATGCATGGCATTGGTGTTAGGATTATATTCTTTGTATACAAATGATAGCCCTGAAGAAAGCAAATTCAAGGACTACTGAGTGCTAATAAACTTGTGCTTTTAATAGTGTGTGTACTACCACAATGTTCACGGTGCAAGACTTTCATATATATGTACATACATGCAGCACTAATGTTTCCAGCAAAGCTATTACATCAACCTTTGCCGCCATGATACATAACAAGGAAACTGCTCAAATGAACAACGTGCAGATACTCCCGGAGATAAGTCGCGGATACATACGTACGAGTATATGGTCAACCGAACCAATCTGACATGCAGGGTACAAGGCGGTTCACACCCCTTATGTGGTATAACGGCCGAGAGGACCAAAGGCCGAAGCCTCCGCTTCATTCTGCTGAGAACGGGCCAGCTCTTGTCACATATTTGTAGATTATGACCTATACTATTTGTCTTTTAGAAATCAGGTGTGGAGTTGTTTGTATGTGCCTGATTACCAGCTGGGTTAACCTGTGCATGCGACGAGTAAGACCTAGCGAAGGCCAGGATGGGGCTTGCGTTTCCCCCCTCACGTTACCGGGATGCTTTTGGGGCTTCCAATGGGGTAGTCTCGGTTTGTGGAGGTTCTCTTGGTAGGGGGATGTTAATGATGTATTTGCGTGGTGATGGTTGCTTGGAAGGGCTTGGGGAGAAGAAGTAGCAAATCGATGGTAAGCAGGGCCCATTATGACATGAATTTGATACTTGTGAGGGATTAAGTGTGAGGCGGTAGTATTGGGGATCAAGGGCAATGTTGGGAGATGAAAATGGACGAACATTGGCACGGATGAAGGAGGGAGGACCTGGAGTTTGGCTGTTTGTGGGGGTGGAGATTTGTCAGAGACTTAGGTGCTCCGTAGAAGGCCACAAGCTTTGATTAGGCCATATCAATTACCCCCGTGTAAGATGCTTATTTAGTGGTATGGCATACCTCGTATGCCCCATTTTTTGGTTAATTCGGGGACTTTGTGCTGATGCTTGGAGATACTGGGGCGTACTGTGTTTAGTTTGCGCTCTGCAATTTTCTCGAAGGGGTGCTGCAAACGACAGTAGCTTATTGGTTTTCAAAGACTTTTAGGAACAGCAATGCTTTTAGTATTAGTTAATTGAGTGGGTGTGTCATTTTCGAGATGTTTAACCCTTTTCTATATGAAGACAGGAGAAATTTGAGTCGGTGATTTTGCTAGGAAAAAACTTGTATGGTCCTTGTACGAAAGTCATCCAAGGGGAGGGGGGAAAAAAAGAGCAAGGTATTAATATTTACATAAATTAAGCTCTCACACGCTAGCCAGTTGATTAATTTATTTCGCAACGGTAGGTCAGGCCCTGTGTCTGAGGAGATTTTCTCATGAGCACAGTAAGGGAACGGATGTAGGTATGCATATATAGAGAATATATTGCAAATACATGATCCTCACACAAGAATAGATGGAAATGGCCATGATACATTAGAAGGTTTCATTACTTTTACAGACAATACATATGTTTCATTTTGCGTGATTCTGCTGTACAGATATGCCTTTGGCCGCTACAAAGAGAGTTTGTGACACTTGGTTTAACTAGTCGTCTCATCAGGTCTGCCCATGGTTTTTTTTGCACGGATTAGGAGAATGGCAAATTCAAGATCCTTACATATTTATGACTATAATATTACATTTCTTGACAGTTTCATGCTTCTTTCTTTACACGATGGAAGTTCCATCTCGAGAACGCCTAGGGAAGTAATTCTGAAAATGTTGGTCACCGCCCGCCATAGAAGGCATATTGTAGATTATGTAGGCTTTGGGCAGGGGAGACGCCTACGACGTCTCCCCTACATCCCACTACGAGATTCTAGATAACTGCGTCTAGTTATTTATTATGTCACCTTCACACAGCCTCACGTCGCCCACTGTCCCGTGACGTTTATGTGTGTTCGCCTGAGCCCTGATAGTAAAGGCAAGAGGGCGCATATTAAAAGGTGCGCTCAAAAATGTCATTTTTGCTGTATTAGTATTTAGAAGCTCGATGTAACCAGTATATTTCTTGAGGCGAGAATCGTAGATACATACCCGGAAATCAGACTCGATGTACTGGCTGGTAGGCATTTCTGTGAAGCGAGTCTCGAAGAAGATTTGTCTGTCGCGCAACAAAGGCGTCAGCGCTCCAGTGCGCAAGCCAATATTCCTTAATTGTTCAAGATTTGGACGACTAACCGGAACTCGTGTCGCATCTTGCTGAGAGAGTGGAGAGCTCCAGAGACCTGGTGCCCGCCCAAGGCCTTGAAATTGTACGGCTCTATTGAAGGATTAGTATTATTCGAGAGCTGAGAGGAAATAATCTGACTAAATAGCCATATGCGAGCATTCGATGGATATATATATATATCTATATATATATATTAGTTAAGTTGGGTGCTTTCCTCGATTCAGTGAGACCTTTTCCCTCAATTCCTCCGAGGCACTTCTCGAACTCTAGTCGATATGGAAACCATGGGAAACATGTAATTTCATGAAAATATTTTTTGAGACTCTTCAAATTAGAAAACAGCAATACAGCCGAGTAAGCTGATTTTAATAATAACAGCTCCATGAAGAGGGTGTATTCTCTACGCCTCTGTGGCATTTGCGGTTTCTATTCACCAGATCAGGGTTTACAATTATTCTGATCCACTACATCACGTTATTATAGGCCATCATACTATTACAACAATGGAGTAAAATTCTGTAGCAATAATCGCGCCTGTAGTAGTTAATATGGCAGTATCATCCATTATACGGGATCAACCATACCGAATGACCAGCTCAAACAATATGTCATAATTCCTTCCTCCTATATAATTCTCTGTGTCGCAAGCCTAATAATCAGCTGGTCACCAAGGAGCAGAGAATATAATGGGTCAGCCAGGTTATCGCTTCAAAATTGGGGTGTTGGCGATGAATACTGCCGAGAATAAACTTCTCTATGGTGGAAAACTCTTTCCCATGGGTATTATTCCTGTTTGAACGCATCTAATGTAATTCTACAAAAATGGAACAGTGAGGCAAGGCAATCCAATCTAGACGTGATTCAACCGTGTGGAGTTGTATATATAAGGATAGTAAGAGGGAACCAGCCACAGAACGAATATAGCATCTTCTGTTCATCCTGTTTACACCAGGAATCCCATACATCTGACGATGCATGCAAGCTCAATCTACAAAAGAGCTCGAAATATTAACTCACTCAAGAATGTTAACTCCATTATGTCAAACCTGATTGGGATATAGTAGATGGCTATAGTAATCACTGCATTGCGTCAACAGTAGAGAGGCTTAGCCTTACGTTCACGAGGTACCAAGCATAGGGATGTAGCCAGAGTCAATCCCACCCAAAACAATTGGCCAACCACATGCTAACTTTCCTTCAAAAGCTTAAAATAACTTCTTTTCTTTAACATACTAGACTACATCGGTTAATACTCACCATAAAGCATGTGATCCTCAACTTTGCGAGCCAATATTGAAGACTTACACGAGAGACATCAGCCAACTTTCCAATGGCTCAGGGGTAAGCCAAGGACTTGCACCAAAGAGATTCACACAAAAGTTTGGCTCACTTCTGTTGAGTCACAGGCTAGGCGCTTAGAACCTGGCTACACTCAAGTCAAACAACCAGAGTCCAAAGAACGACACTCCGAGTCATACCTACACCACCACCACAGCGCGCAAATGACACTGATCAAAACCCCTAGAATACACCAAACTGACTCGACTCTTTCATGTGCTTCTCGAACAACGACAGCAATGACATCAAGTGACCGTTCTAATCAACACCAAACACTCACCTCGTTTGACGCTTCCAGCCCAAGGCAGACTCGGACTGCAAACCCAGCGGTGAGCCATCACAACCTCAGGCACAGCTCATCACCGCAAATCTACAACTCCATGAAACCCACCTTATCAACTTCATGGCGGTCAAAGTTCCCCTATTCTCCAATCATATGCCAGACAAATCCTTAACATCAGCCCAGTGCGAGACTTCATCTCCATTCCCTCCGCCTTACACCTCAACCTCCTCACCGTGGTAACGACAACGCATCGCCACCATTAGTCGTACGCCCCCCATCCCATCCCATATCACAGAAAAACCCTCCCCTAGCACGAAATGGCTGGGAAAATCACACTCCAAACAGGCTCCTAATGACCAATAGTTCCAGAACCCAGTCAAGGCTCCCACAAAAAGTCCAACCAAATGCACCCAATCCACGCGCTCCAAACCATCGACACGGTGACTCTTTTCTTCCTATCTTGTCCCTCGCTCGCGTCACAAGAGAGAGAGTGTGTGTGAGGTGGCACGTGAACACGCTGACGCGCGAGTTCGCAGCAAGGGAAAAAAAAAAAAAAAGAAGCGTCGACGAGAAGCGCGCACAAAACGCCCTCTCTAGCTTCGAATTCGCGCGACGCCATTCGCTGAAATGGCTCTACTTGCCACCTATTTTTGGCGTTTCTGAAACTACCGTGACCGGCTGCTGCCTGTTTTAGCCTCCTTCACGTCCATTCTCGTCTTCCTTCTTCTCTTTTTTCGCCTCACGACGCGGGTTCTCGATGCCTTCGAGACCATTCGCGTAGAAAAAAAAGGGCTTCCAAACGCGCGTCTCCTTGTCTGCCTCTTCAAGCCCCAACCACCCCATCAATTGTTTGGCTCAGAGCACGTTTTAGCCCCTCGTGTAAAAGCAAGGGAGGGGGGCGTGATAATGTCGCCTCTCGTGAATCCCATCGCTAAGAAATACTACAGTAGCATGAATTTTGCTTCCTACTTTGTTTTACGCGCAGTGCTTGATACCCAGCAGAAGAGGCAGTGTAAGTCTGACTCACCGACCCCTTGCTTCCCGTGAACGAACCCCCAGCCATCGCATTTCTACGCGTCCCGAAAACCTGGACATCAAACATATGTAGATGAGGAATTCGCAACTACCGGGTATCCGCCAGCGAAAAAGGTTGGTGTGCATCTATTCGCACTCAATGTTGCGCCGTGTGGCTGATATTAGAGGGTGTATGGAATATTAGAACAGATGCCCCCGTTTTGTGCCTGATGCGGCCCTCCGTTTGCCAGAGTCATTGCGTCATGCCTGGAGGCGTTTTGTCATCCGTTGCAGCCACTTCAGGGCAGATACTCCAATAGGCAACCGGGGAAATAAACTCGCTGGCCCCGGGAGAGCTTGTGCTGCAACAAGAAGCAAGAAAGGCGCTGCAGATCGACAAGAGTTAGAGTCAGCTCGCCTTGTTGGCGCCCAAATAGAGTTGCCAAGTTGCCTAACAAAAAAGACTGAGAAATTAAAAAAAAAAAAAAAAACCGGCTCCGTCTCGCCATGACGTAACGGCGCTGTGCCCTGGGCGTCGCAACTGTGGCGGCGGTCCCGGCCGCTCGGCCGAGTCACGTGCAGCCCGGACTCAGATCACATGCACAGCCACCCGGCACTCCACTCCACGTGGCTGGCGAGCCATCTCCTCTTCTCTCCACGCCATCTCTGTGCTTGAGCAAGCTCCAGACGCCCGTCCCGCTGGCTCCCGGGGGCACGCGATCTAGGTTACAAGTGGCCCAGTGCGTGGCGGAGAGTTTGGCACTGGCGCCGAAGAAGAGAATTCTGTCAATTTCTCCTTGTTTGTTTGTGTTGTGTTGTGTCTAGCATTCGGACGGGAGGCTGAGTTTTCGCGCGTCTTAGACAAGGTTTCCAGCCTTGAATGACGCGGAATGGGCATCAGCTTGAGTTCACCTCAGCCCTGGTATGCGCGCCGCGGCCCTCGTAAAATTTTTTCAAATCTTCGCTCGCTACTTCAAGGGTCGAACGAGATGTGACGAAATTGTCGCGGGGGAACGGCACTAGAAAAAAACTTCTGCGACTGTGATCCGTTGTGAAATGCGTGTTGCCGTCACCGCCTCCGTAACAGATTGTCCAAGTGGGCGGTCTAGAAGAAGCAAAACGTGTTGCTGCATGATAAATGCCACCTAGACTCGTCTAAGCCATCTTGTGTCCGGCGCAAGTGCATTAGCATGAGCGATCCCTTTGCTATTTACAGCAACCACGTCGTTAATGCGCCCCCCCAAAAAACCAAACAAGCCATGGATAGCATGACAAAAGCTTTGACAGATCCAGGTGGATTCCATTTGCTTGCTCACTCTGAGCTGTGTTATCGAACAGTACGGAGCACAGCGTGATAATAGTGGGGGGGGGGGGGGGGGGGGCTCATCTGAAGGGAGTGTAGGTATTGGTATCGCAGCATCCTATGCCGTGTACAATGCCAATTCGGTCCGGCAGTCGTCCAATGGAATGGATCCAAGGCTGCGCGAAGGACGTTAAAAAAAATAAACCAAAACACTAATACTTGCGCCCTGTTGTTGCCCAATACCGTCGTAATAATAGACCATAGGCGTACAACAACGTGCCACACCACCTAGAGCCACGATACAGGCCCTGGCCAAGGCTGTCCTGTGTGCTTGGCTTGACTCGCTCCAAAGTTTGGCATTGCAACAAAGACAGCAATCTAGGCCCATCTGTTGTTCGGGTAGACAAGGCGTAAACAATCGCATGGCCTCCCACACAGGCCTTCGGCAGTGCTGGTGGTGTTGCTGCCGCATCGTAAGGCACGAATCTGCAGTGGCCTGAACTAGATAGAGGGGGTGCTTGAACAAAGGATGGGACGTAATATTAGCACACAGTATATTTGCAAACCAGAAATGGACCCTATTGCGCATCGTGCATGCAAACAGCCATTGGCGACAATCAGAAGACGGCTTCCTGTAGGGCACAGGCATGTAGGGCTTTCATACCCTCTCATGCTCATGCTCACGCTCACGCTCACGCTTATTCAACGGCGAGACGTGACACGTGCGTCGCGATTTTAGGGTTGATGCAGGCCTGCATCGCGATTTTCATCTGGATTGTTTCCGTTTGCATGAACGAATAGTATACAAAAGGTAGCACAGAGCCTCCCCTCCCGGCCGCAAAGAGGGCTATCTGATGGATGCGGATGCGGCTTGGGCTTGAGGCTGTCAGTGAAGACGGCTCGCTGCTGGATTGGGCTTGGGCATCGCCGGGCTCTCACCGCGACTGTAGCACCATCGTATGCTTGATATGATATGACAGGGCTAGACTTTGCCGTGTGCGGATAGACACCGGGCAAGCTGAGCTGGCGGCATGGCACCGATCATGAGCCACTTGTTGCCGTGAAAATCTCCTCAGCAGGTGCATTGCTTGAACCAAGTAGCAGATCATCATGTGGCCGAAATCCACACAAAGCCATCACCTCACGCCTTTGCTCCAAACACTCCCAGCAGATCTAGGATGACCTAAGCATTGCAAAAATAACACCAGTCCCAGAATTTGCTGTCACAGCCAACATCGATGTATCAATGGTCGGTGTAAGGGCGGTCCAGATAAGCAAGCCTGGGGCCGCGTTCTCACCGTATTCCCCTCTGTGTACATGAAGACTCGAGGCTCACAGAGGTCGGGTCGCGGCGACCTGCTCGTTGGGGATAGGGATAGAGGCACGGATGCCGTTGCGCAGAGATCTGGCTTCCATCATTGTGCATCGTCCCAATGCATCTCCTCCCTTCTCGCGTATCAGAGCTGCGCAAGAGTTTTGCTTTCCCACTAGGCGTCCGTGGTCGCAGATGGCCTTGCCCTGTTTGTCGTCCTCGCTACCCAAACGGACCAGTGAGATGCGTCTTGGACTCTCGTCATGGTGCGCGGGCCGGGTCAAGAAAATTTTCTTATCCCCCCTCTCAGAGATCGTACGTCTTGCATGAAAGCGAAAGAGTCGGTCAAGACAAAGCAGGGCTATAGCCATCTTGGTAGCCCGCACCTCCAAGATGGCCTGCTATTTTTTTCGGCAAGGAAGCGCCAAAGATTGTTTGTGGTGTTTTTGATATTCGCAAACAAGTCTTCACTAGTGAATGAATGGGTGGGTTGTTAGCCTCGAGTTGGCGATTTCGCTTAGGACCACGCTCTTTAGCTGCTCGAGGGGTGTGTCGTGAAGAGCCAGGCTAACGGGCATAATCCCTGCATTCAAACGAGGTGGGGCCTTTCTTTTCGCTCCCTGTCTGTCTTTCTTCGCACTGGAGGCTGGGCAAGGATGCCATTTTTTTGGTGGCGTTTGCGTGAAACTGGGGGTGAGAAGCCGGCTGCCAATCGGCGCCCAAAAATGTTGCAGCTCAGAGCCCGATTCGACAGCCGTAGCAGCTTTGGACATCAATACAGCTCTGGCGCCCAGCGATTGGGAGATAATACATACGAAGTGACGGGGCTGCGCTTGCTATGAGTCACATTCCGCCTTGTCGGGTCCATGAGATGGAAGCGCAAGAGAAAGACCTGTCCAAGCAAAAGCCAGGCAAACAGTTGCAAGGAGGCAACCAGCAACGCAAAGACACGAGAATTGCTTGGGTTTGATTGAGGGACGGCCCACGAAATGAGATTTTGAAAAATTTTCACTTGTCAAACAAGGGACGGGCAAAAGCCAAGCCCTAGTGGCTTCCAGGCAGCCTCTTTTGGCCACACCCTCCGGCTCCAGGGATCCAAGGGAGGATGGCCGATGGTTGGATGTGGGAGAGCAAGTGGGTGGGCCAGCGAGACCAGTATCACACCGGGACCATCTTTCAAGGTGTGCATCGTCGTTCTAGAAATCGGCTAGGGTCCGGACAGGGCCAAAGCCGCCAATCCTGCGGCGGCTACGGCTTCCGTCCGGAGTGCATGTTGAAGGGAGGAGGAGGAGCACAGTCGGTGAGAGATGCGTTGCGTTGCGTTGCGTTGCGTTGGGTGTCTGACACCGCCGAGTCGAGGTAGAGGTTGGATCCTCCTTTGAAGTAATCAACATGCCATGATGGAACGGCAAGAGGGGGTGTGGTTTTGCGTTGGTGTTGTTGATGGCTGAGGCATCGACTGCATTTTGTGTAGGTGGTACTAAAGGGACTTTTATGTAAGTAAGTACCGAAGTACTTACCTTAGTACTGGAGCAAAAGCCGGCAGTAATTTCTAGGTCAGACGACCACGATTGCACAAGGAAAAGAGACCAGAGGAGAAGAGAAACGCAGCTGAAGAACCGAAAAAACTCGGCAGTATCAGGGGTGGCCTGTATTTCGTACGGCAAATATCGATACGAGTCCGTCTCGCAGAACTTCCTCGATGCAGCCAGCTGGACAGAGAAGAGACTGGCGCTGGGCGACGCAGGTACAGGCCGGTTCGCACAACACAAGGGGTAAAATATGGGATGGAAGCATGTGCTTGTACAAGTGTGAGTGTGAGTACGGGCATACAAGCAAGGTGCAGTACAAGTAGGGCTCTTTGGAACTGGGCAGAGTGAAGTTAATGTCCCATACAGTGTGCCGTGCCTGGCGCTGGTATCTGGGAGGTGCGCGGGAACGGCTCGCTGCGGCGGCGTGGATGCTTTGGAGCTGCGAGCTCCCGTCTTTGTGGGACATGTCCGGAGGTCCCACCCGGTGCGGTGGGAAAAGACTGGAGATGTTGATGAGCGAGGGTTGACAAGTCCCACTTGATAGTTTTGGCACAATTACGGAGTAGCCCAGAGTTTAGTCGTTGTGGGAGGTGGAGGTGGAGATGGAGGTTGATGTTGGAGGGTACGAGTACGAGCACGATAATACAGTGCTTTCATGTGAACACATGAAGAAATTCAACCAACAGCTCCAGCAAAACTCAAACTGCCATCGCTGCTAATTAGTCCGCTAGCCCCCGGAAGCCCTGCCGCGGTCCCAGGCCCTCTGCAGCCGGTGCATTAGGCCATCGGCTGTTCGTTGGGGATTCATGGCATCCATTGTCAATGCATCAAATATCGGGTGTACGAGTAATACTTGGTGCTTCTTGCAGTGCTTGGCTCCTTCAATCCTCTCGCGCAGAGGCATTCGCAGTGGTTTTAAGGTTTGTCTAAGCCCCAACGCAAAAGATGCCCGCCTCATGGCCCTTTTGTGTCCAGGGGTTGGACGCCCGCCCATGTCTGAGCCAAAGCACCCTTGTGTACTGACACAGCATCATCACCAAGCGACAGAAAGAGAGAACAGGGTGAGATAGGTATCAATAACAAAAGCACAAAGGACTGTGCGCCCCGATATACGCCCCGTCGATATCAGCAGAAGGGGGCATAAAGAACAACGCACCAATCACGGCAACGAGCTGCTGGACAATACGGAGTACAGTAGACTAAGAGCAATATGAGTGCATACGCATATGTAGGTACCTGTAGGTGCGGATGCAGTCGTGCAGCAGATACTACTATGTACACCGTCAAAGAGACAAGACTCGAAGCACTAACAATGTCGATGCTTTGTGCTAGCAGAAATTTCAAGCAAGGGCAGCCGTCCCCTTGCCGCATCCTTCAAGTGACCGGGCTGCGTCCATCACAAAAATGGTGGCCTCTGGTAGGCTCGGCTTCGTGATTGGCGCCGTGTGGCGAAAAGCCACGCCTGGAACGGCCCCTGTCAGATCAACTCTTAGGTTTTGGCGGACGTCGGTGCATAGGCGAAAAGAAGCAGCGAGAGACTCGAGACGAGAATGTCTAGGAACCCAAGTCGAATAAATGGATCTGATATTGTAAGAGTATGACCTGTAACATCGCCTTGGTCTCTGGTCGCATAATTCTCGTCTCGTCGCGCCGGCCAGGCGATGATCAGTGCAGCCTCGCCTCTTTTTCTCCTTTGGCCTGGAAATCGAGATTCTGTCCTCATGGGCAGCCCATGGGCAACCCATGGCCGGAAATCACCCCATTCGCCCGCCTCCGAAATGGCCCTGCACGGTCAGCACGTTTCGGCCTTGTACTTGCCGAAGAAGACACTTGACCTTTCGCACAGGCCTCGGCCCTGCAAGCGGGTATTAGAGTAGCAGAGTAGCAGAGTGTACGGAGTACTCGTATGACCATTTTACCTTTGTAGTTACAGTCGGTATCTCTTTGTAGTTATTAATACGACTGGGGGCGAAGCCGCTAGATGGGGATGCATGGCATATGCACGTTTTGAAGATGTGTGTGCTCAGGGCCTTTTCTCACACTGCAGATATGGATGAATATGAATGAATACTTGCAGGTTCGCGCATGTGTGTGAGTAGGATCTAGATAGAATAGAATATTGCTTCGTATTATCCGTCGTATTTCCTCTTTTGGGTGATGATGATTGTGGTCGAATGTCTGTGAATCCTGAGAATCAAGTACAGTGCAGGTGCAGTACTACCAATAGAGCTCGGGCTGTAATAATAGAGCCTCCCGCCCTACACCACCCCTCGCACCTACTAACCTTGGTAGGTGCTAATGTAATGTACCTATGGATAATTGACGAATTAATTACATACCTACATGCAACCCCAACAATTGAGTTTTGGTAGGATCCCAGCTCGGAAACATGTCTGCAGCACCGTCGTATTCTTCACGCAAGCACTCAAGGCCGTGAAAGTGCGGTTTAACCGCCAGCATCAGCCCGGAGCTCGGCGCTTCTGAGCACCTTCCATCACCAAGGCCACACCACCATCTTGACGCACTGCAACGCCAGAAGCGACGGTTGTGACGGTGGAGCGGATTACGAAGAACACTGCTCTTCCTTCTGAGCGATATACGGACAATCTATCGATAGTGCCCGTCACACAGCCAAGGGCGGGCCAATCAGCGGCTGCGTGGCCTGCGCACAACGTGCTCCAGATGCTGCCGCCGACCATCTCAGTGCGGCGCAGATGTGACGGGAGCAGCACTTGTGCCATCTCAGCCATGGTGATGAGCGAATACTTGCCAGCCAGAGCCATCTCTTGCGCTGCTCGACAAGTGGTCACAGGGCTGATGTGCGATGTAGATGGGCGCTTGTTACGGGTTTGTGTGTTGACGATTGCGTTCTTTTGTCGGCGCTTCCCACCATCCTCCACACATCCTTCGACTTGGAATAGAAGCGTCATACGTAATGATGGGGGCCGGCCGGGTTTGGTGATGGATGACAATGATGATAAATACGCCGCTTCTTCCTCTTGCTCTCGCTCCGCCGGCCTGCCTCCGCTCCGGAGCGATCGTCGAGGCCGACGAGGGTATTAAGTTGCCGTAAGCCACCAGAGGTGATGCGCATTACGATTACGCACTGCCCATCTTTCATGCTTGTCATTACCCGCGGCGCAAATATCAGTCTCGGACGTCCCCAACAAGTTCAAGCCTCAGACCACAAACACTACGTTTTGTTTCTTCGCTGAGCCCGAACGAGAGCGTGTGTGTACCAAGGACGCATAATCAAATCTCAGCCTACCGTGTCTGTAACTTTTATTGCCCAAACGCTTCCGGAAGCTCTTGCGGCACTAGCATTACTCGTGCTCGCAACAGCCTCATTGCCTCTGGGCGCATCGATATTACTGTACCAGCCGTGCACGACCGGTTCTTTTTCGACGCAGCCGATTTACGAGAGGCCACAGTACAACAAGTACGAAGTCCAAGTACTTGCGAGCCGAGTGAAAAGCAAAACACCGTGAGTTCGCCGCGCTCCGTGCATTTGCTGCGCGCACAGGTCCAGTCTCTAAATAAAAAGGGAGCAGGGATTCGAGATTGCCTTGCATCCAACTTCAAGGCATCGACAGCCTCGGGCGTTTGACACCTGCCCGTCTGGAGAAGAACCAACAGGGAGACAAAACAGCCATCAGAAGGAAGAAAAACTTTTCAAAAGTCTTCTTGTTCCCTTTTCTCACCGAGAAAATACAAGACAGCCGGTGGACTCCCAGCCGCAGCGGAAGCTAGGATTCACTACCCCTAGGCTCCATCATTTCGCTTATCCAGTCCCGGTAAATTGGACTGGGGAGCGCTCTGTCGCATTGGAGCCAGGGCCACGAGTCGACCGCCTGCAATCGATTTGAGATACAAGCACCAAGCACAAAGCGTGCATCTTTTCACGCCACTCGGAGCGCTCGTGCTTTGGGCGATACGAAACCGAAAGGCTGGCTCGGTGGTTGGTCGTCCACTAAGAGTCATACTCGTACAGTAACGGGCTTTTGGGAGCCCCTAGAGCCCGTTGAGCTGCGCAAGCCGGCTGAATCGCCCCCCCCCGAAGCAGATCCAACAAGAGAGACTGCCGTCAAATCAAGGCCAGGGAGCGCAGTCGGGCTGCCTCCTCTGCGCGGAAGCTGCTGGAAGCAACAGCTCGCAGGCCCCAGTCGTGCGCTTGGGTGCAACCATACAAAAGTGCAGCAGTCCAAGTCCAGTCCAGTCCAGTCAGCAACAGCGGCGCCGTGTCGGGCGACTCTTCCAGCACTGTGTGGCAGCCACGGGAAGGTTCCACAGTGACTAAGCTCAGATAACGCCACGCCCCCTCCACCTGGCTGCCCAGGCCCCTGTCCCCTGTCGCATGCCTGTGGCTGCCCTCGTCTTTCACTAAAGGCCTGCTCCCTGTCTGGCTCGCTCAACGCCCACACCAAGCAAAATTTCTGCGGCCACAATACATTATATACCTCGAATGCATGCCCGCACACCCGAGTCTTGCTTCCTCCTCTCTCCGACTTACGCATCTGATCGTTTTGGCTTCTGCCAATGAACCTCATCTCCACCTGCAGCATTGCATCGTCGACCGCCGACGACATCCACCATCACCTCACTTGCAGTCACGCTCTTCACGGGCCCCCAACAATTGCCACAGCCAGGCCGCAGCGTCGGACTCTGGCTCTTCCACCCAAGGGGGATACGATAAAAACCATCCTGTTGTAGATTGGTCATGTTTGACGCAAGACGTAATTCTTCCAACTTTTACTCTTCCGACTACATACCAAGGTGACGGGCTTATTTTTATTGCATTCTCATATTTTTAATATCACAACCCAATACCTTACATCCCCCCTCCCCTCCCCTTCCTCACCGAGAGCAGACAAGACTTTGAGCAACAAAGACGTCTCGAATCTTGTCCACTTTCAGTCTTACCTTGAGCTCCGAACAAAGCAGAGAAGCAAATCCATTCAACGATACGTCATCAGCTCCTTCATTGGAGGAGAGGTTGAGGAGCGAGTGTCACAGTGGACATTGCAAGAGGAGCTGTCACAGAATGAACTATCCATCACCACGAACACCTGGATCAACTCCGATCCACGAGTGGGAATATACACGAATGTCATCCGCCACTCCAACCCCATCACCGCGGCCAAGCTGGCTCGAGACTTCGACGCCTCGACGCCCGGCAACGCGTGCAGCTCACAGCCGGGCCAGCAGCTATTCTCAGGCCGGTGCATCCACGCCTCGAGCTCCGATGGATTCGCCGCGATACAACAGCTCCGGCCAGTATGCCACGGTTGATGTGAGTCCCAAATATTTTTCGTCGTCGCGCGGGCCCTCCGGGTCGTCTCAATTTCCTGCCTGGCACGACCGCCGATTCTCTCACACCTATGTCCGGGCTACTACTCCGTTTGGAGAATCCGACGAGGACGAGATATTCGAGGCTTCGGGGCGCACCTATGTGTTGCTTGCCGAGTCGCGAACAAAGGGTCGCAGGAACTCGCATCATGTTCATGATTATGAAGGGATACGGTACACTAATCACGACGACTACCCACAGGGTACCGCCGCTTACTACGCCGACTACAGCCGTGATGCCTACGACTCTCCGCAGTCGCACATCCCCCCTACACATGTCCGACCTCCCACCAGCCACGGCCACACCCGCCGCTCTTCGGCAGCCGCGGCCAATGTCCCCCAGAGACCGTCCACCGTCCGTCCATCGACCCAGGCCTACCGCACAAAGACAGCTGCCGCGACGACACCCAAGGCTACCGAGGCCGATGCTCGAAAGCACCGAATTCCCACGGGCTACTCGCTCAAGAACTGGGATCCTTCAGAGGAGCCCATCCTCCTCCTCGGCAGCGTCTTTGATGCCAACAGCCTGGGCAAGTGGATCTACGACTGGACCGTCTACCGAGCAGGAGCCAACTCCCCCATTGCCGATATGGCAGGTGAGCTCTGGCTCCTTTTGATTCAGCTCTCCGGAAAGGTCAAGCGCGCGGAGGACGTCGTTGGCCGTGTACGCAACACCGAGAACCGAGAGATTATGACCGACTTTATCGATGCTGGTGAGCGCCTCACAGAGAAGCTCCGCGGGCTGCTCAAGGCTTGCGAGGCCCCCATGCTCAAGGCCGCCAAGAAGAAGCAGTCGGGTCTGGGCAAGAACTCTGGTGTTGAGTTTGTGGATACCCTCTTCGGCCGAGACCGAGAGCTTGCCAAGACAGAGAAGTTTATGCAGAGCGTGAGGCTCTTCAGCCTCCGATTCGATGCCAACTGCGAGAACATTCTGCAAAACCCATCATCCTAAACGCCACTTTGCTGGTTACTATCTTACCTTTTTTACCACCTTGGTGTGAGAAACAATATCAATTCCCACAATCCAGGACAATCGACCCCCACCACAGAGGACTGTTCCGGGAGCCGACCCGTTAAAGAGGAGATGCGTATGAATTTGCCCTGGACTTTTTTCATATGACCAAGCATCTCACGTATCCTTTTTAATCTTTCCTTTTATTGTTATCCGATTGGCAACTTCCCTAGGATCCCGGACCATCGAAGTTGATTAATGGCCCACTCCGCCGGATGGAATGGCCAAGAAAGACGAAAGACTGTACACTAATGCTACTGTTTGTTTTTGTTCTCGTCCGAGGATTTCCTATGGATACCCAATCTTGCGGACTCTTTATTTCTATTTCCTATGTTCTGAAACTCGGTCTCGGAGCGATGAATGGCTTTTCTTTCCTTATTTTTCGGTTATTCAAAAGACAGATTTCTTTTAAGGGCGACCTGTACTACCACCAATGCACACGCGGAGGAGACACCGAGACACGGGGCATTTTTCCATCTAGAGATACCCAGCGTTATCATTTCGGGCGCGTCGCGAGTAAGCGAGAGAGATGAGGAAAAAATGGCGACGGCAAGGTGGCGAGGTTGTCTGTTTTACATGACTTTTATTGACTGGATTTTCTTTCTTTTCTTCTTTCTTTTCTTGGGTTTAATGTGCTGCGGCAGCAACGATTTTACAGTGTGTTTTTTTTTTATTGAGGATTTTGAGAGATTGGGAATACTAGATGGAGGACTTTAGTTTACTTCAAAATGATGATGGCTTTGACGAGCTCGAATATTTATCCCCCTCTACATGACTTTCTGGACTCCATCCGTGTGATACTATGTCTACGACGTGTCTTTTTTATTCCGCTGCAGCCTTTTGTGGAGTGATGTGTAGGGGTTTGCCCTGCATGCAGGTAAGAGTGGATAGTGGCCTTTGTCCCCTTCATGTCTCGATGTACGGAGTAGAGCCAGAGACTGTTAATATGAAACTGGGAGGCACACGATGCGTATCCTCATAGGGCGATAAAGCTCCGTTAGCAAGACGTGTTGGAATACGGCATCAGCCCGCCGTTACAATGTCGAAGAGACGGGGCTTGGCAAATGACGTCTTATTTCACATCTCTCCAAGGGCGTTTTGCCACGTCTTTATTTCCATGTACTCACGTTTTGCTCATTTTGTGGACTTGTATAACGAAGGGGCTTTTTGTAGGTAAGGTAGGTGGCAGGTGAGAAAGAATGCTTTTTTTTTTTTTTTTTTTTGACGAGATTGGGCTTGCACTGTCCACGTGGAGATGAGTACGACTCGGGATTAGGCAAACGAAGCAAAAGTTTCAGGTTTATACGCTGTTTGTTGCTGGTGTTTTTTTTTTTTTTTTGGTTTCGAAGTTGCCGCTTGGCTTGGGCTGGGGATACGAGTACGAGGATTGTTATCTATATGCAGATGCTTGAGAATGTTGTGTGTGTGTGTGTGCCTGTGAGTGGCTTTTACGGTGTGAGCTGGGGGTTCTTTTGGGTGGGTGAATAGGATGGTAAAGGTTTGGTGTTTTCAGGTAATGAGGATTGGAGAAGGCTCTAGATAGATGCTGTATAATGGCTGGTGTTTGGTGGTGCGTGGTCTCGGTATGAGGCTGCTCCATGTTGCTTTGCATGCAATTTGATATCACAGCCGCCAGAACTACCCACGCGCTGGATTGAGCATCTGAGACGTGCTCAGACGGCATACAGCAGTAATTTCCCACGGGATGTGACAAAGAAGGCTGGCGAAATCCTCAGACGGCAGCGTGAACTCGTTGTGCTTATTCGGAGGCTGTGCTTTGTCTCATCTACGTGTCTCATAGCTGGGTGTCTCGCGGGCAAAGGCCAAGTCGAGTATGACAGCTCTAGCCGTCTCCTTGAAATTTTGTCTTCTTCCTCTATCTCGCCCGTGTCTCGGGATTTAAGCTGGAATCATCATGGTTCTATTTCTTTTCGCATCCACGGTACGACGGTAGATGGGCGCAAAACCAACCCCCATGTCTCATTCACCAGCCTCGTAACGCATCAGGCTGGAAATGCCTGCCTCAGCGAGAAGCCATGCATGCATAGCGGATTCTTGCCCTCAGCCTCATTCTCCTCATTATTTTTATTCTCCCCATTTAAAGTGGCAACCTAGAGATGCAGTCTTTGTATGGCTGACGCTGGGGGGGAAAGGAAAAAAAAAAGAAAGAAGAGGCAGCAGGTTTTCAATCCAATGAAATGAAACTGGCTAATCCAGCCCGCCCACGTCCGAGCCGAAAGAGCCCTGCACTGTACGACGGGAATATTTGAAGCGGATCCCATGTCCTCTTTTTTTGCGCAACAGAAAGAGGGGAGAGAGAAAGAGAGAGTCTTGCCTTAAGCACACTCCCCCTCCACGTTTTTTTTTTTGTGTTTGCTCTTCTTGCTTGCTTGATGGTGCTGGCTTCTCGTGCGGAGAAAGCAGCTTGCTCTTCTTTTTTGCCAGGTGTGTGATGCGGGCAGTGGGTTTCCCTTCTTTTTTTCCTTGTTTTCTTTTTTTTCTGGGCGTTTGAGGTGCCCTGCTACTATATTTCGGGCCCTGTCATTGGGAACAGAGCCGAAAACGGGCTTGCATTAGGCAGCGGAAGAGAGACGAAAAGCCTCTTTGTCCTTTGCGTATCACCAAGTCGTGCGTCCAGCGAAGCATTTCGACTTCCTCTTGGGGCCACAGGATTGTGTCGCCGAGAGACACATCACATCCACATCACATCCACATCACATCACTCTACATTTTGCGCCGGGCGCTGCGCTGGCTGAGTATCACAGGGGCCTCAGGCGGCTCACTCTCAGCCCTGTCTTGGCCACGGAGAGATATTGGCCCACCGCATGCGAAGAATGAGAGTATTTGCGCATGGCATGGCATGGCATGGCATGGCGTCTCTTGTTCTTGTTTCGTCGTTGTCGAGACCCCCTCACTTTCAGCCCGATTTGGGGCCTGAACAATTCACTAGCCATGTCATAAAATGATGATGGCAAGGGCGCAATATGATAGGTCGTCGGCTCCCAAAAGGCAGATGCATAAGTTAGGTTGGGCATCTGTCTGTAGTGTCTGTACAGGTAGTGTCTGTAGTGTAGTGAGGAGTAGGAGTAGGAGTAGGAGTAGTATAAACTGGAAATGGGATAGGCCCATTTGGATTCGGCGCGCCCCGAAAGCCGCGATTATCCAGCCCAGCCACCACGCAGTCCCCAATAGCGTGGTTTGCGGTGTTGCAAACTGTTTGGCCCATGTAGGATGACTTGCATAATCCACTCACCTGACGGGCGAGAGGGATTTGCGACTGGCGAGGCCAATCACGAACCATGGCCCCGGGGGTGGTTTAATGGCATGCATGTGTACGAGGACTGTACAGATACGGTGGGAGCTGCGCTGGGACAGTTCTTCAGTTCTCTCGTCATCCTCGTCCTTGGTTTGTCCTTGGTCTGGCGATAGAGGGCTGCGGCCGTGGTTCATGCCGGGGGCTGTGTGCTACATGATGACGGCAAATCCCAAGACATGGAATGAGAAATGCAGGTCCATGTGCGTCGTAGGGCGATGGGCGACGACGGAACGAGGCAAACCGCCCCAAACGGTGCTTGTCTTCCATGCATGACTGCGTGAAGGAGTCTGACTGTCTTACGTGCTCACTGGCTGAGCAGAACATGTATGTAGTCATCCTCAGATCACCATCCCGTACACGCATTGTCAGCTCGCGACTAGCAACGCAAGCGGGGGAGAGGCAGATTTCCATATTCCTCCCCCTCCTTCACCCGCATTGGACGGCGAATGTAACCTGGAGATACCGATGTTGCACAGATGCCAGATTTGCTGAGAAACGCTTTCGACCTGGGACGCATATGCGCACGGCTCGCTGCATATATCGACCCTTGGCCTACGCAGCACATGTCGGTCGCTCGATGCCACTACTGATGCGGGCATCCAGACAGGGCCCCTCGTTCCAGCTGCAGAGGAAATGCTGAGCATGGTCCTGCGCCTACCCGTATCTAGGCCTCTATTGACGACCGACATTAATTAATGTGGTAAGCAAAGCGAGTGCCACTCCACTTGTCGGTTCTTCTCCCTCGCTTGCGTGCTCGTATTCCGTGATACTGCTTCCTTCGTGTATCTTACATGGTCGTTGGTAGCAAAGAGCTGAAACTGGAGTGAGCTAGTGAGCAATGCCCGGCGATGGTCTTCGGTGGTCCCGGTTGGCGGGGCCGGACCGGAGGTGAAGGTGCCGGTCGAGGTCGGACGTCTCTAGGATGGGAACTGTGGCGTGTTGGGGAAGTTGCAAAACTAGAGCGGCATGATCCTACGCCAGTAAACATCTACAACCCTGCATCATGAGATAGAAAGCGAGTCATTGGTAAGGGCTATTCATATACCATACTTTATTTTAGAGTTGGATTGTGAACGACTCCATTGACTTGAGTAACGATGGTAAATCTGCCAAAAAAACATCATACCCTCTTTCCCTCCATAGTCTTATTATATGAATTACTATTAGACACCGAGGGGCATGTTATGCTTATTACTGAATATTTGCTAGCACTGTGGCTCGTTCGCCTCAAGATATAGTAGTCTCCATACCAAGGACAAGAGACTATTGTATCGGAGCTGGCCTTGGAGAATCACAGCTTCGGAGTACTTCACATCTAGTAAAAGCTGCTTCTTCATTTCTGCAAGTATCCCTTCAAACTCAACTGCTAGTTGTGAAGCATCAGCTGGAGCGGATGGATGACTCCCTATGGGTGGAGAACTACTGAAGCTTGTCGAGGTAGTTGTGCAGGCTTCAGGCCCAGCAAAAACAAATGTCATGATAATGCTTTCGCTTCCACTGTCTAGGTAGGGTTATCCTTAATTTAAAGCGTCAGGATTCGACGTCTGCGTGAAGCCGCAGGGTAACTGGAAAGACTATCTCGCTTCACCCATTTTTTATAAGAGCGATTCGTCACTGCCATTTCGCAAATACTGGAAACATAAACAAGCAGTAATACATTTAATAGATGCAAGCAGTCTCGGCCGTTGTACTGAATATGTTCATTCCTTTCTTCTTTATTAAAATATCTACATCTAATTAACACCATTTACATGCAATATGTCTCGCGATCACCCTTCCTATTTCCGCCTTTACCTCTTGTTGTAGTTGACGAATCGGCTCTAAAGAATAAAGTTAGCATGCTGAATCAAAATTTAATACGGTAAAGGGGGAATACATACACCTATGGATAGAATGACAATGTTGCTAACAACAAAGCAGAGGAAAATGCCCAAATCTCTCCAGCGATCGTCAAAACTCAGACCCAACGGGATGTAGAACTCATCACCAACTTTATACGAGCAGTACTCGCAGTTCTGAGTGGTGTTGGAAACGAGATAGCCAGGAGCTCCCCTCTCGAAGAAAGGCTGCATGTATTCGCCGCAAGTCGTGCCGTTAGGGGCGGTGAATCGGTTCAGTTCACTGCTTTTGCAAACGACTGGGACTCCGTGAAGTGCGGTGGTAACACAAGCACCGATGAGTCGAGTGAAAGGATCGAGCTGATAGAGCCAGACGCGCCAGCCCTTGGGCATCTGCGCATATGGAATGGTCACACCACAGAAGAGAGCGAATACAATGGTAATGAAAGGGTCAAACTGGGTAGAGATACGGGGTGAGGGAGCAAGCGCGGCGAGACCCTGACCCAGCGTGACAGCGAATAGTTCTGTGATGAGAACCATAAAGAACTGGAAACCAGCGCGCGAGGGGCTAGTCTGGAAGCCGGGCATGAAGTATAGGGGAAGGTAGAAAGACACTGCACAGAGGACAGAGTAAGGCATCTCGGCGAGAATGATAGCCGTGACGAAAGAAGAGGCTGAGTACATCTTGGATGAGGATTCGCGGAAGAACAGCGCACGCTTCGTGGCGTACATGATTTCGACTTGTGACATAATGATGGCAGGCAAAACGGTGATCTGGAACATGACGAAGACCTTGTACTGGAGAGAAGACTTTGAGTCGTCCAAGTTGAGATAGGTGAGACCAGTGATGAGAGAAACAGAAATGTGAGCAAACAGACGGGTAAACAAGTAGTTGGGTGAACGCCAGAAAGATCGGAACATGCGTCGAACAACAACCTTCATCTGGTGGGCAAGAGGAGAGGCATACTCCTTTTCGAGTTCAGAGCTCGCCTGGTTGGCTGCTACTCGCTCTCGCTTCAACTCGATTATCACATCCTTGACATGGGCAAATTCAGGGCTATCCTCCCAGATATCAGCCCAATCACGGTCGCCAACTCGGGGCATGCTACCAGCACCGATTGCATCAAGCATATACTCTGCAACGTTGTCGGTGGGGGCAGCTTCGGCGCCATACCGAGCCAGGTAAGCACGCAGAACAGCAGCATCCTTGCCAATATCGCCAAAATAGACGGTGCGTCCTCCTCGCTGCAGCAGCAAAAGACGGTCAAAGTTCTGGAATAGCGCAGCATTGGGCTGATGGATCGTGCAAAGAATTGCCTGACCGGCAGCAGCCAGCTTCTTCAGGAAACGGACAATGTTGAAGGCACTTTGGCTGTCCAAGCCGGAAGTGGGCTCGTCCAAGAACAGAAGCAGCTCGGGCTTGGCGGCAAGTTCAACTCCAATGGTAACGCGCTTGCGCTGTTCAACGGTCAAGCCGACTTCAGGAGATCCAATGATACAGTCGGCAATGTTCTCCATTTCCAGCAAAGAGATGATTTCTTCCACATAAGCATGTCGCTCAGGGATGGGGGTCTCGAAAGGTTGGCGGAGTTCAGCAGAGAATCGAAGAGCTTCACGGACTGTTTGAGTAGGCTCATGAACATCAAGTTGCTCAGCATAAGAAGTGGATCGCTGAAACTGCTTTCCGGGCTTAACGCCATCTACCAAAACATCTCCATAGATGACACCAATGTTCTTTCTGGATGCCAAGACATCGAGGAGTGTAGTTTTTCCAGCGCCAGATGCTCCCATCAAGGCGGTCAGTTCGCCTGGCTTCACATATCCCAAAACGTTGTTGAGAAGACGTCGAGTACCTCCAGGAACAGGGACATCATAGTTGAGGCTCTCCCAAGTCAAAACGCTAGTCGAGTTAATGATCAACTCAGAACCTGCCTCATTAGACCTGTCCTTGCGCTTGGCCTCACGCTTCTCAGCCAAGGCCTCGTTCAGTTCGTTCCGCTCCTTGTTGGGCTTGGCATAAACCTTGGAGCCATTCCCTCCCATGCCAAACCTGACGACCTCACCAAGGAGTACGTTCAGGAAGAGGAAGAAAATAATCAATGCCATGACAATGCCCCAGTTGCGCCACAAGTCACCAGGAAGATATGAGAAACCTTTAGAAATGTAGTCTCGGCCGCGGACAAAAGTTGTGCCAGCGTTTGCACCAGGTAGAACACAGACTTGATGATTGATGTCGGTATACTCAGGGCCAGATGGAATAAGCGATTCTGCAGTGCAGGTGAGGTCAATTCGTTGAAACTCATTCTCCATCAAAGAGCTAAACGCGAGACCCAAAACATTAATCCAATAGATCCAGCGAAGCCAGACTTTTTCGGATTGATACTGAATGAGATATCCAGAAGTTGTGATGAAGAGCGTGATAATAACGACTGCAAACTTGATGGCAGAGTCGAAATCTGGGCTGACACAGCCAAGAATTCGGAAAAAGAGCGTCATTGCAATGTTACCAGAGAGAATCATCAGATAGAAGGTGAAGAATGCACCAGCATCTCGGACTAGGCCTGTCATAAAGTAAACGATTATGGAGAACAAAAGGATTTGACTTGCTGCAAACGCCTGATCCACAAAGATTTGTGCAATCCAGAGAGCCGAAGGCCGATGGAATGCGTATGCCTTGTGCCTCATGACCAGTGGACGTCCTGTCATTGTTCCTCCCAACTCTGAAAAGGCCTGGAAAGCGTTAAACAGAAGCGCTACAAACAGCAAGCCACCCTTGCTGAAAGCACTGGCAGAGGTTTGACCAAGATTGAGATACAGGGTACCGAGAACGATGGCGACCAGAATACTGCGGGTCCAGCCGACGAAAAGGTTGAATCGATCTTGGAGCTTGAGAATAAACTGTCGCTTCATGATAGACCAGACCTGGATATGGAAACCAACTTGATAGGGACTTCGCTTGGACGTGCCGCGCTTGCCTTCCTTGAAGGCAGCCAAGAAATCGTCGTGCTTTTGCTTTTCATTTTCAAGATTTGCCTTGTACTGGGCAATTTCGTCTTCAATCATTTTCTGATAAGGTGATGCCTTGAATGCCTCCATCAGCGTATCCGGACTGTGGGGAGCATTTTCTGCAGATCTTCCAGGTTGGTATTCACGCTCGAATTCGTCGGTGCAGCCAGTCACGTAGTCGGGCGTTGTCTGTCTAGGATGCGGCAGGAAACCAAGGCCTTCAAAGTAGGCACGTGCATCCTTTGCGGGACCGAAGTAGACTTGTCGTCCTTCATCAATAACAAGGACTTTGTCGAAGAGCTTGTACATGTTCTCAGAAGCTTGATAAAGGGAGACGAATGTACAAGTTTTGTAGAGATCCGTCTGGATCCTCAAACTCTTCGCAAAGTCAAGGGCGGTACTGGCATCGAGACCACGAGTGCTGTTATCCCAAGAGAGAATGCAAGCGTTCGTAATCATCATTTCTGCAATGGAAACACGCTTTCGCTCACCACCAGAGACACCACGAACAAACGCATCACCAACAACAGTCTTCCTAGTATGCTCGATATTGAACATCTTTAGCAGTAGAGTGATGATGTGCTCCTTGAACTCTGTCTTGGACATATTACCCGGTCTCTTGGCAGGCATCTTGACATCCAAAGCGAATCCCAGGGTCTGCTCCACAGTCAATGTAGGGTGGTGGACATCGTCTTCAGCATTGTAAACAGCCTCGCCGCGGTATCGCTTGAACTCTTGCGCCGTCCATGGACCGTAAAAGACATCTCCATGGACTCCGCTGTATCCATATCGCTGGTTAGCAATGGCCTTGAGGAAGGTGGTGCATCCAGAACCCGGAGTTCCCAGAACCAGAATCATCTCTCCTGGCTTGCACACGCCCTGAAAGTTATCGAGCAACGTAGCTTCTGTGAATTTCGGACCCAGACCAACCATTCTAAGCAGTGGGGTGATGACGTTGAAGGTATCGATGAAGGCGTCAGGGAAGGTCTTGACAAAGTTGGTGAAGCCACCAATACCCTTGACGGTCAGGCCATCCCAACAAGTTCCGATATGCTTCGATCGAATTCCAGCCTCGGTGCTGGCGTCAAGGTCGCCTCGCAGAGCAGCTTCCAAGTCGAAGATGGAAGCATCATCATCCTCAGTTGCGATAGTAGCTCCCTTCTCGGGATCGGATGTGGATTGGTGCTTGTTCCTGCGACTCGCCCGAGAAACACCAGTGAACTCGCGCTGCAGGCCAGCAAAATGAGCCTCGGCTTGCTCAACAGAGACGCCCGTTTGAACCCTGGCAAGTTCCTTGGAAGAGCTGTCAGCTTCAACTTGAGTCTCCACAGAGGTTGAATCCAACTGCTCGCCAAGCTCTTTTGCCATTGCCGAGTTTGCTGTGCTAGGCAGCGACTCCCCATTGAGAGGGGCCTGCTCCCCAGCCATTGCGGTTACTGGTTAGAAAAGTTGTATAAAGTTAATGATAATTGAACGGATGAAGGTCGTCGTCGATATCGGTGTTGTCCAAAAAAGTACCAGGGGGGTACTCGCGTCGCTAGGAGTTGGTGAACAAATGATACTTTTGCTGAAGTGAATTGATAAAGTTCCAATAGTTCAGATAGAAATTATTATTTTGAGATTCTAACGATGAGTGAATGCGATTATTTCTTTGGTCGCTTATTTGATCAGAGATCAGACGGAGCAAAAAGAGTAAGCGGTGGGCTTGAGCGGTGTGATTCTACCAGACGAATAATATAAAAAGACAATGACACAATTAGTAAAGAAGGAGGATATCAAACGGTTGATGGAGAAAGACTCTCGGATGACAACCAAAATTGGTTATCAAGCGATGACCAAGACAACAAAACAACCAGCTAAACAAAACTAGGAGGCTTGGAGGTTTTATTCAGTTTCCTCACGGCTAAAGAAATGCGAAAAGCAAAAAAAAAAAAATCGGGCCTCCAGAGCACCAAGGGGATCTTTTGGCCCGCCAAGATTTCTGGGGCCAGATAACGGCATCCAACCTCACCCTATGACTAGGACAAAGCATTCTGACGTCCTTGCCGGCCAACTTCCTCATGGCCCACCTGCAGGGCGGTTGGTTGCCGCCGCTTGAGTTTGCCAGCACAGCTCGACCGTCAAAAGTCCGACGAGGAGGGGCAAGGCCGGAGCTACAGCCGTTCACCAAGTAAAACCCGGCGAGAAGAATCCACTCTGGACGCACAAATTGGGGGTACCGGGGCAGTGGGGTATTCCAGGAGAGTTGCAGGTTCTTGTCCCCGTACGGCTGGGCTAATATTGACCATTGCTATTACGAGTATCGCGTTTCCGCTACAAGTACGAAGTACGAGCATGTATACACGACTACGACGACAATGTTGCTGTCGAACAGTCACGCCGAAGACAGGCAGTCGGAATAACAAGGCTGGCCACGACCGTGGCCGATACGTGTTCCACAAGGCCAAGCTGTCAAACTTTGTCTTCTCCAGTGCTGGAGCAGATGAGGTGAGCAGCTCCCTATTTCATACTTTGGACCCGGAATGGCATGTTGAGCACGATATCTTACTAATAAAGGTTCATTTCCGAAATCGGAAATACGGAGTTAGAGCCGCCAGCCTCTCATCAGGCTGAGCTTATTCTTCAGATCACCAACTGCCATAATACCCGCCGTGACAGTCCCGTTGGTGGTAATTTGCTGGCTATCCAACTGATGGACTTCCTCGTGTCATTCTTGTACAGCACTGGACTGCGGTGATATCTTTGTGTGAAAGAGACGACAAACTATGGCATCGTGTTTGGGTCTTGATGATGCCCAAAACGGTAATCCAGCAGCACGATGGAGAATGGTGTGTAGCTAGTGGCGCTACTGTCTGGTCAGAACCGTGGGGCATTTAATAGTGCTGAAGCGACTCAGCAATTCCGAGCTTTAGAATTACGGAGACCCGAAGGCAAGGATCGCGCCCAGCTGAAGTGAATTTGGTGAGAAGTTGGCCATGGCAAATCCGTCGATAAACAGCCTACTCCCCAGCCTTTTCTCTTTTTTCTAAAAGCCACCCAAGCAGCTCCCTCTTCGTGGCGGCCCAGTCCAAGAAGCGGTCGAAGCAGCCTCAATACATCACCGCTTGCCCATCTCTAGCCCCCAAGATCATGTAGGGGTTGGCACCCATACTACAGACGATCCACTGCCCTCTCCTTTGATCGGATACGAGTATGCAACGACATGGAATGCAGTTTCAATCACCGCCTATGTTGATTCTCGCCATCCCCTCTCATGTCCTTTCTCAACTTGGAAGGATCACCGACTGTAAACCAACACGACTGTAACCCACTACGACCGATTTCTCAAGGGACGCATACTACAGTAAGAGTATGAATCTTGGATATGGTTGTTGAAATAGACCAGACCAGCACGGACTGCAAAATCTGTCTCGGAGTTCCGCCTCACGGCTTGGAGGGCGCGGCGCTCGGCGCTCGCTGGCTTCTTTTTTTCTTTTTTTCTACTTCTCTTCCTACCACCGGAGCTGCGGCCCGCGCCCCTGTTGGCCACGCCGTTCGTTGTTTGCCCCGTTTTGGTCCGCCCTGGTGCAAATGTGGTAAGTGGTTACAAACTGCCATGAGGAGGCTGAGACACTTGTTCAGCCGCCCCGTTCTTGGCGAAGCAATGCACATTGTATGGGTGTCTCATACAAGCGGGTGATGTCTACGGCACAGGCATCACAATTATTAACACCAGCTCCTTATAACTTTTACGTGTACACTTCTTTGTGGCGCACGAATTCGGCCTCCTCCGAGCTAGTTCAGCAGATGGGCCCATTCATAAAGACGGCGGGCGCGGCACCCCCCGACCCTGGATTCCTACAGGCTGAGGTGCCGATCTTGGAACTGAAAATTTCGACTCTTGGGTGGCGAGCTTTCCCTCTGTTGGAAAATGCAAGTCTTGGACTCAGGCCCCCCCGGCCATCATCTCCGCATCAACAAACACCCTCAGCTCAACAGCGAAGTCAGGTAAACCGAGCCGTGTCATGATTTAGAGCATACGAGTACTCGTAACATGTGGACGAGTAGATACGTGGAGTAATAGTCGGGCTCTTGTTCGCGCTAGCTTTCGTACTACGCTCTCCACCCGCCGTCGGTTAATATCCATCTGCTCGCCGGATGACTCCCACTTGAAAACTTGAAGGAGGCGGCATAGCGTTATCCCACTTGTGACTAATAACAATCCTCAAGTTATACAAGTGGCTCCAAGAAAGGGAGGGTTTATACTTGTATGCAGGCACTTGTCAGCAATTGGCCTCACGGGTAATGGCATGTCTGCGTGACATCAAAGAAATGGACAACAAAAAAAAACCTTATTCATCCTACGATGCAGTATCATCATGGTATCGGAATATTTCGAACAAAGCCATGGATCAGATATTGACTGTCGCCTGTGATAGGTGCAATCCCCAACTTACATGGATCAAACTCAAGAAGCCTTGGAGGACCTGGCCCATGTCTGAAATATCTAGATAAAGCAAAGCTTCCGTATCTCGTAACCCAGCTCTTAATTCCATTCTTAATTCCGTCAACAATCACAATCCCAACTGCAGGACGGGTTCTCTCAAAGATCGGCCATACCAGACCCCACACGGCAGAAACAAGCAGAGAAACGCAATGGATGGATGAATGAATGCTGCCCCTGCAATTAACACATTGCGAAATAACACTTTGTGCGGATATAGAGTGCACGGATGTAGAGCGTCTATTTGACGCAGTAGTTCCATTACCACCTTGGCACGAGAAGAGCACGTCCTTGAGTCTGATGGCCGCAATCCGTCCCGCTTTGGTATCGAGTGATCAAGGAATGAAGACCAGGGTTGTCAGCGCTGCAGCCCCAAATGTCAAGAGTGCAACATATCACCAACCATTACCGAGCAACAATACATGCATGCGGCTGTGCTCACACCTACATGTACAAGTACCTGCTTTATTTCTTTGTGAAGATCAAGATACGAGAAGAAGGCGGAAAGAAGTACAGCTCCAAACTCAAGCGCCGGCGCTATTATCCCTTACATATTGCCCCTTCCGTCATTATATCTCAATGTATGGACAAGGCAGTCAATTCGTGGAACTCCGCCGTCGAGTGGATCGAATATTCTGCAGATACGGAGACATTTAGCATCATTCTTCACCGCAACCCGCGCGGCAGACAAAGAAATTACCCGGAGACATAAAACAAAGAAGACAAACAGAAATCTCCTGAGAGGGGCGAGTGAAAGTCGCGTGTTTTCGGCTTTGGTCTTTGCCGTGTGACTGAGTGTGTGCCTCAATTTTGTCAGAATCATTTGTAGACACCCCTCGGAATATTAGACATCATCATTATTCAGCTTCTGCATCGGACGACTAATGCTTAGTTATCTGCTCTGCGGAATTCCGACCTGATATGTCAATGTGACCATGTAGGAAATCCAGCAATTATGCCTCTTTGTTTAATCTCGTGACAGCCTCCTTGACTTGTTAACCAACGAGCAGTGCAGAGTTCACGGCTAAATGTCCACCTGTAGTATCTCCATCTACCTCACTACACGAGTCGCTGCCATGACGAGAAAACGGGCCCCTTCGCCCCCTTCTTTTGGCTGAACAGGCCGGAGCTCAAGTTTGTTCCCGGATGTTGCTATTCATATACACACGTGGGGTCTTAAAATGCTCCAAGAATGCCGGAGTCTGCAGGGCAAAGATGCTCCCTTGCGTTGCGGCTACACCGAATAGACGTGTGCATTCCAAAAACCACTCACGAATAGCTCCCAAAGGTCTCCGTATTGCTTGTAGCAATCAGCTCCGAGTTAAAAAAGTAAATCGCCGGCAGTCAAGAATCCTAACCAGACTCTAGGGAGACAGTAGTCAAGAGGATGCTGATTAGCAATCATGTTTAACCACGGCACGTCGTATCCCGAAGTGTACCGACTAAAAAGGGGAACTGCCAAGTTACCGAATGCATTTGCTTCAGTACATACTATCACGCCTTTTCGTAGAGATACAGTTCCACACATTGCGTCTCAGCTCCAAGCACAGGCAGTGGCAGCGTCTGCCTGTGCGACTCGGTCCAACCCTGGTCTGATAGGAGGCCGAAGAGCGCTTCCTCCGAAGCGTGCCGCGGCTTTGTGGCCAGAAAGACCTTTGTAGACTGCGGCTGGTCACCGGCCTGTGCCGTGTTGGATTCGTGCAACGCGGAAAGCGTCCCGACGAGCGCGGGAAGCATGTCCACGTTATAAGTGCAGTCACTGAGTAGGACAAGGTCCCAACGGTGGCTTTGTGCTTCTGGGCCAAACGTTCCCTCTCGGCCTTGTTCCCAGTCGAGGTTCTCGTAGAGGAGCTTTACAGGGGGTGCAGTGTTGGACTTGTGCTCCTGTCGGGCTTGAAGAAGCCGGGACATGTTTGATCTAGTTCGACTCTCCGCTTCCTCCAAGTCCGTCATGAGAATAGTACATCTACGGCTAGGTGGCGGCCGTGTCCTTGGAAAGACGACACTCAAGCCTCCTCCGAGAATTCCAACGCCGCAACCTAGCTCCAGCGCGTTTATAGGCTTTGTCCCGGTGAATAAACTCTTCAAAGCTTTTAGTCCAGAAGGCTCTGTGTCCGTTGGCGTCGGCAACATGCATGACTCGGCAATTGCACAGAATGCAAGCACGCCAGCATCCCAAATATGCCTCGCAATGCTCTCTCCAATTTCCTCTTCGAATTCGACGTATGAATCCTGTTCAGTGGTCCCGGGTAAGGATAATCTTCTTGTAGAAACCTCAACCTCGCCCCCATCGTGTTTCAGAGTAATCCAGACTGGCATTACTTGTCCAGCCGGCTCCTCCTCTGAATCAACTGTGGTGGCCAGAATATCGCGTACTCCACGCGCGGAGTATTTCTCTGTGCTAATGCAGATAGCGACTTTGCATTTTGACTTTGATGCTTGTTGTATAACTCCAGAGATGTCAACGGAAGGCTTTGCAACGCGCATGCCGGATCGCCATTGTAATTTGCCTGTCCCCGGCAAGAGACTTAATGGGACCTTCGTTCTGGGCCCTGAGTCAGTGCTTATTTCGGCATGGATTGTCAAGTCAATTGGTTCGTCTGGATATAAAAACGAGTCGCCTAGATCTGTAGTTATTGTGAAGACGAGATCTAGCGTGTGCTTTTTTCCCGAATGAGATTGAGCCGGTGATTTGAGCAGTCGTATGTAGTGCATTATTGCCGAAATGCTTCGCTATATGCCCCGAGTACAGCATCTATCGCCTCTTGATAATAGTGTGCACTCTAATGACCATTAGCAGATGCAGGGCACGTATGCTGATGTCAAGTTGGCGACTTTGAATGAAGATTTGTCTCAACGGAATTTTACTGTTTGCTTAGTCATCCACAAATATGGCAACCAGGATGCTGTAGGTTATATCGGGATTTATTTTGTATAAGCCATCAAACCCTACTTTATGTTGTTCAGGTCAAAAATAGAGATTACCAAGTGCCGATCTGGGAAGTCTCAATTCATTCCATATATGCGGCGGATTTCATCAAAAACTGAGAGGGGCTGTCATGCATCTGACCGTACGAGGGACACAGAACCTCCTGAAAGTCATATCGATCTCCAGAGTGTCTCTCATCATGCACTATTATATTACACACGGGCGTAGCTAAAAAATGCCTACTTGAGGCTAGGAAGTATTGGTAAAGTTGGGCATATAAGTGGAATGACTATGCTGAGGTTCAAATTAACAGCCCCTCAATTTACTGTAGAGAGTAGTCTAGCTAATAAGCAGCTCTCACGCAGCACAGGCTTCATCTAGTTCAAAAAATATCCCAACAGTTGTTGATGTTGTGGAGGAAATTGCCATTCAAAGACCCGTGGTAACTATGTGTAGAAAGCCTTCAGTACCAAACTTCTGGGCCTAGACCTGTTGACCAGGGGGGAACATACAGAGGCCATTCACGGCCATGATTTTACACAAATTAGATGTAATTCTGGTTCGTTTGACTGTTAAATACCCCACGTAAGTCTAGAGATACGATCAGCTTCCGGGGACAGAATTTGATAGACCTCTTCCCGTGGCTATTTTCTGGTTTGAAGATATGAGCTTGGATCAATGCATAGAGGCGCTGGGCAAGCTTCTTCGAGATGTTGCTCCAGGTCGTCGGCTCTGACACCGATAGGACAACCAGTTGTATCCGAACGGCTCTGCCTTAGATGTTATTTCAGGTACGTAAGTGTATTGAGCCTCAGAAATAGGTGTGATTTAAAGGACCTAGATATCTATGATGTAAGGACACATGAACGAGAATAGCGTATCGGGGGTGTCAGGAGAGTGTTCTTATGTAATGCACAAAGTCTAAGGACTTTCTTTTGCGCTCTTATGAAGACTATGTCCATGACTGCCGACATCTTAGCCCATTGTTATATGTCAGTACAATGTCTCGAGGTTTGCAAACATCCGTTCTGGAGTGATTTACACAGCAAAAGATTGTCGGTAGTTACAAATAACTATTTGGTGGTTTGAATAGATTTAAGTAGTCATATATGATGTGATGATGTGATGATCATACTCGGCCAGCTCCGCCTAACCTTTTAGGTTGTTGCTGAGAAAGCATGCCAACGTCGTCCTCTAGTGATCCATCGAGAACAAGGGATATATACGCCCTAATTAATATCCGTTATCGCTAATATACAGAGAATCTATGCTCGGAGACCTTTTATCCCCCGGCACTGCGCGTGAATGATCAAGTAGCGGTGTGCGTCTATTGATCAAGTACTCCGTTTCGCTAGGAGGATTGATACTCGAGCCAAATTGCGCATTGAAATCATTCAGCCGAATCCGCGCACGATCTTTCGCTTTCTCTACACTCTCGGCTTCCCCGAAGCAAAGCAGCGAGCGTCCTTCAGGTATTTCCGAGTGGCCAAGGAAGCGCTTCATACTATAATTGTAGTCTTTGGGCATTTGCTCGCGAACAGATGCCGTAGCATAGGCACCTGTATCGTGATAAACATGTATTTGCTCATCAAGTCTGATCGCATTCTCCCTGCGTGCACTCGATATGGAGATATCGTTCTTCTGGTATTCCAAGTTTTCATGCTTCTCTATATTCTCTTCATAGCTCGGTAGAGACTTCAGGGCAAGATGAAGCAAGTGCCTTGCAACATGGTCTGACTTATTGCCATCAACTACTTCAATGCCACATAATGGACAAGGTTTGAACATTGAACTGATCGGTCGCGCATTTCTGTTGGCAATGATATTTAGCTGCGCATTCGTGAATTTGTCTGGATGAACGTCTTTCATGTGGTTAATGTATTCGCTCTTCGTGGCGCTTCGGAATTCTATGTGAGCTTTGGATATACAACGCCATTGCATATAATGCGAAGACATATGTTTAAGCCATGTGCTATGATTGTACAATTCTTCGGGCGATTCGCAGCCCTCAAATAGGCAGACATATGGATCGATATCATTCTGAACATGTAATCTGCGGCGGTTAGTATCTTTCTATGATAAATTAGGCTGATTAGAGTACTAGGATACGGATCCAGCGATGATATAAGACTTACTTCCACTTATTGTCATCAACGGCATCCCGAGCGGGTAGAGTTGAACAACAAAAAGGACAATCGACTTCCCGTGCCGCCTCGACAATTTCATTCCAGTCATTCTTCAGGATATCCCTGTATTCTTGACTAGCTGTTAGATCAGCGTGCTCGTTCTCTTGGTCAATATTGTACTCTTCTCCTCGTTGTTTTTTTAACTTGTTGTATTTCCGCATAATATTGCCACAAGGGGCGGGCGGGAACGGAATGTCTCCATGATCGCCTATCTCAGCAGTCAACGCCACAGGTATTGACGGGTTTCCAGCTTTTCCCAGGAATTTATCAAAATGAGATCTCTGATAGAGAATCCTTTTGCAACGCAAAAGCATAGTGCTTGCGAGACGTTGCTGAATAGTTGCGCTTATTCCAGGAAATTTATCACATATCTGATGAGAGAAGATCTCTTTTAAGTCGTCTCCCCCATTGTCTTGAATCTGAAATCCCGCCACGGCTGGGGAATTCTCCGCCTCTCTGCTGGCTCTGTGAATGATATTCGAGAACTTGTGAAGAAGCGCAATTTGTTTTGCGATGTTTTGAAGAGCCGTATTAAACCGCGCATCTATAGCAGGTGGTGGCCTATCTAATATCACTGGACTGCAGGTCTTCAGTATCAAGGTACCTAAAATGGTGCTTCTCAGTATCTAAATGAATCCTTAATACTCTTCTTTTATGAATATATAGCAAGAATAATTGACTAGGTATTTACCTACACTTCAGAATGCGGTAATTTAATGCCTCCACGACCCCCATAATGGCATCCTGGATGTCGAACACCTCCCGCAAACAATCGTCCAATGATTCTCGACCTGAAGCGAATACTTTGAAGTTGGCAGTCCAGAGGGAGAATTTTGCAAGCTGATTCTCTACCAATGCTAACTCTCGAGCATGAATAGATGCAGCTGCAGGAAGACATTGCTGAAAAGACTCCATACATTGCGCAGCACATCCCGAAATAGTTTGCTTTGTTGGTGCCTGATTCAGCGAAGCCATATCCGGCTTCACATGAAGATACTTCTCTTGCGAGGTGATGATGGCGAATCTCGAGGGCTAATACCAGAGCAACGTGCATTCAAGTTCGGCTTTGTGATGATGTCGACTCCACTTGGATTCTGCAATACTATGCTCCTTATCTGCTTTGGGTAAAAGTACTAGGCACCCCATCCAACAACTGGACAGCTATGCAGCAAAGTCAAAATAAATATGTATAGAGACAAATTTATGATACTAGCAGTGAGGCTGAAGAGGTTATCCACGAATGAAAGCATAGATAGGTACCTACTACAGATACTACCTAGCAATCATGTGTTGTTGGTCCTTCCCCGCACGTCTTTTATTACATGCATGTAGATTTTGACGCCTTACGGACAGGCATCCATCAGGCTGTGGTTATCTTCACACAAACTTTACCTTGCAATCTTCTGCGAACTACCATATACACTCGAGCGGATACAAGGATCGTATCATACAAAGATTAGCAAGTTTGTCAACTCTACCTGCATGTTGAAATCCAGTCTTGATAGAGTCCCCTAGAGGGCGAGATGGCTTCATCCTCTGCGCCTACAGATGTTCTTAATGGTGTTCAATTGTTGATCACAGCATCTGAAGCAATTCTTGGTGCTGCTAGAGCCCTGAGAATGGAAGAAAAAGATGGCGAGCTTAAGGTGTTTTATGCGGACGTCACAGCCTATTGTGCCATCGTGAATTCCAATTGGAAGCGCGTAAGCAAGGCAGTGTATGGAGTTGACGCGGATCTCATCTATAGAACTTTAGATCACCTAGAATCTGCAATTGCACCCGACATTCCCGATCACTTCCTCCGTGAAGCACTTCCGAGTGCTTCACATCATGGGAAACTGCGCGCATTCAGTCGGTATTGGGGTGAACGAAGCGACAATAATGCGATCCTCCGATATATCAGATTTGGAGCGAATATGGAAGAACGCGACCAATTCATCCAATTGTTGGCTGAGTGTGAAAAGGAACTTGGAGTACGGTACCCTGAAAACGAATATGACTGGACACTCGAAGAACTTCCTACCAACGAAAACGCTGGGCCATCATCCTTCGCCGTGTGGAATGCGGCGCAGTCCATCTTTGAGGTTCTTGTTGCTTATAGCAATTGCGATTGCATACCTACTCATGAGGCTCAGCTTCGTTTAGGTACCCACCGAAAGAACACAAGTGGAGAGGCAAATATGGACGAATGTCTGGACTTCGATATGTTTCTTTTCATGAAACAGGGCTGGAGAGAGACGCATGTTCTCATGGCGAAAGAGATAAAGGAGAGTGTTGTACAATTTCAGGCCAATGCCCCAATAAAAGAGCCCAAAGGAAAGAAAAATGGAATGAGGCTAAAACAACTATGTGAGCCAATTGGGAGGCTCGAACATCGACTTAATCTCAAAGTTACCGGAGGCCAGATATTTAAGCTACAATCCAAAATGAGCACTTTTCTCATCGACAGAGCGAGGAGCCCTATAACGTTGGAGCAGTTTCTTAGGAAAGGATCACATCCTTTCACTGAGAAGACAAAACGCATTCTTGCTGTGATGCTCAGCTACGCTGTCCTTTATCTACACGATACTCAGTGGCTGCAACCCACATGGAGCTCTTCGCACGTCTTATTTCTCCCCACAACCTCTTCATCCATCCCTTTACAGCCATTCATCCAAACTCATCTGATAAGTCACTCCAAATCCGACTGGGATTCATGCATCAGCCCAGAAGTTACCGAACCAGACGGCCTAGATCCTGATGATTTACTAGTACATCGCTGCCCTCTTCTAGTCACACTAGCGGTGATGCTCATGGAACTTTACTTTGCTGTTCCTTTCGATATCTTGGCCAAGCAATACGGTGCGGACCTCACAGATTATACTCAATCACCAATCTCTACACCGAGGTATCTAGATGTCATTCTAGTGTACGAAGCATGCAAAGGCGAGATTCCCGAGAGCTACCAATTTCACTATGCTGTGAAGAAGTGCCTAGATCCCGCAACCTGGGAAGACGAAGACGAAAATAAATTGGATAGCGAGGCACTAGTATCGAAGATATATCAAGAAGTCGTCAAGCCATTAGAGACTGAACTATGTCAAGCTTATAGCGAAATCTCTACTATTAATCTTGACGAGTTTGCAAAGACCATTGACATTGCGAACTGGGGCCCAATTGTACGGCAGCGAGTGCAAACTAAGGCATCAGAGGGCGACGCGAAGAATCATGAACAAACTCGTCTTCGTAAACGAGCTAGATCTACACCACCAAGTTGCTCTCCACGATCTTCTGTGGGGGGTTTCTCCAGTCAACGTTCAGCAAAACAGCCATGTGTTTATAATCTAAATGTTGCTCCTGGCTCTATATACGATGCACCTCGAGCAGCGATGATAGATGATAAATACCGAGCTTCTAGATTCTTTGATGACGAAGTAATCGCCGAGGCCTGTATAGATCGAGAGTAAGTGATCAAAAGATTGTCTACGGAAGTCTCTGTGTTGCTATAAACCAAATTATGAATATAGTAAATAGGGGGCTGCTTTTATTAGAGGGATTTCTAACGTGTGAACCTGCAGGCTCTCAAGTTATCGACGCTGGAAGTTTCGATATCGAGAAGTCTACGACAGATTCATTCCACAGAGCCCAGCCCCACCCAGCATCAGGATTGCCATTCTTGACACAGGTATCGATATACGGCATCCGGATATTGCTGCACGACTTGAAAATATTCAAGACAGGTATAACTGGATCAAAGAGGATGGAAATATGGACAGGAGTGTTGTGTTTGATCAGAGTGGCCATGGCACGTTCGCGGCGAGCTTGATTCTCGATTATGCGCCTGATGCTCAGCTTTATGTTGCCAAAATAGCTGACAGCGAGCCATCAACGGCCAGCCTGATTGCCAAGGTAAGTTTCTGTTACCAGACGCTGTTGGGATTCGCCGGGGTTAAAATTCGCTCTAAACTCGCACCTCAGGCTATTAATTATGCGGTCTCTACCTGGAAAGTAGACATCATCTCAATGTCATTTGGCTTTCCTGCATGCGATATGTACGATTATCAAGAACTTGAAGATGCCCTTGCAAACGCTCAAGCGAAGCGCGTATTGCTTTTTGCCGCCGCCTCGAATAGCGGTGGGAGGCAGGGCCACGCATACCCAGCTCGTGACCAGAATGTTATTGCCATTCATGCGACCGATACATATGGTAATCCGTCGACATTTAGCCCTACAGCGATTGGTCACGATGATAACTTTGCAACGGTCGGTCAAGCTATTGAGTCGGCGTGGCCAGTGGATCTATGTGATAAAACATCCAACCCCCAGTCTCTTCAATGCAAATCTGGCACGTCGTTTGCGACACCCATTGCAGCTGGGATTGCAGCTTTCCTCTTGATGTATGCAAAGATACACTTTCCAGGTAAAGCTAATGCGTTGAAGAGTCGGCAGAGGATGCAAGCGCTGTTGAAGCAAGTGGCCGAGAAAGAGGTGGGACAGACATTGAGGGGTGGTTATCATTTCATCGATTTGAGCATGAATCCAGATAGTTTGTTCGGCAAGCCCAAGGATTTCATAGATGCGACGATCAGGAATATTTTGAATACCTAACTGTTATCGAGCACGAAGAAAACAAGGGCATCAATCTTTCCGTAAGGCTAGCGGAATTGCGACAAACTATACCGAGTACATCAATTAATTCATATCCACGAAATAAGGGGTGTCACGCTTCCAAAGAAAATGGTTGATGATTCTAATGCCATATTCGATTTCGGATGTATCCCTCTATATCTAGGTTCTATGACTAGATCTATACCATCTGCAACACCCTCATTTGCGCCATCATCTAGTCGACCTCATCAGCCCACTGCGCCGGGGCTACAAAGGCTCCATCTGGGCCCAAAGTCCCCGCAACAAATCTTGAGTCAAAGTTAGTGATGGTATTTGAGAAAAGGGATTGGTAAACTTGCTTGGTATGACTTCCTCTCGCAGCAAGCTGGCCCTTGCTATTGTAGAACTGTACGGTTGTGTAGGCGAGCGTCTTTCCGACTGTTATGAACCATTAGAACCAGCCACAATCTTATTTAGCAATAACCACATACTCTTTTCACAGATAGCCGTGCCCTTGAGGACATCACCCGGTCGGCCTCCGGGGCTGAGATAGGTCACTAAGTGAATGAGGTCAATAGTGTGAAAACTTGTATCCAGAAAGAGAGGATGCCTTTACCATTCAAGTCAGTCGATACGCCTGTTGCAAACCTTCCAGTGGAAGCAACTGCCAGGGATCCCCCGAGATCGACGAGACTAGCTATAGTTCCGCCATGGATAGTTTGGAGTCGGTTCTAAAGGGACAAGTTAGTGAGATGTCTTTCAAGACACAGAGGGGTAAACTTAAAGTGTGGTCTTTATGGATGTCAACTTCAAAGTCAACTCTGCCCTCAGAGGCATTTATCACCCGAAACTAGAAAGTCGTGTGAGCACCGACTGAGGTTGTTGGCCGATCTGGAATGCCCATGCATACCCGGTTCTGCAGGAGTCTTATATCCCGTTGTTAGTGGCTTTGCCTCGGCATATGGCGCTCTCATGGGTTTGCTCATACCTGGGCTCCAGGCCGGATTCGGCCATGAAGGACCGCATGACGGCCTTTGTAAAATTGAAAGGAGAAAGCTTTCTGGTCATGATTTTCTTTGATCTGACTCAATTGATTGAATATTCTTTAATGTCGCTGTTGGGAACTGAGATGGGCTCAATTGCTAGTTTGGACGACATTACCCGTTATCGCTCGGCTTAGCCGATGATGTGCCGAGAAGGTGTGACGTAATCTTCACGCGCCGCGCTTCAAGATCGTGAACCTCCAAAGATCAGATCATGAGGCAGCAACATCGAACATACTAGGAACCTGTATCCGCCTTTGGACGGATCACGGCCTCCCCATCCGCCCAGCATGTCTGTAAACCCTTCCCTCCACCTCGCCGAATACCTGGAGAGGCTGCCTGGTACGACGTTCAAGAAATTGTACCAGCAGCCCTCTACAACGTTTGCTATTTTTCGGCGCATGCTGCCGCATCTAGCAAAAACATTTGTCATGAGAATGCTTTTTCTTCCCCATCCGATGACTCTCACAGATCTAGACGCATGGGTGAAGCCAGAAGCCAAACGGTTCGATATGCTTTGCTCTGTGGCCACCACGCGTAGCGTCTAATGTTGGTACAGGAAGAAAGACCAGTCCCTCTCCATCCTGCGAAGCCTTCACATTGTCCAAATATCCGCCCCGTCAAAAGAGAAGCCGCAGGAGATTCAGCTCATGTCCAATTTCAAGAAGTCTCTACGGCTAGCCCTCACTGGCGGTGGAAATCACAATTCCTTTGGCGTGCCTTCTTCCCTTCTCGTCCCACCCGAGATCGACTTGCCGTTCCTCGATCGATATGCACGTAAGAAGTGGGAGGATGTGCTACATTTCGTTGTATCTAGTGTCGGTTACAAGAGCAGCGTGGGCGACGGCTCTGGACCGAATAAGGGCGTGAAGGAGCTTCTCATCGCGGGGCGGTTAGTTGACAGGCGGCCGAATGGAAGCCTGGGCATCACGCAGGCTGGCTTCACTTTTTTGCTGCAGGAGGCAAACGCGCAGGTCTGGACGTTACTTTTGCTGTGGCTGGAGGTACTGGGCAATAACAAGGGCTCTGGGCTGGATCCGGTCGACATGCTTTCGTTCCTCTTCATGCTTGCTAGTCTAGAGCTAGGGAGGGCGTACGATACGAATGCGCTGACCGAAGAGCGACGGAATATGCTTCCTTCTCTCGTCGATTTCGGCCTTATTTATATCCCCCAGCATAAGCGCTCCATGTTCTTCCCAACCCGACTGGCAACAACCCTGACGAGTGGAGGGAACAGTTTACGGACAATCAGCGAGGGCGTCACAGCTGCTACTCAATCAGCCCAGACTTCACAACAGGCCCTTGGTCCTCTGGGTGGCAGCGGCGGCGAGCAGGCTGGAAGCGTCGTCATTGAGACCAACTATCGCCTTTATGCCTACACCCAGTCCGCCCTGCAAATTGCCGTCCTCGCCCTCTTCGCCAAGCTTAACATGCGATTCCCCGACATGGTGGCCGGGCGCCTCTCCCGCGCATCTATCCGCCAGGCCATCAACTTTGGCATCACGGCCGACCAAATCATATCCTACCTTGCCGCTCACGCCCACGAGCAGATGCACCGCACCGCTGCGCTGACCAACAAACCCGTATTGCCCCCTACCGTCGTCGACCAGATCCGCTTGTGGCAGCTCGAAAACGAGAGGATGAAGACGACGAGCGGGTTCCTGTTTCGGGATTTCACCGATGATAAGGACTATCTCGATACAGCACGTTTCTCTGAAGAAATTGGGGTTCTAGTTTGGAAGAATGACCATGCGCGGATGTTCTTTGCCAATAAGCATGAACAGATTAAGGATTTCTTAAAGACAAGGAAGAGAGCAGAGTGATATCTTTTCCCCTCAGGTTTTTTTTATTACAAAATTACTTTCCCCTTTCTCCTTTAGTACCGACTGGCGGATACAAGGTATTGATAAATTCGTTTTAAATTGGCGTCAGGAGCATGGGGATATGAAATATAGGCGGAAGCATGAATCAATCAGAGCTCCCAGATGGGAACAATTACACACATTATCATAGACACGAAAAGTATATTAAATGAATCAGACATTTTCACAATCGAGTACCTCGAAACTTATGTACCATACAGTAGTTCTACATTGTCTGCCATACCTGTGTCCTTGCGATTCTTCCTCGTATCTCTCCAATTCAAGCATCAGCTACTTCAAACCATTAGACTCAATATTTTCCATGTATCCATTTCAGGGTCCCAATTTCCAGTTTTATTCCAACAAATACCTTTGAGGCCATTAGTGTATCCCAGGGTCATCTCCCCAAGATTTTCTTCGGTGAAGAGGGGGGAAACAAGAAAACGTCGTCAAAAAAGAAAGAAGAACAAGAGTAAGAAGAGGCGCCCCGTTAGGGCCGAGAGCCACTCTGTTATTGAACAATACAAGCAATTGAGACACGAAATGATGACGATTTTTCACGACATGGTAAGGCGCTTTCCCCGAGATGCTCTGGAAATGCTCCCAGAAAGAAAGCTCTTGCTCTTGTTGTCGTGATTATAGGAGCCATGTCGCAGTCCAGTCAGGCTGTGTCTTTCGCTCTTTCTGATAACCGAACTGCCGAAAATCTTAGCCATGAAGCCTCTCTCTTCCATGGAGCCACCCTCAGGAAGCAGAGAGGGTCGACCATGTCGACGAGCGTAAGTTTGCTGCCAGGCGTGCAAGGAGCGCCGTGCTTCGGTTGTGGTGCAGAGTGAATCGAGATGATCGAATATGCGACGGCATCGAGCCTCCTCTTCAGTTACTGATGGAGTATTGGATGAGGTCATGAGTGTCTTCAAAGCCGAAGTAGTGGTTGAAGTAGGGAGATGAGATGTGCGTTGGTATAGGCTGGTATAGGGAGTTTTTGTCTGAGCCGAAAAAGAGTCGGCCAGCGAGCGTCGAGATTCACGGGCATCTGCGGCGAGATTCTCAGATGAAAATCGGTCATGAAGGGCCACGAAACGGCCAGACCAGTAGGCCGATGATTGTGCGTTGCTAATCCGCATTGATGGAGTCTCAGAAGTGCAACTTTGAACCGATCTGGCCAGTGATGTTGTAGATGGTTGCATCAAGTTCAATTTCGAAAGCTGGGGAGAAGTTGCTGTTGTTCCAGTAGAAGATGGAGACATTTTGGCAGAAGTGCCATTAAAAGCAGAAGTATTGATAGAGCGAGTAGCCAACGACGGCCGTGAAATAGACGTTTTCAAGTCTTGGAGGGCACTCATAGTTCGAGACTTTGGAAGTTTATTGACCAGGCGCGGCGTTGGTGAATCTAATCGGGGAAACCCATCAGGCGCGGGAGGTATATTCTCATCTTGCTGAGTCACGATTGGCACTGAGATAGGCGTGGCCGTTGACGCCGTCTTGAAGTATGGTTTTGGTATGGATGAAGTTGATGATAGAAGGCTTCTCCGTAGCTTCTTTGAAGATTTTGGATCAGCGCCAGCTTTGATGGTTGGCTTGGCAGCGATGTCAAAGCTTTCGACGGTAGGGCTGCTCTGCAACTGCCCGCCACTGCGAAAACCTTCGGAGATGCACCTCAAGCTCTGCATTGGCAAACGGCTGTGACTTTCGAGAGTCGAGCCAGAGCTATCTGTTTCGCAGTCTTTGATGGCATCGACAATAATAAGCCTCTCGCTTCGGATAAGATCGGCACCTCTCGAGTTTTTGACAGGACCTATCGGCGCAGAGATGAGGGGTCGTCTATTTTTTCCTTGTCCTCGCATTTTTGTTCAATCCGTGGCAACGGCTGCCAAAGATGACGCTCTTGGTACTCTTCTTGAACGATTGTGGTTCAACGGATTACGGTGTGAACCCAGGTGTCAGGGGACATATGGTGGCAGTCAAGAAACAAAGGCTTTAGTCAAAGCGTCTGTGATAATCGTCTTCAAATCGCCTTAAGCATTTTCAGGATTAATAAGATTTCTTGGTAATGGTAATAAGCTGTTGTTTAGAATAGCTGAATCTGGTACTGGCGGGAAGAGCTGATGGCATACGAGAGGCGTAGACGATGATCACCTTTGCTCATGCAAAATGCCGTGAATGAACTGCGAAATGGATATGTGGATATGCCTCCAAATTAAAAAGCCAAGAAGAATGGTAAAATTGTCTCGAGAAAATGGCAGTGCCGTATCGTCAAAGCCGCAAACAGCAGATGGTGTTCGTGGTCAACGGCAAATCGCTTTGCTCCTTGGAAGCAAACAACGGAGGAGGCAAGAATCGACAAAGGGAAGGGCAGAAAAGGCCATCAAGGACGCGTATTTGTCCAGCACGTGTCGTATTTATGGACAAAGGGACGCGTGATTGGAAGCGATGAAGAAAAAAGAAGAAAGAAGAAAAAATAGTAGAACAACTGACGGCTGACAGATGCAGGCACCTCGGGCAGCTGCCAGGCAGAGTCCACCTTCCCACTGGCAGAAACTCCCGGCCGCGCAGTTATTCCGTGAGGCATCAACTTATCTGGCGCTTTATAACTTGAAGTTTATTTTAATTGAGTACCTCAGTATCAATAACATGAAGGTATCATAGACCCCCAGATGCCCCATCTCTCCCTCTGCCCTATGCATTGAAGCCGTTCTATTGCTGGCCAACTTCCTCGGTCTATTGCCACCGCTTGTGCCGACTTCCTTGGCTCTCAGTCCCGGATCACTATTTTTGTCGGTGTATTTCGCAAGATCTATCCATTATCCGTTATTTCCTTGGACAAAGAGAAATCGGCTGATGGCTATTCCTCCCAGCCGTCGATCTTGAAGCGAAAAGCAACGTCCCCTTCCCCTCGAGGAATCTCATTCCCATTGGAGTCCCAAAGAGCACGTTCGATATAAGTTGCGTTGCCCTCATTGTCGACCAATAGCACCGTCTGCCTCTGTGTTCCATACATGCCCTCCTCGAAGCCAATGGACGGGTGCGGGCTCGCGCTCGGTGTGACATCCGGCCTTGATTCCGCCTTGAGCTCTTCGATAGCCTTCAGGTCGTTCTTCAGATGCGCCCACAAGACACGCCCCTTTGCAGTGGCCTTTTGCATCTCCTCACGGTGGACGTCGTCGCCGATTGGCGGCACGAAGATGGTATGCCTCATCAGGTTCATGTACTCTTGTAAGCTTGACCCCGCAGGCCGCTTGGGCATGGACTCTGTGTCGAGAATTGAAAACAGACCTGCGACAAGGTCGTCTTCGGAGGCGTTCTTTGCTGCAGCGTCTTGAACCACTTCCTTCAGGAGGCGTTTCCCTGTAGTCACCTTGGGCCACTCGTTGGGGTCGTTGTAGACCGTGTTGCTGAGGCCCCAGACGCCATCTGGTGCCAATCCGACTATCGGAACGTCGCTCACATCATCAGCTCTGTTGCTCACGATGGCGATGCCTTCATTGTTGCGCCTCAGCTTGCCGCACACCATAGAAAAGCCTCCTACACCCTTGACACCGCCATCTTTGACAAGCTCGTCCACGCCCTTCTTGACTCCTCCATCCGGGAGTCCTCCGAGCCACATATTGACCATGCGACCCCGGCTTTTGATGCCATGTATTGGGTGCTCAGCATCATCGTCCACCAGTTCCCGGTAGTTGGTCAGCACAGCCAGGCTGCCGGTCTTTGTTATGCCTAGCCAAGTGCCTTTTGCCGCCCTCTGGAGGTCTCGCGATGAAAGAACCTCGCCGCCTGTCTCAGGGTGTGTCCACCAGTGCGGCCGTGACGTAGGCCTTAGGATGAACTCATCGCGATTGTCAATGAGAATGAGCGAGTAGCCGGGATGTGCGGTTGTGAATAGCACGATACACATTGTGGTGAATTTGCGTTGCTGGATATGTATGTCATGTACAGTATAAGGTTTGGTATGTTGTATGAAGTATGTACGTTGGTGTGGATGAAGACGCTGAAGCTCAGGCGATTGCCCCGTAGCTTTCTATTATAAGGGCGAAACCAATACAGTGCCGACGTCGGCGCCACAAGAACGAGGCTGGTTGAACAACGCACAAAACACGTCTAATACGAGCGCCTCCTTTAATCACAGACGCTTCGGGATATCGCCAAGTCCAGGGATTGGTGCCAACACATGCCACTTCAGACTGTCGCTCACATCATAAGGTCAAGTGCAGCAATGCAAGGCGTGGGCTGATGGAGCTGCGGAATCCGCCACCAACCGGCTTACGCTCAAGCCCCGCTGGTACGATTGCCGAGCCAATGCGCTGATGGACCATGAGATCGGCTGTGAAGGTTTGCCATGCGATTATATTCCGATGTGTACGAAAATGTGTAGGAATCATCGAATGGGGACCGGTAACGCCCTTTGCCAATACATTGCAGCACTCAACCTCTGCTCGCTTACACCGGAAGGCAAGATTGGGCGCTCAAAGCCGATCAACACGGCATTATGCTATTCAGCGCAACACGACGATTTCATATTCCTTAAAGGGATCTCAACAAAGTCTGTGCTTGAGGATCTAAGTTATTCACGGCCTCTATGCTTCCGTAGTGATTATTGTGACACAAAAGTAGGTATTGTGATTGCAGGGCTCGAGCAAATACATGTACCCTGCAACTGCACCCATGCGCTCAAGGGGTCATCCAAGAAGAAGAACCAATAACCCATGATTCTGTTCTGTAACAAGACATATGCAGCGCTTGGAGATCTCGTGACTCCGTAGATGCTTGAATTAGTTGCTTTCACCGTACTCTTCTGCGGGTGTGCCCCTCAGGTAGGTCGCAAGAACAATGGTGTTGATTGGATATCTTGTATCCACATAACGTTTCGAGAAGGTCTTTGAGAATATGAAAGCGACAACGAAGCACGGTCTCAGATGGGTTATGGTAATATTCTAAACAAAGTAATTAACACATTTTAAGTTCTTCTAACAATGGAGAGACCTGGAATTTGCGGGCGCTTCTGCTAGTCTACTAGGTATACGTAAGTTTGCCATGACGCTTAGATGTCTACTCGTCCAAAGCTCTTCAATCACACCTTTGTAGGTATTCAAAGATCGCAAAATGCGATAACAATGGGTAAAAACAGCATGCATCTTGATTGGCTTAATTGAATCTGTTAGCTTGTCTTTCATTGTTGTTTATCTTTAGTACAAGTGAGAGTGATGAGATGAAGGCAGATGGATCAAGCTTGAACATCATCCAGAGACTCTCCCGAATACAGACCCCTTTGTTAAAACCAATCCAGATTTTCTAAGATGCTCGAGTATATATAGCTGGAGTCTTCAGACTTCGTCGGAAATATTTCACCAGGCAACTCTCAATCTCAGTTACTTTGCCTCTATTGCAACAAACTCCTATATACAACAAGAATTATACCACTACCCTCTACCAGCCAGGCAGTTATACATCAACACCACGCGACAAATTACAACAATGGCTACACATGCAGATAAGATATACAAACTGGAACAGAAGCTCGAGAAGGAGACTCTCACATCTATACTAAAAGTTCTCACATTCATATGCCAAGAGACGGGCTCGACGACTGAGGTTGTGCCTGTTACGAGGCCAGACATAGCCTCAAGTTCATGGGTCTATCAGTACTCATACCGCGGAATTAACATTATCCAGAGGCCTGAGCCAGTGGGTTTCGCGGGATGGAGGGAATACGATCCGAACGACGGAGGCCGTACGTCCATTGTGATTCACTACTCTGCTGTCATGAACGGCGATCAGCGTTGGGAATTCCAACTCTCCATTTATGATCCCGAAAAGTTTTGGGAGTCTTTGAAAGCACATGGCAATGCAGCGACTGACTGCGAGGAATATAATAAGCTTCTTGCTACTCTCTGGTCGGAGACTTACAAGATTCCCTTTAAGAACAACAGAAGCCCGATTTCTGCTCGGATTACCAAAATCGAAACAGTGAACTATCCAAAGGCTGACAAATAAAAGCGACACTCACGCAGGAAGGGTAGTGGTGAGAGGCGACTTGATGGCGGTGGATGGGCTGTTTAAGTGTTTTAGATGTTTCTAAACTCACTTGATGGAATCTTTTTGGTGTCTGTCTTTTGGTGATATCATGTGTAGTTTAGGTCTGGCTCGTTGGATGGTACCTTTTCAACTTTTTATTATACAACTACCTAGAGTAACATGAAAGATGCGCCTCGCATTTCCCATATTAACGCTACGATGCTACGATGGAACGATTAAAGGTAGCAGTGATTTCTTCAGTAAAACATCGAATAGCAGACAACAATGTATTGCTCAGCAGTGGTTGAATAAGATGGTGTCAGAAAAGTGACTGCGCTTGGCGTTGGGCATATCAATACATGTGCGTCAAGATATCCACTGCTCCCCAGGCTTAAATCTCCTAGATCCGGGGAAAAGGGCGAGTGTCTCCCACGTGAGTGAAATCCTCCCTAGCAGCAACCAATCTGATTAGTTCAGGACGCAACTGTCATCCAGGTTGGGCCAACACCCGGACTCTCGGAGAGTTTATCGTCATGTAGAAAGCCTAGCATTGGTTTGAGAAGATACTCGTTTTATCCGTGTAGGTCAGTGCTTTCTCTTCTCCCTACCTACAATGACAACATCTGGTGGTATTGACGAGCCAAAAGGCATGCCGCTTCTCTGAAAGTAGATGCATTTGGACTGCACCGCTTGGGACTGCGCTCGATATTAGCCCATCAGTGCCTTTTGGCTAAGATTATTCTGCAGGGCCTGCGTTATTTGCCGACAAACCCTAGACCCGACGGCCAGGATGAAGTGCTGTGTGCTGGGCTTGTTGTGTTGCTTCACCGTTTGCCAAGAAGCCATGGATGCGGTTTGTGTGTGGGACAAACAACGGCCGCAACGGAGGATACGGGAGTGGTGGGGAAGCGGGCTTAATGAGCTCCATAGAGGCAGTGACAGGTGCCTCCCTGGTCTGTCCAGTGTCTGAAGCCTTAAAATAGGCACCTCGGCTTCTATGAGATCAAATATTGAATGGAGCCCGGAGGCCAGATTTATGAGACGATTACGGAGCACAGATAGAGCCATCTCTAACCAAGGTACTTGTACTCCGGCCAGCAGAGTATCAATCATAAATGACCGGCATCCGCGGACTCATTAGCAGTACTGGTACCTACCTGTTACTGTTAATCCAATCGCTCGCTCTCACATGTGCAGGCCACACCACACGTGAGCTGACCTTCCTAAAGAGAAGAGTAGACTATTGAATTCTTAAATTTTAGTCTGGTGTCACTTTGCAGCTTTCGCCCTTTCGGTGCGCTTCCAGTCGAGGCAGATGCAACGTTAGTGCATGTACCTTATGTTGGAACTTAGGCACGGCTGGAGCTTTACTTACCAGTGCCGTTTCAGTAGCTCCACAGCATCGTCCAGTTCCCCCGTCTCCGAGTCTGTCAATCAATTGAAGCCTTGCCCTCTACGAGTACTGTAGGTGTTGGGTAAGGAATGTTGTCGTTGGTCGATACCTAGAACCCTGGTACTTTGTGTGGTTGTACACACATGCGGCGAGTAGCATTCACAGGTACCAAGGCTCGAGGTAGCAGCCGGAATTGGCTCGGGCTTTTCTTCTTTCATGTGCTTACTTCAATGGCTTGAGGCCCGAGTACTTGCGGAGCTGCTGACCGGGGGCGCGCTGCCGTTGTACCTGCTTCAGCTTCTGGAGATGCCAATGCCAAGACAAACCCGCCACTAGTACGGAGTACGGAGGTGCGATGCTGCCAAATCGCCTCAAGGGCAAAAAGACCCTGCAGCTCTGCTCCTGTGCCGCTGCGGTTTCCTCTCGCGCTGCTGGCCTGCTGTCTTTGTCGTTGTCGTTGACATCCTTTGCCATTCTTTGCTCTGCAGTGGCGTTTCCTTGCTTGGCACTTGCTCATGTGCCCGTGATACCTCAGCTTCGGAGCTTTGCTAGGCCCCTCTGTCTGGGCCAATTCACGTGAGGGCTGGACATTCGACCTCGTTCTGCCTCTGCCTCTGCCTCTGCCTCTACCGCTGCTCCTGATCCCGAGCCTGTCCGCGTTGCCTTGCTCCGTCCGCCATCATGGCACGACGCAGGTATAGGCTGTTTATGGTCTGTGCCGTCGTCATTCTCTTCCTCCTCTACAGAGTCTCGCAGAACACATGGGAGGACCCTGCCCATCATGCCAGTCTTTACCGTCCTCCCACCTCGAACTCCCCTGCTGCTGCGGGAGTAGAGAGCCAGCCGAAGCCGCCTCCGAAGCCTGCGCCCGAGCCCGAGAATATACCTGAATCTAAGCCGAAGCCTCAGCCCGAGTCCAAGCTTAAGCCCGAATCGAAACCGGAGCCAGAGCATGCTGCTAGCCAGAACAATGAGGGCAAGCAAAGCAAGCCCGACGACGATGATGACGGGCCTGGCGTCAAAATCCCCAAGCTAAAGGAGCTGGACGATTCGAAACCGCAGGTCAATGGCAAGGCATCTGCCCATGCAGATGCGGAATCAAAGCCTGCAAACAATAAGATAGCCCCTACCAATGAGGATGAAGAGATTGAAGATATTCACCAGAAGAATCCGCCAAAGAACGCCCCTGGAGTGCCGGCAGACACCCGAATCCATTGGAGGCCCGTTACCGAGCACTTCCCTGTGCCTACCGAATCCATTATAAGCCTCCCCACGGGGAAGCCGCAAAAAGTTCCCCGAGTGCAGCACGAGTTTGGCGTCGAGTCACCGGAAGCTAAATCTACACGAGTCAGGAGACAAGAGCGTGTTGCTAAAGAGATTGAGCGGGCGTGGTCGGGCTACAAGAAGTTTGCGTGGATGCACGATGAGCTGTCGCCCGTCTCCGCCAAGCATCGCGATCCCTTTTGCGGTTGGGCCGCCACTTTGGTCGATTCCCTAGACACTCTGTGGATTGCAGGCCTCAAGGAAGAATTCGACGAGGCGGCCAAAGCCGTTGAAAACATTGACTTCACCACCACCCCTCGCAGCACTATTCCTGTTTTCGAAACGACCATCCGATATCTTGGCGGTTTGCTCGGTGCCTTCGATGTCAGCGGTGGCCATGATGGTGGCTATCCCATACTTCTGAAAAAGGCTGTTGAACTCGCCGACATCCTCATGGGTATATTCGATACGCCAAACCGAATGCCGATTCTATACTACCAATGGCAGCCAGAATACGCTTCGCAGCCTCATCGAGCCACCTCCGTCGGCATAGCGGAGCTTGGAACGCTCTCCATGGAATTTACACGCCTGGCTCAGCTTACCAGCGACTACAAATACTACGATGCCGTGGATCGAATTACTGATGCTCTGATTGAGCTCCAAAAACAAGGCACCTCCATTCCCGGTCTATTTCCCGAGAATCTAGATGTCTCTGGATGCAACCATACCGCAACTGCAGATCTACGCAGCTCACTTAGTCAAGCAGCGCAGAAGCAGATGGACCAAGACCTTTCTGAGAAGCCGGGTAATTTTATTCCTGGAAAAGGCACCAAGACCGAACCGCACAATGCTGAGAAACGCCCCGCGCAAGGTACCGACAGCAACGAGTTTATAGTTGGAAAGCTCAGCGCGGATGAAGCAATTGCAAAGTTGCAAGCCGCTGATGAGGCTAGGGCAAAGTCCTTGGGCAAGTCTACGGACAAGTCTACAGAAAAATCCGACGGCTTCGTTGTTGGGAAGATTGGTTCTGAGGCTCTCAGGGACAATCAGACACCCGCTGGCAAAACGGATGCGTCAGACAAGGGATTTGTCGTCGGCAAGATTGGAGCGGAGGACCCACGGCCTGACCAGAAAATGCCGGACACAGCTGGGACAAAATCCTCGGAATTCGTGGTCGGCAAGATAGGCGCAGAGGACCCACGGCCTGACCAGAAGATGTCAGACGCATCTGGGACAAAATCTTCAGAATTCGTTGTCGGCAAAATAGGCTCTGAAAATCCTGAATACGCGAAGCAAGGGCCCCGCGAGGATGATAAAACGGAAACTCGTCCGGTAGATTCTCTCCGGCGCCGAGACGTCAGTGCTGATGAAAATAAATCTGTCGAGAAACCCAGCCAGGTGCCATCCCAACAGACGGCAAGGCGAGGAGCGCCGCCTTTTGGAGCCGATGGCTTCACGGCCAACTGGGATTGTGTTCCTCAAGGTCTGATAATCAGTGGATACGGGTTTCAGCAATATCACATGGGAGGTGGTCAAGACTCGGCGTATGAATATTTCCCGAAAGAGTATCTACTTCTCGGCGGTCTGGAGTCCAAATACAAGAAACTGTACGAGGACTCTGTCGAAGCAATCAACGAGTGGCTCCTCTACAGGCCCATGACAGACGGCGATTGGGATATTCTATTCCCTGCCAAGGTCCAAACAGCTGGAAATCCCACTGAAGACCTAATGGCAACGTTTGAAGTTACTCACCTGACGTGTTTTATTGGTGGTATGTATGGCCTAGGCGGCAAGATCTTTGGTCGAGAGAAGGATCTTGAGACAGCCAAGAGGCTGACGGACGGCTGCGTCTGGGCATATCAGTCGACTGTCTCTGGTATCATGCCGGAAGGTTCCGAAGTCTTGCCGTGTCCAACACTCGAAAAGTGCGCTTTTAACCAAACCCTCTGGTGGGAGAAGCTGGATCCCGCAAAGGATTGGAGAGACAAGCAGGTGGCCGAGTGGGAAGAGAAGAAGGCGGCGTTTGACAAGCAAAAGGGAAACAAGGCCCAAGAAAGCAAAGGGGACCCCAGGAAAACTAGCGACAAGGATAAGGAGACAGCCGGTGAAGCCTTGAAGGAAACTGCCCAAGACTATGGCGACTCCACTGGTAACTCCAAGGCCATTCACAAGAGGGCAGTAATTCCGCCGCCAAAGTCGGGGGATGAAGAGGTTGGTTCAGAGCTGCCGCAGTCGCTCAAGGATAAGATCGGTCTCAAGGGTGATGAGAAGAAAAAGCCAGCAAACAGTGGCGTCGGTATCCAGCGAGAGCCTGGTGCGCCAGTCGACTCGGTATTGGAGGCCAAACGACTCCCTCCTCAGGAACCGAAGGAGCAGGAAATCATTCTTCCAGAGAAGCCTCAGACGCACGAGGAGTTTGTAAAGCAACGGATTGCCGAATTGGGTCTTGCCCCCGGTTTCGTTCACATCACTTCCAGACAGTATATCCTCCGGTAAGGAACCCCCTTTTTACACCAAGTCGCATCATGACACCATTTGCTAACATCACATCGCTAGACCCGAAGCCATTGAATCGGTATGGTACATGTATCGCATCACTGGCGATCCTATTTGGATGGAGAAGGGCTGGAAGATGTTCGACGCCACGATGAACGCCACCCGCACAGAGATAGCCAACAGCGCCGTTGACGATGTCAACAGCCCAGAGCCCGGGCTCAAGGACGAAATGGAGAGCTTCTGGCTCGCCGAGACGCTCAAGTACTACTACTTGCTGTTCTCGGAGCCAAGTGTTATCAGCTTGGACGAGTGGGTGCTCAATACCGAGGCTCATCCTTTCAAGCGGCCCGGCGGTAGCGTTATCGGACACAGTATATAAGAGGGAGGCAATGAACGACGAATCCATGGGTAACCACTAAAGGGGGGATATTTTTATTCAGCATGTCTATGTTATTGTCTCTGGGGCTTTATTTCTGGTTTTCCTACTTGTTTTTTGCAAAGTCATGAACAAAGCATCCGTGTTGCATATGGAGTCAAAATCACGACGGGCGTTGGAAGAGTATTGCTTAGGAAATATGAAAATACTAGAATTCTATAACAAAACTATATGCATTTGGCTCTTTGTAAATCCAACAATTGTACTTGGAAGTTCTCCCACCAATAAAAGAAGAAAAAGACGACACAAAATCACAAACCAACCCATATCCACATTCCGTCCATACTCGGTAGCCGTCGTATTAGCTCTCTCATATAATACATTGAATCAAGCTCATTTTTATGTCAATCATTCTGCACAGAAAAGAAAGAAAAGAAAACAAAGACATCAAGGTCGATAAATAGGATATATATACCCGTCCGTCCCTTCTCCCCAATTCATCCCCTATTGTATTTCCCCCCAAGACACAAAAAAAAGAAGAAAAAAAGACAATGGAAAGCATAAAAAACATTGATCCGTAAACAATAGCACATGACAAATTCGTCTTCGAATGCCCGATGCATCATCGTCGTCTATAATTCGCCCAGTGTGACGTTCGACTTGCTATTTCCCCGGGCCTCATCTATCCAACAAATGCCGTCTTCATCCTTCATCTGTCGTTTTCCATCGTCGCACAGTGGGCGTATTCAGAAGAGGCGAAAAGTTCGTTCGTTCGTTTGTTCGTTCGTTCAGGCCGGGATTCGTATATCGTCTGTCTCAGTTGAAAGCAAGATTTTTTTTTCTTTTTCAGTTCGGTTTTTGTTGTCGTTTGGACACATTAAGTATTCTTCGTGAACGCCGTCGTAACTCCGATGCTGATGCCTGTAAACCAACCAACCCCGTAAAGTCGAAAGTTGTGCCGCCCGTTTACATGCCCCTGGTATCGCCCATCACATATACACATAGACTTCCCGTCTCATATCTCATATTCACCATTCCTAGCCGCATTGTTTTGTTTTCCCACATTAAATCCACACTCATCACACCATTGAACTCAGGACGCGTATGCTCAATATCATTACGAGCAAACCAATGGTGACGATGATGAGTAGCGTAAACGAGAACCAGCCCATTACCATGGCGCTGCTGCCTACGCCACTCTTGACGACACCATTACCAAAATCTTGAGCGATGACGGATGCTGCGACGGATGCAGTGTGCTGCCAAAGGACTGAGACGAGAACGAAGATGGACGAGATGAAGATGATGGCCAGTGCGATTTGCGAGACGGGACGAGAGGGGAATGGCTTGACTTCGCGCTCGGATCCTTCAGAGTCTTCCTCCTCATGCCATCCGGGGAAAGTGGCCAAGAGAAGCAGGCAAATGAAGGCGAAGATGATGGCAATGATGCTAAAGTCGGCGATTAGTAAGGCCCACACGCGCACGCGATTTAAATAAGAGGAATGTCACTCACATCAGGTAGGGAAACACAATCATGTCTTTGAATTGGGCCGCCAACCAGATGAGGTTGAGAGGGTCCTGGTCCACTGTGACTTCCTTGGCCAGGGCTGTCGCATTGTTACTACACAGCCACGAGCCGCCGTCCGGGTTGACGCAGATGCCAAAATAACCAACTCGAGCCTGCATTTGGGCGTTTCCGGCGATGTTCTCCAGGGCGGTGAAAAACTGGTAGTCGACCTGCGCCGTGTCGGGATTGGGCTGGTATGACTTGTAGTAGATGGATAGCAGGAAGATTCCAGGGATCAGAGGCGACGAGGACGAACAGCCGGCAAGCAGCAGCGCTAAGATGAGGCGGTCAGCAAGACGCATGAACATGAACGAATGTATTGATCGTGATGCGACATACACAGAAGGATGATTGCGACGACGATCAAAATCATCAGCACGTGGTGGTAACCCAGAAAGGGGACAAATCCTGTTGATGAGACACAACGTTAGCCTTCTTCTACCGCATTCCAGAGCCTCATGGCAAAAGTCACTCACGATGCCATCCCACATGAAATTTGCGCGCGATAATCCTCGTGCTGGAGCTCGAGCTTGAACTGGTATGGGTTCCGCTTGCCATTGTTGCGATCTCGACGGAGGGGGGTGTCCCTCGCTAGATTCGAGATGAGATAGGCGCCGTCGAGGTAATATCAGGAGAGGAGAGAGCTGTCGACAGCTGCGATGCTCCAGGACAAGAGGCGACAGTCGATAGATCAAGAGCGCCGAGAGCGCAAGCCGTTGTAATCGCGCAAGACTGCTATTGCCCCACGCAAAGCAAGACACTCTTCGCTCAGCAGACGAAGCCAGTCGCGATACCCCTCGTAACGATGTTGGAATTGTCGCGTGGCAGCGAGACGGTGCAAACGCAGGCTGGAATGCGGATAGCAAGCCCGGTCTATCGATAATCGTCAAGAGCAAGATACAAGATCAAAACGAGCGTGCAATGCGCTTGGACCCTGCAATGTCGAGAGTGCGGATGTCTTGCTGCGTGCTATCAGTTGTCATGGACGACGTGCAGGACGAGACTTAGCTCAAAGAAGAGAGGAGCTCCCAAAAGAGGAATTGGAATCGACAAGAAAGGGCACGACGTAACACGTAGCTGGAATGGGGGGGGCGCCTCTCTCTCTTCCCTTAGTGACCTGATTGAATTCGCTCTGTGACTTTTTTTTTTAATAATTCAGATGGCTGGGGAAATGCTCGTGAGTGACCAACCATCCGAATTTCGCAAGCCTGCGGTCGAGGCAGGACAAGCTCGCATTTTGGTTGGCCCAGCCACGCCTTTTACGGTATTGACTTCCGTTGGCCGGGCGACCGGGGTGACGTTGGCAAATAGTGGGGCGCCGGGGCCGCGGGGGGACCTTAAGTGGCTGGAAATCGCCTCTGAAGAAGCCCGCTGAGGCCATTTGCGCTGCACGGACGACACTACGACACTACAGGGGCTGCAGAGCGCTGCTGAAGGCGCTCCCAGGACCCGGAAACAACAACAGTGGGGGGGTTGTCTTGCTCCAGCGGGTGCCTTGCAGGGGAAGCAGTGCGCTAAAGAGGATTTTTGGACAGCGCGGTGGCGACGCACGGAGTTTGGCGAACATCTGGATTTGCACGCGATCGATCGTCGGTGAGGCTTGAGGGCTCAGGCGGGTGGGTAAGACACGCATGTTTTTCGCGGACCTGCAGCATCGGTAGTTGATACGTCTAGGGCTGCTTAGCATGTGAATACAGACACAGACAGGCCGCTGCTAGATCCCGCATCTCTGTCTGCCTCCAGGTGTTGTTCTCTGCGCTCTGGGCTCTCCTTCGCAGAATACCTACTGTAGATGCGAATACTACGGTACAAGGTTGGTATACTGGCCATCAGCGCTACAAGCACACGAATCCTCGTATCTTGGCGGGTTGCCATGACAATCCATTGGCCCTCGCAGCCAAGGCGAGCTGGCCGAAGCTAATGCTTAGGGTCGTGTCAGGCATTAATTGGCAGCTCGTGTGTGTCGCGTCGCTGTGTGCCAGATCCTGGTGTAACTCGTACGGGTACTGTACTTGTAGCTCTTACATGTACTTGCATGGATGGGTGGACGTGCTCTGAGGCGCAGCCCTACTGACCGCCTGGAGCGTTCGAGGTTACCAACATTGAGTTCACCAGCATTTGTAGCCTTTGACAGAAACAGTCTATATATAGCAACTCTTTTTTTTTTGTTTTTCGCGCAGGCCAATATGGGATTGTTTACTCTTGGCTTCGTTTCTGACATTGGGAAACGCCTCGGCAACTGAAAGTAATCCCAACTCCAACGGAGTGCCGATGCCGACTACACGCTCGTACTCGTATACAACCAAAACATCTATTGAAACCAGTCGCCAAGAGAGTCCCTCTGCCAGCGAGCAGAAAACCCAGAGCTGCTGCATGCCCCCTATTAATGCAGCAATGCCTTGCGCCATTAAGAGCAGTTCTCCGTAAGCACTGCATGTTTCCAGCTGTATAATTTGCTCAGCTTGGCAGCTTACCCCCTGCGTTTGCGTCTGTTGTCTGCAGCTCGTTATTAGTACGGAGCAGCTGTTCCGCCTCATGCCCTCCATTGCCACGACGATTCTGCCAACCAAAATATGTTATCTTGATGCCATTATTGCTTTCCATCCTGAAAAAAAAAATATGAATAGAAAAGTATTTTGACCCAATTACCCTTCATCGCCATGAGCCCAAGTGATGGACATTGAGTCCAATTTGCCGTGCAAGTTCGATGCGTTCCGTCTCGGAAACTCCTCGGTAGACGCATATCGATAACGAGCCACCCACCAATAAACATGGCCAGCTATCTGCAACGTACATCGTCATACCTTCCAGCTTCGACGCAGCTCTCCATAGCCGCGTGCAAAGATGACGACCATGTCCGGAATAACCAATGGCATCTCCCTTGATACTCGGGTTGAGGATTACCTCGAGGATAAGCTTCAATCCACCACGGATCTCGAGCATCTCGACGAACTACTCACAAACGTCGAAATACAGCGAAACCAGCTCCAGTCGCAGCTCGACGATGCCGTCAAAGAGCTGGAGGAGGCGCGGCGCATAGCCGATGAGCGCCATGCTTCGCTCCAAACCCGTATTTCCGAGTTCAACGAGCTACAAGAAAGCATCGACAGACGAGTTCAAATAGCTGCCGCATCGGATGCGCCGAGTGAAGCTATCGCGCGATTGCAAAAGCCCATGAAACAGCTACAAACCGTCGAGCTGGCCCAGAGGTACTTCATTCTGCTTCAGGATGCTGAAAGGTTGCGGAAAGAAGCCCGGTCTCATCTTCCGGGCAGCCCTAAGGAGGCGCTTGAACCATATGCACAGCTGAAAGAGCTTGTCATTAGACTGAGGTCCCTACCTGGAAATGACGAACTTCACTTGGTGGATCATGTAGAGAAGATGACGGAAAATCTTTGGAATGAAATGAAGCAAATCATGTCTGCTGAGCTGGAGAATGTGCTCAATAAGAAGCACTGGCCCAAGGTTGACCCTCAGTCTGAGATGGATGAGGAGTGGGTGGCCTGCGTTGAGAAGCTCCTCGACCTCCAGATGCCAGAGGTAATCCACAGTACCGGCGTCGTGACTCTGTTGCCATTTGAGGTCATGGCCAGAATGTTCATTGCCGAATTTCGCTTCCACTTCATTAGCGATAAGCCGACCAGCAGCCCTCAGTCAGTCGGGACTCACTGTTTCCCCTGGGTTCTGACGACCTTGGAAAAATGGGAGGACTTCTTTCGCGATAATCTCGGCCATCTCCTGGCATCCAAATTCCACGATACACCTGTGGCTGACAAGACCATATACGCGGACCCTGCCTGCGCTCTTGTTACGGCGATGCTGCCCGTTATTCGAGAGAAAGTCGATGCCGTATTATCGGAGACGAGCACGAATCCTGGATTCCTGAGTAATTTCATCTCACAGATTATGACCCTGGATGAAAACATTCGATCGCGATTCAACTATGACGGCGGTGATCCTGAGAACGGTTGGGCAGGACTGTCTGAGAACGTCCTAGAGACTTACTTTGATGCGTGGTTTCAGGCTGAGAGGAGCTTTGCGCTAGAGAGATTCGAGGTGATTATGGAGAATCGGGATGGACGCAAAATCGACTACGACTATTCAGTGTCCGGCAAGATGAAGCCTACCTACGCGGCCGTGCAAATCACTGATCTATTACGAGTCGTGACGACGAAATACGAGCGTCTCCGTAAAGTCAAGCAGAAGCTCAAGTTCCTTACGGATATTCAGTTGGATATTCTTGATGGATATCACGATCGTCTTAGAAGCTCGCTCGAGGCCTATCAGTCTCTAACATCTACATTGGGTCGAACCATCCACGGCGTAACGAAAGAACAACTGACTGCCTTGGAGGGGACCGGGGCTTTGGAGACGCTATGCAAAGTGATTGGTAGCGCCGATCACATTGCCAACACGTTGACAGAATGGGGAGATGAAGAGGTGAACTGCACACATATATTGAGGAAAGAAGAGAATGCTAATGAAACGGGTAGTTCTTCGTCATACTATGGGATCAGCTACATAAGCGCGAATCCAGACATATAAGGCTTCAAGGCTCAGTCATCGCCGGCGTGGTCGGACACAGCGATGACATCAAAGAGCGCACAGTTGCCGCAGTCGATGGAGGCAACGAGGATGGGGCCATCTTTGATGAGACTATTGCGGCTTACACCAACCGTCGCAAGGCAGGTGAAGAACTTCTTGTGGGCGCTTTGGTTGAGTCCCACTCCAAAGCACTGCGCGCCTATACTCATAATGTTCAATGGACCACAGTCGGCGAAAGCGCAACTCCAGGTAAGCGTTATCCCCCGAATCATGTGGTAGACTCTGCTAACTGAATTATGAAAGATGACTCTTCGGCCTTCTCCATCACGCCAGAGCTAGATGAGCCCTTGAGCGTCCTCAAGAGGAATCTGGAATTTTTGGGCAAGGCCTTGTCTGCCGCCTCTTTCCGCCGCGTCTGGCGAGATGCGCTTGACAAGCTCCAGGACTTGCTGTGGTCCAGCATTCTCACCCGCCAGTCATTTACCGCTCTTGGGGCGGCGCAGCTTGCGCATGATTGCGCGTCCATCTTTTCGCTAGTGGACCGCTTCATTCCCAACGGCTCGGCCGCACTGGAATCTCTTCGCGAGGGACTCGTCCTGCTCAACTTGCCGGCTGCGGCAGAGGGCATGACACTTAAGCAGGCTAGTGATCGAGCATTCACAGACAATGACGAGGCACGCAAAGTCCTTGAAGAGCTGGAGCTGGTGGCTCTAACGCCGCCGAATGCAAGGCAAATTCTCCAGAGGCGAGTGGAGAATAATGAGAACGTTGGGTGGTGAGATGATAGAGCTTCAATTTTGCATAGATCTGAATTGAAAGAAATGGTAGCTGTTCATCAGCATCATTATGCATCAAAAAAGTATCATATATGATAAGATATCTATCTAACTGATTAATTTCATGTTGAATGCCCAATTCCTCAGCCAACCAAGCGCAATACGGATGTCTAGAATGTTAAGCTATTTTCGGAAATTCCGTCTCTATCAGATTTGTTTCGCCTTAACTTTTTTCAGTTCACGCTCATTCAAAACCGATGACTTTTTTTTATATCTCGTTTCCTTGACCGGTAACGCCTCCTCCATCATCCAAAAGAAAGAAAGAAAGAAAGATCGCCCGCTTATCTCTTCACCCCATGTCCCTTTAGTTGATAGCCCGCATGGTCATTTCTACCACGGCAAAGGTGCCTGCGCTCACAGGCATGGCTCTAAGAAGGGTAGGTCCAATGCCCTTCCAGAAGCCCCTGATGCCGTCTGCGCGCCATGTAGCGGAGAAGCAGGAGCGCATGGTCGGGTATTTCTGCTGAGCACCGAAGCCGTCCGTCTGCATCTTGCTCTTGATGACGTCGAAGGGGTAGCTGGCCAGCCAGAGGGCCTCGCCGGCGAGACCTCCGTAGAGGGCGATCTTGTAGCTGGGGATCTGCTTGCGGTCGATGCCGTTGCGCGCGGCGTCGGCGTTCATGAGGTACTCGAATGAGGTGAACCAGGCGCCGTAGGCAACGGACTCTCGCAAGACGGTCACGACCTCGCCCCTGTAGAGGCCGCTCAGGGCACCGTTGTGGGAGCTGACCTTGCGAATGCAGTCCAGAGGCCCGTTGTACAGGCGACCCTCGCCGTGCGGCTGGCTCTGCAGGCGGATACGGATATGCTCGATGGGTCCGGACAGAGGTGCATTGGCAACGCCGGCAAAGGCTCCAGCCAAAAAGTACTGGCCGTAGCCAAGTTCGGAGGGTTTGCCCTGGGCGGAGTTGCGATCCTCGAGCCACCGACGAGCGGCGTGGAAAGCGCCGAACTGCACAGACACGCAGGCGCCGATACCGATGAGGGGCGTCAGCGTGCCCTTGTAGAAGGCCAGGGCGCCCTCATTCTTGTAGATGGAGGTGGCGGCCTCGAGAGCGCCAGAGTACTGGGTCGACGTCTGCAGGCGGACCTTGACGATGTCGAAAGGCTGGCCTAGGAGGAGTGTCAGCATGTGGGTTTCTGTGAGCCGCGAGAAAGCGCTTCGGACCGTCGCCAGATGGATGGCAACTGAGCCCCTCCAGGAGAAGACGAGGAGATGAGGAGAACAAAAGGAGATGACATACCGATCAAGACTTGGGCAATGCCGCCAACAGCGCCAGAGAACAGATCCTTTGCTGTCTGTAGCGCACCGCCCTGGTGCTGTTCAATCTCGGCGGAAGCCATCTTGATTCCGTGGCCCTGCGGCCGGAAGCGATAACGGAATTGGGGTTCGACGGGGGGAAATATGCAGAATTGGAGAAGATACAAAAGAAAAACACGAAGAAACAAGACAAGATATCAACTGCCGGGAGGATGAAAGGGAAATGAGAATAGCAAGAAAAGAAGCGGACAACGCGCCGACCTAGAATTTGTCAAGAGGGACGGCCGATGACCCGTCCGATGACCCGTCCGATATCGACGATGTCGTGATTTGCCAAGATAGCGCATGTACAAAAAGGGTTAGGAGGCACGGATACAAGGATGCAATTTTTTTTGTTTGGTGCATCCCCCGCGAAATGGGTGGATAAGATTGCTCTTGCTCCATGGGGTAATTCTTACTGTACTCCCGCTTTTCTCTATTCCAGATGATATCCTTTGGTGGATTCGAGGTTATTCAAAACGAAAGAATGAAGCTGCTGCTGGAGTAAGTATAAGTATATGCGGGTCATGTGTGGCCCAAACAAAGAGCAATGGCAAATGGTCAATGTAACCTCACTCTCTCTGTTGTTGAGGCTGGCACAAGTCAATAGCATCATCATAGGCAATACGCGAGTATCCCTCGACCGCTCCTGGCATCTTACCCATGGGAAAGGATGGATGGGATTTTCTTTCATCTTGGATTGATTGTCAATGTGTGGGTGGTTAGCGTTTACATAGGCCACGGCTAGATCCAATCTCAACCACGATCAACACCGCCAGCTTGATCTCACAGCTTCGTCAAAGATCCTCATCACTGAACCACATGCCCAACCAGCAGGCACACTCGCAGCCCGCTTTACAGCAGTATTTTTCAAGTGACCAGCCTATCCTCAACCCACCGCTCACACTCGCACGTCTTCCAACGCTTCCCACAGGTGTAACAGAATTCAGCTCTGCAAACACAGCCTACTCTGGTCTCAGCAGTACGCTCCAAGTTAAGAGAAGGGGAGGAGGAGAAGGAGGGGAATAATCTCACGTATATGATTGCATCCGTGTGTAAGCTCGACAATGCGACGACAACTAAAACATCGCTTCCAGCCACGATCCCCTGCGACTCGAAGAAAGTCGGCCGTCGCTGTATCCTTCGGACAATCTCCCTCATGAGCCGCCTCTCTGCAAATCACACACGTCTTACTCCGGCATTTGATACAATTGGCCACCTCGTCTTGAATGAACTGCGTAGGAACAAACTTCGAGCAGCTTGGGACGTGGCAATACACTCTCTTTGCCGAATTGTACTCGAGCTCCTTGGCGCGATACTTGCCGAGTATTTCTGGCGATATGAAAATCTGGTTGACGCCGGAGAGGGGGATAGGCTGGCCGCAGCATCTAGGAGGGAAGACAGACTCGTCGTCGATGGCTTTTTTGACATAATTTGTCAGGCATGTTCGGCAATAGTCGTGAGAGCAAGGGCATCGCAGCGTCTCCACGAATGGGAACTCGTCGTTGCAGACAATACAGCGCCGTCGCTTGCTGGTTCTTGTCAATGCTCGCGATTGTCTTCCCATTCTGGAAGATTCAGCAACGGGCGAGGGCTCGTCGCCGCCATTGTATAAGACGATGAGTTTGTTGGTCATTTCATCAGACATGGTTCCCGATGACTCCCCATTTTGAGGGAAATCATCTCGAGTGAAATCACCTTGAGGGAAATCACCCCGAGGCATATCATCCGAACCGAAGCCATTGAGAGCAAGCTGCCTGTCGCGTACGGCTTGCTCCTCTTGATTGACAAGCTCCCTGATGATATCGGCATCGCTAACAACGGCGCGAGCCATGCTACGGGTCATTGCTTGGTCATGAAGCAGGGTGTGAAGCGCCTGGAGCTCCGCGTTGAAGCATTCAAGCGCAAACTCGAAATCAGGAGCATCGCCATCGCGATACTTTCCCTTGATCAGGCTCTGGGCATCTTGCAATTGGAGCTCGATGATCAAGTCGAGGCTTTCCTGGTCTATTTCGTGAGTCATGATTTACGAAATAAAATTCAAGAAAGAAGTCAATGAATAAGTAAATGTGTGACAGCAATGTCAAACAGATCCTCAACGGTCTGGAGACTAAGCCTGGTTTAATGTTGGGGCATTTGCTAAATCAGGAAGAAGAAAACAATGACGAAGATTGATGTTACAACAGGGAGGCCGGTAAGTAGGGATCCGTCTACTGAGTATGTAATCTGTACCTGGAATGTCATTTGCCCGAGACAAAATCTTGCTTGCCGCTCTTCCCCTCCCCAATCACCATATGCGGGAGGCCGACAAGAGTTGCCTCCGGGATAAGATACTCCGCATGTACAAACGAGTACTTGATGCCAGTCCTGGTAGATTAGATAGAGACGCAAAGTGCGGGGGTTCATATTCATACTGCATGGCTTTATGCACAATTGCATAAAACAAGAGATGAAGCCATGAACTGATATATCTTGACTGTCCATGGCATTTTCATACAAAGTTCAAGACGGCCAAGCAAGCGTATATATGCTTATACATGCTCATATGTCCGCTCGTCCGCGGTGGGGTCGGCACGGGTTTCGAAGTGTCTGCCGTCTTTATAAGACCACTTCTTATCGCCAGTTAAACTGAGCAACTCAGAACAAAGCGCCTCACGCTGACATCCATCAACCGACGTCTCCTGTTATTTTGTGATATGACGCCGCAATTTGCGTCATAAGATGAAGTTCAGTATTGGTGATAAATCCGTGTCTCCTTCATTCCAAGATGGAGATGTACGCAAATAATGTGTTACGGTTTCCGCTACTAATAACTATGGGAAATATTTGATATAGTAGATGTCAATTACATAGATCTAGTCAAAATTCCCCTAACCGGAAACTTGATTTAGACGTAAAAAGACACAATATAAGCCAATAGTATTTAATACTAAAGCTTTGAGCTGAAAAGAATTGGTCATGGAGATCGCAGCTGTCGCCAATAGGTTCCCGGGTAGGTGCCATCTCTGCAAGGCGAAATCGGCAAGGGTGAGCACGGCATGCGGCCTAGCCATTGCGCAAGCTTGTGTTACTCTTGGACACAGCGCCAGCGATCCTCATATCTTGGAGAAGACCATAGATTACTGTATCAATTGACATTTCCGTGAATTTTCCGACATCTATATATAATGGAGATGGAAGCGGTATGCATAGGTGAGGAGTTAGCTGCTTGTCCTTAGGTGTGCGGTTGTTTGCGCTTGACTGGGATAGAGCACAAGCAAGAAACACAGACAATTCGCAATACTACAGATATACGAGCTTGGTCAATTCAATTACAAAAATGAATCTAAAATTGAGCCGCACGATTCTCGCATCATCATGGCTGCTTTCAGCAATTCTCCGAGCAGATGCAGCTCCAAGTCGCCCAAACATCGTCTTCATCTTGACAGACGACCAAGATAATCACATGGGATCCCTGCAGCATATGCCGTCACTGCAGAAGCATCTGGTCCATCAAGGCACTACATTTGAGAGACATTATTGCTCCAGTATTTCTCACCTGATTCTGAATCCCAAGTATAATGTGAATGCATCATTCAAGATTCAAGGCTGACTTGTGTCATGTTTCTTAGCCGCTATATGCTGCCCTTCACGCGTCAGCCTCTGGACTGGACAGCTTGCTCACAATACCAACGTAACAAACGTAAATCCTCCATGGGGTAAGTAATTTCAACTGCAATCATAAAATGAGATTCCAGCTCTGACTTAAAAGCAGGAGGATACCCCAAGTTTGTCCAAAATGGCTACAACGACCACCATCTTGCCCTCTGGCTGCAGCAGTCTGGCTACAACACTTACTACGTGGGGAAACTGTTCAATGCTCATACTATTTACAACTACGACTCGCCTCCAGTTAGTGGATATACCCAGTCAAACTTCTTTCTCGACCCATTCACGTATCAATACTACAATGTCAGCACTTCTAAGAACGGGGCGCCGCCAACTAACCCTGTCGGCAAGTACTCTACTGATATCGTAGCTGAGAGCGCCAATGAGTTTCTCGATCATGCTCTCCTGGACGATGGTTCTCCTTTCTTTATTACTCTTGCACCCATCGCCCCTCATGCTCTGGTAGGCGAAGGCTCTTTGGGAGCTTTTGATCCCCCGCAAGTTGCGGAACGGCATGAAGGCCTATTTCCCGAGTACAAGATTCCCCGGACGCCAAACTTCAATCCCGATTCTCCAAGCGGTGTCAACTGGGTATCAAAACTTCCCAAGCTGAACGATACCATACTTGATTATAACGATGAGTATCAGAGGAAACGTCTCAGGTCTCTTCAGGCCGTAGATGAGATTGTAGAATCCGTCGTTGCTCGCCTTGATCAAGCCGGCGTGTTAGAAGATACCTTCATCTTTTACACCTCCGACAATGGCTACCACATTGGCCAGCATCGATTGCATCCCGGCAAAACATGTGGATTTGAGACCGATATTAACGTCCCTCTGGTTGTTCGTGGCCCTGGAGTTCCCGCGCAGAGAGTCACTCAAGCGCCCTCCTCACACATAGATCTCGCTCCAACCATCTTGCAGATAGCCGGTATTGGAATTGGTGACAAGAAATTCGATGGGGCTCCCATTGACATTTATGGCAATGAGACCGAATCTCGGTCGGAGCATGCTGCTGTTGAGTTTTGGGGGTTTGGACTTGCGGAGAGCATCTTTGGCAGAGAGACTGGCGTGCCCATCTATGTCAACAACACATATAAAGGGCTTCGCATTGAGGCGGAGAATTATGGATTCTATTACTCCGTCTGGTGCAACAACGAAAAGGAGCTTTATGACATGAAGGTATGGCGAAGTGACAAGTTTCGGCAGTTTTGAACAGGAACTTGCTGACCCTAAGTGATCATAGACTGACCCAGGACAACTGCATAATCTCCTCTCGTCAAGGGAGAGTCGCATTAACGCTACAATTAACATATCCGGTAAACAACGCCCCCTTGGAAAAGTTGTTGACCGATTGGACGCCCTTATGATGGTCCTCAAATCCTGCAAGCAGCAATCTTGCGTCCATCCCTGGAAAAGTCTTCATCCATTGGGCGATGTCCAAAACCTCCATGATGCTCTTTCCACGGAATATGATGAATTCTACAGCGAACAAGTGAAAGTGAGCTTCACCAATTGTGAAGGCGGATACATTGTTGAATCGGAAGGACCCCAAAGCTTCAATACTTTCGATGGTGGAGAGGGCGGTGTTTATGATGCCCTGGAACAACAAGTTTTGGCCAATCCCAACTGGAGTCTCTGGGAGTGAAATGCATCAGATGAGGAATGGCTAGGGGGTTGGCCACATGTAGTCACTCAAATGGATATTAGGATAGACTGACCCAAGATATTGGAGAGTAGAATTGTTCAAAACTATCAAACACTCAAGATACGCTCACCACTCATACCATCGACAGATTACTGTAACAAAAAATACGCTTTCATTTTTCGCTCAACAAACTCCAAGATCAAGGATTAACATAGTCTCCCGGAAGCTTGGTCAACCCTTCCACCTTTCTCGTGGTCTTAAACTTGGTCACATCCACGCCGTTCAGCACCCGCGCATTCACCCCGGTAAACATGTGCTGACGGTCACGAATATTGCGCATCTTCTCCGGCAGCGCCGCAATTCGATCCTCAGATAGTTCATCGAACGAATTCGTAAGGATAACACCGCAGATCTTGCAGAAACCCTTGTGCAACATGCGCTCGTTGAACCTGTACCTTCCAATGTTGGCCTCGTCGCCGGATAACACGACGGATTTGCTTGGGCAATACACCCAGAGGGCGGCAATCTAAAGTCCTTTGTTAGAATAGTTGCGCGTAAAAAGGATGAAAACCCCAACACCTACACGTTCACAGCTGCTGCAATTGCACTCTATTGGCCCTTCATAGGTTTCATCCAGAGGCTTGCTCACTGTGGCTATGGTGACTGCACCGCAATGACAACTGCCCGTGTATACCACACCTTCGCCTTCAGCTGCGGGAAGTTCTCCCTTGTGGACTGGAGCCTGGTAGGGGTTTCCTAGGGGAACACCGTCGTATCTATCATGTGTAATTAGCAGGCTTTCACACAAAACTGATGGGGGTGGGGAAATTGTCTTACGAGGATTTCTCTAGATCCCAGGTGTTTAAGCCTTGGAAAGTATGGGCCTGTCAATTATCGTTAGATATTGCCTATACTTGATACTATGCGAAACGCGCAAGACTCACATTCACAGCAAGCTGAAGCCCCCCTTGCTCGGTCACTCTAGCTCCCGCTACCGCAGTAGCACACGTAGGACAAAACTATCATCGCCAAAAAAAAAAAAAATAAGCAAAGAACAAGCAATGCGTTATAGTTCAGTCTTTGTCATACCAGATGCTTAAGCTTCTTTGGACCAAACTCGTACGCCGTCAGCTCCTCTACGCTACCCTTGACAATGTTCACATTGCCTTCGCCAGGGAAGATCCAGAGATAGCCCTTCTTGCTGCAAATGCTGCAATTGCAGTCCAAGGCTGACTTGATCTCGGGCACTTTTGTCTCAAATACAAAACTGCCGCAGTGGCAGTTTCCTCTGTATGTGACGGTCTCGGCTTCAGCCATGTTGTCTTTTCGCTTTAGGTTGCGGTGGGGTTTAGGTTGCAAGTCCAGTCAGTTGAGAAAGAGAAGGGGAGTGAATATATATTTAAACCCAAAAATTGATAGTTGTAATTGAAAAGAGAGAAAGAGAAAGACATGACTCGATTTACGGGTCCTTATATAGAAAATGCGTTCCCAGGTTGTGGCTTGTTTCATCTGTTGTGATTCGACTTTCGGGCGATCGCTTCGACGGACAACCGAATTCAATCGGATATACACAGCTGTTCACTTTTGATAGGCTTTCAACGCTTACGATTCACACATCGCTGCAAATACTACCTCACGCTAATACCCCGCCTCGCATTCGTCTCTCCTAGTTTATTTGTTGGGGACGGGGGCCACCGCTAACTGCGGCTGGATATAGTGACGTTGTACGAGTACTGTATACGACGCTTTTCATAGCCTACTTGCCTAGGTAAACTACCTCTGACAAGGATTTCTCGTAAGCATCAACTCTAAATAGGTGAAACTACTCGATTAGGCATTGCCCATTACGTCTGCTTACTGTGCAAAGGTCAATGGACGTAGATTCCGATAACAGTCATGAACAGTCATGGGTCTCCACTCGGGTCATCATAAAATGGAATCATTATATCATTATAATACATTGTGTCTCTCCGATATCTAGGCATTGTGTTTATGTCGCTGTTCTAATACCTCCGAGCTCCGTTATCCGGGCTCTTTGCCTCGTTTTGTGCTTGCGCGTTGAGATGTATGGCTTCTTTCAACTTGGCAATTACTTCCGGCTGATTGCTGAATGCTGTATCAAGTATGGTTTCGAGCTCAGCCTCAACCTTTGCTATGGGCTTCACTCCGACTTTCCTGCTCTGTGAGTCATTGAAAAGAGACCCCCAGCGTTTCGTAAAGGCGTAAATGGATTGGCGCAGAAGCTCATCTAGCTGCTCGCTCATATCTTCGACTGTGAGTGTCTTGGCGGTGACTGATGGTGCCCCTCGGGACCAAAGATTGCCGCTGATGATACTCCCGAAAAAGCCCACCCAGTTCTGCGGACTCAACGTATCCCAAATCTGGCCAAAGTGTTGCATTGCGGGTTGGCTCCGTATATCACCAATCTCAAGTGATACCAACTCATTCTTAATGATGAGCAAATTCTTAACCATGAAGAGATCTGGATCAGTGTCCGTTTTAAGCGATTTGATTCTTGCTTCAGCTCGCTGGAGAATCTGGATTGTCTCTCGCACAATCTTGAACACCACGGGACTGTTTTTGGCCTGCGTGCGATATTGTTAGATTTAACCAAACACACGTTGGCTACGTCAAGTGACTTACAGATCGTTCTTTCGGCATTGCTTGGTCAAACATGGCCAATAGCTCAATCGCTCGCTTGACTAAGGGATATGCGTTTGAAGATGCCACTCCACCTACAACGGGCCCAATCTTCAAGTGACTATCCTGAGCTGGGGCCTTGGTGAGGGACTTGGTAATCTCGGCTTCGAATAAGTTATCTGTAAATGACCACAAGTGGTCTGCAAGCAGTCGGGCGGCATATTCCCTATACTTCCTAAAAGACGGGGACTCTTCCTCGTCAACTTCCGACACAGCATATTCGTTAGCTAACCAACCAACCACGTTACACGTTTCCTGGAGCTGTGCGCTTTGGAGTACGGCTTGCAAGTTGGTGGCTAGCGGTACAATATTGCCCGGGTGCACCATCGAGGTGTTGATTAGCTTAACAGCCTGGAAAGCTGACTCTGGAGAGGGGCTCCATGTGAGTTCTATGTTGAAGATTTTGGTAAAAAGTCCATCCTCGCTATACGTCCGTTCGAAAAGCTGCTTAATGAAGTTTCTAGAAGCTGTCTCTACCGACAGACTTTTGACCTCTTTCTGGTATTCGTCTATATCATGTTGCGTCATCAACTTCATATCCCGGTCACGGGTAGTGAAATATGTTCGGAAGATGGTGGTAATGGCATTGACGTATGTTGCAGTCGTAGTCGTGGCTTCTACTGGTTGGCCGTATGCATGGTAGGCCGATCGGACTACTTTTCGAATGTTTGGTAGTAAAGAGTAAGATTCCGCCATCATCTCCTCGAATCTACCATAAGCAAGAGCATGGCGAGCAGACTCTGATTTTGTGGCGGTAATCTGACGCGCAATGCCGCTTGATACTTTGTCCAAGCAACTGTTGAAGCCATGGTCAAGAAGATGCAATGCCTTGGTAAGCAGGGCGTTGTATCTTGCCAAGTACGAGTCGCGCTCTCGGTAGTTTTCCTGAAACATGTCAATACCAACAGCATTGAGCTCCAAAGCTTTGATTCTCTTACATGAGCGGTCATAAACTTGATGCAAGCATCAATGTTCTCTACCATTTCACCAAAGTCATCGTCCTCTACCAATTGACTAGCGCCAGGAGCGTTCAGGCGTCTTGTAGCTTTCTCCAGGTAGGCATAGTAGTAGAGGTCTGTTCCAACCTCATCTGCAAGCTTCTCCAGTCGTCGCTGTTCCGTCAAGAGCTCTTCGCATTGAGCTTGGAAAGTTGATGTCTGAGCCTCGACAGAGAGGAATGACTGCGATAATGTCGTCAACAGTTTTAGTGTATCGTTGGCGTTGTCAATCAAGCCTTCTAGATGGCGCTCTGTCATTTTTAATTGATCGCGGTAAAGCCTGGTTGATGATTAGCTTGGCTCGGATTGTGCATGCGTCTAGAACCATACAGATACTCTCGCTGGCTCTCCTCCAGCAGTCGGTCGTCTAGCGATTCCGAGGACACGGTTTCCTTCTGAAGGTATTGGGAAGCCTCAGAGCTTTCTTGGAAAAGTGCCAAGGCCTCCCAATTTCTGCTCCTCCTATCAACCTTCCGTCGCGGCCTGCGCTGAGACTCCTTGAGCAGCTCCGCCTTGACAACATCGTAAAAGTCGGAGTATGAGGCGGCTCGACGGGGCAACGTGGGTTCGGGAGGGTCGTTTGTGTTCTCTAGCTCTTCCAAAACATCTTCAAGCGTCTCGGCAATATTGTTCGGCTCCTAAACAAAGTAAGTCGTCTATGGCGTGCCAATTGGAGGAAGATAGCCGACACGAACGTTTGGCTGCTGCAGGAGCGATTCCTTGCGCTGGTGCCCACGAGGCTTGCCACCAGACGTCTCGGTTCTGCCATTGCTACCGTTGCCAAGCTCCGGCACGAAGCTGTACCAGCCGTCCTCGTACATGGCGGCTCGGAGCTGGAAGCAGGACTGGAGATATGGGAGAGTACGCGATTGCTGCGTGGTCACTATTTGGAACGGTTGTCTAGCACCCCACGGTACTTTGTTGTAACATGGCAGGCCCATACAAAAAGAAAGTACTGTTTCGACGAACCAGAAAGCTAGCTGATGACTAAGCATTGGGATTCTTCTTGCACTGCTCGATCTAGTGACTCTACTCTTGCGATTTGTTCATTTTCCATGACGGGAGTTTGAGCTTTTGCTTCTCAAATTATTTATTTTAAGATTGATATGTCAACAAATTTACACTTGGAATTTTGACAATGCTTTATCTCACTCACTTCCGATTCATCGATTAGCTGTATCTGTACGGAGCACTAGAATCCGATGTGGTTGGCGCTGCCGCATACCAGCTTTTGGCTCAGAGATAGATCTATCCCAATTCATCATCAAATATTTGAAGCTTGCCTCCTATTTTCGTCCACATCTTCAACATCGAGGTCGCTATCAGCCGAATACTTTCTGAGTCTTTGGATCATATTATTTAAGCTGCTTTCACTATCGCTTTTGCACTTCAAGGACCATGAGAGAACTCGCGGACTATAGATCCATGAGAATTGGCTGTATCGTACCGACAGGGATGAATAGTACTGACCTTTATACCAGGAGATTGAATACTATCTAGGCAATACTGACTGAGCTGTTTACCAAAACACTGCACAGGATGGCTGACTTCTTCACCAAACGCTAGCCGAGCATGCCTGATCTTCTGCCATATTCCACCTCCCTCTTCGATTGCCTTCTCAGCTTGCTGGGGAGGCGAAGAAGGGCGTTTCTCTTTTCATACGTCAAGAGGGCTTAAAAATGCTGTGAAGCTCGGTAAATTTAGTCATTGCATCTTCAAATGCTGTGGGGGCAGACCGTTTGTAAGGCTAGTTGAGACGAAGGCTTCAGGTGAGGTTAAAATTGCTGTGAAACTTCAAGTCCCCATGTGGTCCTTCGTCTCTACCTAGGTATGCTCGATAAGCTACCTACGGTACATAAACACTCACCAAATATTAGCCAATAAGGCTTCATCCTGTGTCACACCAGACTCAATTTCAACATATTTACAACAATATCATGTTTATATTATATACAGGTCTCTAAGAATGCATAAAATACCAAGATTACTAATAATGCGAGAGAGATAAAGCTCCATTACAGAACACAAGCTCCCTAATTTTACAAGCCCTTGCTTTCTATGGTATCTATGGATAGCAAATATCGTGGGTGCTATTGGCAGCTCGGCCCAGCCAATTAGCGGCCATGACATCATCGGGGCGCGACAAGCTTCAGTACAGGGATGTATGCACTAAAAGCCTTCGACTTTTGCATACATGGTGCATGATCTCATGGAATCTGCGACCTCACAGTCAGTTGCTGCAATCATACGCTGATCAATCCAGTCCACAGCGGGGCTGCCAGGTCTACTCCGGTATTGGTTCTTGAGCATTTGAGCAACAATAGCTGGATCAGAGACGCGCAGCCATGAACGTCTCTCAGTCCGCGCTTCGGCGTGCGTCTCGTCTTCGTCTCTCGGCTCGACCACATCTCGCCACGAATCAGCGCCAATGGGCTCGATACGCCAGTGACTCAGCTGAGGGGAGACCCAAGCGGCGAGGAGGGAAAGCCGTGGGATTTGCAGCTGTTTTCGCCGTGGCGGCAGCAGGAGCATACTACTATCCTAAGCTCCAAGCTCAGCTGGGCTCGGCTCCCGAAGCTGCGCATCCCGGATATCAGAAAGCTGACTTGGAATTCGAAAAGACCCGCAAGCATGCTGCCTCAAAGGAAGAAAACCGCGAGCTGATTAGCTCCCAGCACATGCAGGTGAAGAAAAGCTGGGAGCATCCCGGAGTGTATGCTTGGGGTTCGAATACGGGCAAGGTCATTGATCCTACTTCGAATGAGAAAAACATCAAGCTGCCGCGTAGGATATCATATTTCGACGGCCAACTTCTCCGCGACTTGAAGCTCACTCAGGAGTTTGGCGCAGCCATCACGGAGAAGGGCGATCTCGTGCAATGGGGCTTGGGTTTTTCCAAGGCAGATCCAACACCGGTGACAACCTTGAAGGGAAAAGATCTTGCCAAAATTGAAGTATCAGAGGACCGAATCATTGCTTTATCTCGCGGCGGCTCAGTGTATGCCATACCAGCCTCGCGCGATGATCAGGAGGGCGGTAAGAAGCTAGAGCAGGAGAAGAGCTCGTGGTCACTCTGGTCTTCATCAGGTAAAGAGGCCATTAGCTTTCAAACCTTGACCCCAGCGGGTCTTGGATGGGGTGAGCGTGTTGTCGATATCAGCAGTGGACTGGAGCATTGCTTGCTGCAAACTTCAACTGGGCGAGTTTTCTCTTGTGCCTCAAGCGCCTCATCCTTTCCGACAAAGGGACAAATGGGCATTCCGGGTCTCACCTGGGAGACACGCCCCAAAGGGCGCTATGATCAACCGCATGAGGTCCTCTCGCTCAAGGGATTTGATGTTAAGCAGATCGCAACAGGAGATTATCACTCAGTTGTTCTAGATAAACTTGGGCGCATCTTTACGTTTGGCGACAATACTTTTGGTCAGCTTGGCTTCGAGACCCAACTGGGGAATCCTTTTGTCTCTACGCCTACTATCTTACAGACTCACAAGCTGTACGGAAGCAGTGGGCTGGTATCTAAAGTTTCGTCAATCGCTGCTGGTGGTCTAAATACCTTCTTCGCCTGCGAAGCTGATGTGCCTGACATCAGCAACGCCGAGGGCGGTGCCACGGCACCTTCAAGAAGATTGCCCCATAGCACATTTGACGTTTGGGCTGCAGGACAGGGAACCAGTGGCTCTCTTGGTACTGGCAAGTGGACTCACGTTTCTCTCGGGCCCACAAAGTTGAAGGCACTTTCAGGACTGTCTGAGTTTGATGAGAGGAGCAACCAGCTGGTGCCCATCAAAATCAAGACTCTGAGCATTGGCGCAACCCACAGCGCCGCAATCATGGACAATGTGACGCAAACTTCCATGTCGAACCGGTCCTCTGAGAACGAGACGTACTGGGGCTCTGACGTGGTTTTCTGGGGAGGCAACGAACACTACCAGCTAGGAACAGGCAAGCGAAATAACTTGAACGCACCTACGTACATTTCACCACTGGATGGAGACAACGGACAGCACAGATTATGCCTGACACCTCGACAAACCGCACGGCTAGGAGAAGATGGCAAGGGCCGCAAAGTGACGCTGGAACAGAAAGTCGAATGCGGCAGATTTGTCACAGGGGTCTACTCTGCCGTTTAACGGAACGGAAGCAGGGAAAAGGGGGAGGCGAAAAAGCCGTGTACCAGTATGGAGTGAGGGAAAGGGTATTAATAGGTCGGGGCTCAGCTGATGCGGGATGTTGGATGCACGTATCCGCTTGTTGCTGAGCATACACATGTTTGTATTGGCTTGTAAGTGTGTTGTGTGTGCCACATTGTCTCACATGGCGTGTAATGAATTGAAACAAAAAAAAATGGCGGTACGAGGAAGTGGGGGAAAAGGAAAAAGGAAAAAGGAAATGATATGATACGGAAGAAAAAAAAGAAAGCAAAAAGGGAAAGGCGATGCAAGGGAGTTGAAAAGGCAAAACAATGCATGTACGATATTCTTCTTAGTCGGATGGATCGATCTCTCCGTTATGATTTGCTCCCGCTTTGGCAACATTGAGTGATGCCCATGCACATGCTCATGCAGATGCAGAGGCAAAAGCGGCGACACGGACTTCAGCTGACGCGAGCAAGTCCATGGCCGGGGCTGGATGACGCGCTCAGGAGGGTGAAGCGAATCAAATGACCACTTGATGCCTAGAATAAAAATAACTGGCAGCGTCCTAGTGGTGGATGCGCATGCAGGTACGGAGAACTGGGAGCACTTAGACAAGTCGCGTGCTTGGATTCGACGCGATGCGCTGGGCTCTCCACTGAAGAAGTTGGCACGATCAATGTGACAAGCGCTGTTCCGGGCCTAGTGCGCTGTAAGGATTGCGCTGAGAGGAGCTGCTGGGCTGCAGGTAGGTATCCATACTTGCATGCACGCAATACGAGTACAGCATTAGTAGACAATATACCTGGCACTCTTTGGTCAGATGGATCAATGATGTTTTTCTTCAAGTCGTAACAGCAGATGTTGTACCCAGATAGGTAATATACCTAGCACTGCTGTACATCAATTTCTCATGATTTGTTCTTGTGCTACCTACCAGGGATCTCGTGCCTAGCACCAATCAAGGCCTAGAGCTACCTACCTGACCCAGATCCATGGAAGATGGATATTTATACCCGGAGCTACTAATACGATCAAATGTAGTCAGCAATCAATCTTCGCTAAAGCGCCGGGCAATCTTACAGCCCTCAGATTGCATGCATCAAATCCAATATTGCCGTCATCAGCAGGTACCGGTACCACGCCGCCCGCGCAGCTTGCGCCGTGGCCTGCGAACCTCTACCTACACCACCAGATCCCCTCTCACTTTCCCTCGATTGCATCCAATATTCCTCTTCTTCCCATCGCCTCCTCTTCCAGACTCTGGATTCACCATATCCTTCTTTCTCCCGCTTTTTCTTCTCTCTTCACTCTTCACTTTCGCGCGCTCCTTCATAGTATCTTTGCCTTGTCTCTTCGCATCCCAGGTACATAACATACCTTGATATTTTTTTTTCCTCGGTCGCCATTCTCGTCAACCACTCCCGTCCAACGATCGAAATCGAAATCCATCCACAGCGACAGCGACGGCCAACCCAGCACGCCTAGTCACCTTCCTAGCCAAAGCTGTGAAAAGGGCGGCCGCCAGAGCCACCAGAATCTCTTCGCTGGCCGTCATGGATAAGATCCCCAAGTTTCGCCGCAAACCCAAACCCCCAGTCATCGAGACGGCCATCGATCGCAATGCCGCCATGGCCTCGGAAAACTTGAGCGTCAACGACTCGGTGCAGCGCACACACCACAAG